GTTGCTCGTGCTCGGCTGCTGCCTGCCGCGACTGGGTGGGTCCTCGCTGCGTGCTATCTGTCGCCGTCGTCGTCGTAGCTGTCGTTGTCGCGTCGCACGTCGGCGGCGGCGGCGCACACACGCTCGCGGACGTCGTGGCGGTTCCCCCAGATTAAATAATCATAAATCACGGTGTTGAGCCGCTGTGGTGCCGCTGATTGAGACGAAGATCTGCGATTCAGTGCGCGTTGTTTGCGCCGCCGAGTGGGGAGTGGGTGCAGTGGGCACTCGCCGTCGAGAGGCGTGCCGCATCACCCACTGCTGATCGCTGATCCGAGCCTCGTCGGTAATCGAGCTGTGCGTTGCATTCTGTCGCTGGGTCGCCTGCGTGCATGCAAGATTTGCGTCATTTATCGCGCCGTGCGTGCGTGCGTGCGTGCGTACGGATGGCGGATGGCGGATGGCGTATGTACGTACGGATGGCATGGAGGGCGACAGCCGGGGGCGCACTTGCGCGTGGCGACGGCGCGCTACCAGATCCCCACAGATGGCATTGCCGAGTGAATCATGATGCATGATGTGTGCGCATGTGCAGGATGTGAGTAAATAGACACACGTACCGATGTTCGCAAAATTCTTTGGGGGCGCGCTACGACACTGCGACGGCGTGATGCCTGTGCAAGATACGGTAGAAATAAAATTCTGAGGTGCCTACGGGGGCAAGTTACAAGCGAGGATTTGGATGCATGACGATGTACAGTGTGCCAGTACGTACAGAGACGGCGCGGACGAAGGGACTCTGCCTCGGGCGCTGCGCCCCACCGCGGTCAAATAAAGTGAGAGGAGTGGAAGTACGCGACTAGGCTCGCGGGAGCACCGTGACAGAAGGAGGGGTGGGGTCCTTACGCAATCAATGCGGGTGGAGGGCTGACGTTGAGCAGCGGAAAGGGTAGGACGTGAATGTGTCATTGAATATTGAATGGCCGGGTCGGCCCAGGGAAGGGATGGCGCTGGTTGTCGTGAGGCGGCTGCGGCGGCGGATGAGCGGTGGGTGAGCTTGTGTCGGGGTGAGATGGGGTTAGGGTATTTGTATTAGGAAGACGGTGAACCGCAGAGGCAGGATCAGGACTCAGCCAGAGCGTCATGGCAGCGGCGGCTTTGACCTGTGCGTCTCGAGACCCCGACTGACAGGCGCTGAGCGAGCGAGGGCGAACGGCCGGCGGAGGGGGCCAGGATCGGGGAGGGCAGCGCAGGCAGCGGGTGTCCGCCGATGCGCCGACTGCCCGGGCAGGAGACGTCTCGCCCGAGGAGGCAGACGGACGGCAGAATCTGACGATGCCCGACGTGCCTGGCCTCTGCCGTCTCCCGATCTGTCCCAGTCTGTGGAGCCTGCCTGCAGGCTCAGGGAAGCACGGACCCAGTTGGCGTGCGTAGCTCTCTCGACGTCGCCGATTCCAGCCTCCCCCTACTCTGGTCCCCTCTCTCAATTCGTCTTTTCAAATGATAGCAACGTCATCGTCATCGTCCTCGTCCTCGACGTAGCAACCAGCCTGCTTAATCAACAACGTCGCGGGTCAATCACGGTGAATCAACTCACTGAGCGGACACTCACTCCCCACCCTGCAATGTCCGATTCGAATATCACAATAAGCGCCCCTTGTAGCCCTCCCCCGCCATCGCGTCGGCCTATTCCCAAATCGGGCACATCCCACCCCCGCCGGCCGGCTTTGTCCGCGTGACCCGACGGGCGGGACCCACGCGAGGCGGGGACGGCGACGGCGATGGCGATGGCGACGTCTTCGCAGCAACATCCAGCGCCGTGTCGGCACTCGGTCCTCTGCCGCTCTCCCTCTCTCCGAGCATCAGCACCCTCCCGTCGGGGCTCGGAATTGTCCTCCAGCCAATCCTTGATCTCCTTCCCGCGGCGTCTCCCCCCCACGTGCCTTCCGATTTATGCGGGTGTCGGCCCCAGCGCCCTCCTCCGCCGCTCCCCCCTCTCCTTCCGTTATATACCCTCTCCGCCTCCCTCCGTCCCCCCTCCCCGACGACGCCCCCATGCTCTCCGCTCTTCCCATGCACGCCGCCATGCCATCCAACTCCACGGACTACGACATGCAGGACGACCACAGCGACACCTACTCCGTCCTCTCCTCCTCCTCCCGCTTCGCCCCCAGCATCGCCAGCTCCGCCACCTCCTGCGACTGGGAAATGCGCTCTGCGTCTCCCGCCCCCTCTGTCTACTCCGTGACCAGCTCCCTCCGCGCTGCCTCCTACCGCCACGAATTCGGCCGCGGCATCAACAACTACTCGGACGTTTACCGCCTCCCCGCCGACGACGAGGAGTTTGAGCGACTCGGTAAGCTTCCGATCGCGCCCGCATCACGTCCCCCCCCATCAGTGTTTATGATCGGGACCAGACCTCCAGCATCTCATGTTCATGGAGGTCATGGGCAAGTACCCCCCGCCCCTCCCCGACATTCTCAGGGACGATATCCCTGGCGAGCAAAAAACTTGCGTAGACCTCGGCTGTGGCAGCGGCAGCTGGTCAGTCCCTGTCTTTCCCTCCTCTCCTCTACCCCCCGTCCTCATCCCCTCCAGGATCCTTGATGTCGCACGTGACTTTCCCCATTGTTCTGCCGTCGCCGTCGACCTGGTTCCCATGCAATCAATGTGTGTATTCTCCTTTTCCGCCCCGTCCGGACATGGTTTATGATTAATATCCACACCCTGTTAGAAACATGCCGCCAAATTGCAGGTGAGCCCCCACGCTCCATATACGCTCTGATCCGGTCGGCTCACCGTCGCGGCGTGACCGCAGGAGCGAAGTGGACGACATCAATCTCGGCCTGCAGCACTTTTACGGCGACTTCAACGTCGTCCACGCCCGGCTCATTTCCTCTGGGGTAAGTCCTGCCTTTTCGGCTCCGACTGCCGCACGCGCAGATCTGGCCGATCGGCGCGCAATCTCCGTTTCTGATCCATTGCCCCCCCCCCTTTGGCCGTGCGTGCCTTCATCTCAGATCCGGGACTACGAGGGCTTGATCGACCAAATGGCGCAGGCCTTGCGACCCGGAGGCCTCCTCGACCTCACCGAGTTTGACTTTCGCGTGTACGACCTTAACAAAAAAGTCATCTTGGATCCAAAAGTCTCTGCCTTTGCACGCTGGATGAACCTCTTGCATGACGCCGTCCAGTACAGCGGTGGCGAGCCAGATGCTGCCAACCATCTCGAGACGTGGGTCTCGAGACACTCGAGCTATGAGCATGCTGTCTATCGCGAGTTTTGGTTTGCGTCCTCGCCCTGGAGAGCAGGCCACGATGCCGAAACCCGCTGGCAAAATCGTATCGCAAACGTCTTTAGGGACGACGTATTGGTAAGTGAAACATTTGCCGTGTCAGAGTGTGATATCTGATCCGTCCCTCAGGCATTCCTCAAGTCTGGCCGCACCCTTCTCCTCGGCACTGGCCTGCCAGAGAAGGTCGTGGACGAAGTCGAGGAGAAGGCGCGCACTGAGCTGATGGAGGCGCGTGTACCATCCTACGTCCGTGTCGAAAATGTGTATGCAAGAAAAAAGCACCAGCCATAGAATTTGCCGTCCCGCAGTGACGGCTTTCCATCTTGTTCTTGTTTTCTCCAATTTGGGCACCCATGGCAGCGTTTTGTATATCATTATTATTTGCCACGCATCATCTGGACGGCCGCTCGCACCACATACATCCCCCTCGTCGCTACTTATTCTAGGTAATTGTAATCTATTGGAACTCGCATTCATATACGTCGTGTGCGCCGGAGCAACCAAATAGATATATATTGTGCACCGCCAGGGGCTCGTGCGCCCGATCGAGTTTTGGCCAGGCTCTGGCCGCCGCGTTCAGTAAGCATGCTATCTCCGATCTCCGCTGCTGCGTTCTCAAGCTTGCCGGCCTCCTGAGTGCGGCCTGTAGGGTTTCTCCCCTGCGTTTCGCGCGCACGCCTCCTCCGGCAAGCTACCGCACCCACCAGCCTCATCGGTCCGCAGGCAATTGTCTGGCATCGGCGACATGTCGCGTCCGAGATTAGCGCAGTCGCTGGGTGAAGGTGCGTGGGCCTGTCATTTGCGGGGATCCTCCCCGAAGGGCCCGTCACCGTGCACCCCGGGCGCGCCCATTGGATGTGCGCACGACGCCACGCGCGCGGAGGAGCGCACGACACAGGCGAGACAGCACGCCCCGGCACGGCTCACGAATCACAGACCACGGGCGGGCGCGCCTCCTCTGGAAGGCCCCCGCAGACTAATTGTCCGATCAGAGGTGGAAATTACAGTGGGGGCCAGCTCCCGCTGTCCGCACCCGCACCCGCGCAGCCCTGCAGCGGACGCCCGGTTCCGCGCCGCGCCGCCAGCGTCGGTGTCAGTGTGTGCTCACTGCTGGGACGTGCGCGTGCGTGTTTGAGGCGACGGTGGTTCATGATGCATGTTATCGCGCCGCCCTGTCCGACTCTGAGCTCTAAGGTGCGCGGATCGCGATCTGGCGGCCGGGGGCGCAAATTAAGGACAGGATGTGTGTACGTAGGGCGATGCACGCATGGACGGTTCTGTGCGGCCCCGTGCGACTGCGCTGCGGCGATGGGGACAGCCGCCGTGTGCCCGGAGTGAGCGCAACAGCCTGAGGCAAGGCATGAATGCCCCGGGGAGGTCCATGGCATCTCGTTGGGCCGGCCTGCCGCCTAGTTACTTCTTCTGCTGCCTGCGGACAGCGCAGTCGAAGAGCCCGAGCCCGTCACTGAGATCTGGTCTCGTCCCCAGACGTGTGTGTCTTCGACGCGTCTCAGAGCAGAGGGGACGACCAGTCAGACCGGTCCTGGCACTGCAAGCGTACTTCGAATTCGGGGAGTGCGGCCGTCGCTTCTCACGCCTTCCTTACTGCAGTCCGAGTCCTATGTGCGCTGATAACAGGTCGGTCGGGAAGCGTGCGGGGGCTAAAGCCGTTTCGTCGACCCCGTTGCTCGGGCTGGGTTTAGGTTCCAGCCAGCCCGCCTGCGTTAGCCCACGCTGCCCCCCGCCCCAGGCTTGTCTCAGCCCCTGTTACACTGGGCAGCGCACGAGTGTGGCCGGCGGCCCCACGCGCAGCGCGTCCAGGACGTCTCTGAGCTGCTGATCATTATTATCATCATCATCACCATCATCATCGTCGTTATGTGCTGAATGTGTATCCGCGCCACCCGCCCGTTCGGCGTCGATGTCGAGGACGGACCGCGAGGAGATGCGACCTCACGGGGGTGCTTCGCGGAGATTCGGGGTGAGAGACGTTGCGGCTCCTGAGTGCTAGTGTGTCCTGGCGGCCTGGCGGCTGCGGCTGTATATGTCGGAAAAGCCGTGCATCGACCGAGGCGGGTGTCTCGACTGGGTTCTGGCCGCGGGCGACTACCCGCCCAAGTCGGGGTCATCCGAAGTATCGAGAGCATCCGTTGCATGTCGTTGACCACGCGCGACGGTGGAGCGAGGCCCTCACAAGGCTCATCCGAGTTTGATGTGCCTCGAGCCCCGTCGACGTCGACATCACCCGAGTCCCCGCCGCGTGTGCTGTGAAACGCGTCCCACGTGATCGCGACGCCAGCTTCAATTCATGCTACCTACATCACTATTACTACATACTAGGCACTAGGCCAGCAAAGACACGCACTAGAAGACGTACCAGATTAGACGAACATACAGTACATCAAAATGGACAAGTACGATAGCGGAAAAAGACGATTCGGGAGCGGTATAAATGGCCCGTGAAACTGTCTCGCACGGCATCATGCGTCAATTGCAGTACTCCGGCGGCGGAGCATCGGTGTACGACGCAGGCGTCGATCGCTGCTGGTCTATGCGCTCAGCAATCAGCTCTGCCAGTCGATTCATGTCCCACGTGGGCTGCCCGACGGCGGTGGCAGGTGCGCCTCTCGCGAGATCGGACGCGTGCAGCGAGGGTCGCGAAGACTGGGGCGCAACGGACGTCGCGGGCGGGGACACAGACGGCGCGTCCTGCTGCGCCGCGGCGTGGGTGGGATGCGCAAGATCGCTCTTCTCGTGAGTCGGTTCCACTTCGCAAACCCCTTCCTCTAGAGACGATTCCCTCGTAAGGGGGTAGAATGCGCCCGCGACGATCCTATCTGCGCGCCGCGCAGATGCATGAGCGAGTGTCGAATATGGCGCGACATTTTTCGGCTGTTCATTGGGGCGCGAACGCCGGCGCCGTAGCAGCCAGGTGAGGACCATTGCAAGTATCGCTAAACCCCCTGTTGCCCCAATCGTGGCGCCGGCAATAAGACCTTCATTGGGCCCCTTCGACGAGGGTACTGTGGACGTGCCTGATACAGTATTCGTGGCTAGGCTGGGTGCAGTGTCAGACATGATCCAGTCGTCGTAGCAGAGGAACACGTACGGCGCCGTCGTGGGTGTGTTTCCAGTGGCGTTCGATGTGGGCTCGTGTCCAGTGGCATTCAATGTGTATGCAACGACCGAGTTCAGCCTCAGGTTAGAGCCATTGAAGGAGCTATGGACAATATCAAGTGTATGCGTTTTGTTCGGATCCAAGCCTGCCGCAAAGAACAGCAGCGCATCAGGTATTTTCCACATTGTACTGCCGTTGTAGGATTGGCTATTGCCGTCCAGGACCTGGTGTGTCATCATCACCGACAGTTGATGGAACCGAGGACAGCAAATAGCTTACTATTGTATAAACCCAGTCACCCCAGTCCCTGAATCCACTCACGGCCACAGCTTCGCCCACGAACTCCATCGACATCGAGCTGTTGTAGGTCGATGTCTGATGATACGCCGCCGGGTGCGTGGAGTTTGGGACATTGGGATCGGATGCTATTGACCAATTACCAGAGTAATGCATAACCGACGTGTCTGCGTTGTCGTAGAATATCTCATTCGGGACACCCGATCTGCATTCCTAGATCAGGAACGCGACCTGCGGCGACGACGCCGACAGACTCACCCTGCGAGAAACGGGATCGTGATATTAGCGTAACTGAATGCCGCGACTTGTCCTTTGTTTGCCTCAGGAAAAACAGTCAAGTTCACGTAATGCAACTGAGGGCTGAGTGCGTCATTGGAATAAAGCAGCTCCCCGTCCCCCAGGGACAGGTTGAAATGAGTGGTACTGTCGACTGTGACGTCGTATGAACAATTTGCAGTGCCATAGAGTTGAAGTGCACTGCCTAACGGCAACCAGTCAGTATTGAGCAGGTCAAATTCCATTACGACGTACCATAGAATTCGAATCCGAGACTGGCCCCATAAAGAGAGGTGAGATGTGACGACGGCCCACTAGCGTCATTTCCGCCGTCGGTACAGAAGCCACCCGAGGCGGCGTAGTAAGGCTGCCAGCTAGTTAAAGTCTGGTTGAACAAGCCACCATCGCCTGAAATTCGCGGCTCAGTTGAGCACATCTACTTGGAAATGCTCATACCCACCATGGGGAAGATAGGAAATGTACGACGCGGAATCAGCTATGGTGAAATCCCAGCCTGCGAGACTCATGATGAAATGGCAAGGAGGGATAAACAATGGACATGTTGCCGGGTGAGTATTTTGAACACAGACAGACCGCGCCACAGACCGCGTCACATCAATCTTTCCAGCAACCGCCATCGGTGCATGAAGATGTCCATCGTCACGGTATGCTGGGCATGATGCTGTCTCAGTCAAGAGCGTCGTACTGACCAAAACGACGGGGCACGAATGTCAATGTTGGTCTGCTATTGGCCAACAAAGAAATGATGCTATGAGGCCGATCTTGAGACGTGGCGTTCGTGATATGTATGAGCGGCAACCGAGCGGCAGTGAGAAGTTGATGGAGACACGCCTTGTGCGGTTGGAGTTCAGCTCGATGACGTGAAACGACTACGTAGAGTTCCAAACACCAGCCAGCCACAGCATAAGACATGATGTGTGAGGATGGTAAGAAAAAACTGAGCAACAGTGAACGTACCCTCGTCCGACATTGGGCCCGCAGGGCCTCTCACGACAGAGGGAACTTGTCCCATAGACACACGAACTGTATTCCAGCCGCCACCGTATCACCCGCGCAAGACAGAGCCGCAGCGGATTTGAGTTGATCTGGTTAGCTGGGAGTAAGTATATGCGAACCACAGTGGTTTGATGGCATCCCAGCAGGAACTTCGGGTCGTTGATCGACACGCATCCAAGCCCAAGAGGAACGGGTTCATACTCGTCTGTGTGCACAGCAATAATGATACCAGGAGTTCCCTGGACGATTGTTGCTGGTACGAAGTAGCGCATTTACGTCAAATATGCCATGGTGGGGCTGTGGTACGTGGTACAGGAGGTCCAAACCGGAAACGGTGCGATAGACAATCGATGCAGGGCCCACTGGCAGTCTCTGGCGCACATTGAGTGTATTGTAGTATCAAACCGAGAGTATCATGACCGTCAAATAAAGGAGCAAATACAGAGTGGGGCAGTAACTCCCGGGATAACTTGACTTTAACCGAGGTAAACCGTAACCTGATCGAGGACTCCGCTAAGCGAGTGGATGTATGACCACGTGGCAACTACTTTGCGTAGATGCGGATGCAGCGCTTGCGTGGAATTTGAACCGCACTGGAGGTCTGTACGCCGACTATATCAGACAGTTTCGCCACCGATCTGTTCACGGCATGCAACTAGGATAATGGATTTAGGCAAGAAAGAACAAATATTGCAACAAATTCTAGACCCTCGTGCAGATGCAGCACCGAACATTTTAGCCGAGCTGGGTCTGTATGGTTTGCCTTCACGAGATGAAGTTCATAGGGAGATTGAAGAGAAGTTGTTGTTACCAAAGGATCATCTCCCTGATCACTGGTTACCGACTTACCAAATGTAAGGTCGGAAACGCTGTACCCCGCCTCGATCTGAAGATCCGGCTCACTTAGACACTGGGACCACGAACTCTCCGTGCCCTCCTTGCTCTCGCTCGAACCATCTCCCCCTCCGACGGGACTTGCGTTCGTACGCACTGGACTGCGTGGTCGAGTGACCGGCTACACAGAGGCAAATACGAATTCAATGATGATCAAAATATTGACTCAAGCATTGCACTCCAGGTCTCGAATCCAAGAATATCCACGGGACTTACCTCCACCTCGCTTGATCGTGCGCCAGGTCCCAGTAGTAGCTTTGTAAGAGGCAAAGCGGGATACGTTCCGTTCTGGCCAGGAGGACTAGACGATGTGCGGACAGAAGCCGGTGCCATTCACAACCTTAACGAACAATCCAAAGGTCTCAGAACTATCGCTCCAGGATTCAGTCGTGGGCTGCGATTGCCCGGTGACGATGCCGAAGTGCATGATCTTGACGAGATTGAGAATATTTTAGAGCATAGAAGGGCCCCACAGCAAGAGGTGAGATGACTCCTGTGCAATCATTTCCAATATCTGACAGGTGACAGCCATGTGGACCGCAATATGAACATAATGAAAAGGCCAATCTTACCGCAGCAGCGATGAATGGTGTTTCTGATGTGGATGATTTGCTTCCAACATCCGTAAGGATTGCTAAATTTCTCTGGCCTTGCGAGAGTAAATTGACGATCGGTAATATTCTTAGAGAACACATCTGACCACTGCCAAATCCGCACGTAAACCGTTGCGACGTACAAATATCCAGAAACGAAATTGGGCTCATGAGGTCGATATCAACAAACCCATGACTAATTTTCACGAACTCGTCCCAGAAATGGCGCACAATGCAAGTCTTATCCTGTTATTCAATTACATTAACTGACCAGGTAAATGTCACAGTACCCCTTCGAGCTTGACACGTTCCAGAAGGAAGCTGTCTACCATCTTGAGATGGGCGATTCTGTCTTCGTTGCCGCGCATACATCTGCCGGTAAGACTGTAGTTGCAGAATATGCCATTGCACTAGCAGGAAAACACATGACGAGGTCAGTGGTCGTGTTTCAGCAATCAGGCATATGTGCTCACCGCGTTCAGAGCTATCTATACGTCTCCCATCAAGGCACTGTCGAATCAAAAGTATCGTGATTTTAAACAAACGTTTTCGACATCTTCGGTGGGAATATTAACTGGAGATGTGCAAATAAATCCTGAAGCGAACTGTCTAATCATGACAACGGAGATCTTGCGTAGCATGCTGTACAAGGGTGCCGACCTCATCCGCGATGTCGAATTTGTCATCTTTGACGAAGTGCACTACGTGAACGATGCGGAGGTAAACACCAATCGGCTTTCTGATGCACTCCGTACGCTCATAAAATTTCCAGAGAGGAGTAGTATGGGAGGAGGTAATAATCATGCTGCCTGATCACGTTAATATCATCCTGTTGTCTGCAACCGTTCCCAACACAAAGGAATTTGCTGACTGGGTTGGGTAAGTGATCATGATGTTTACGCATCTCCCGAAGGGCTAACAAGGGCACAGGCGTACCAAGAAAAAGGACATATATGTTATCTCGACAGCTAAACGACCTGTTCCTTTGGAGCACTATCTATACGCTGGACGAGATTTACACAAGGTTGTCGATGCAAACAGATCGTTTCTAACGCAGGGGTGCGACATATAATGATCCCTGGTGTCATCGCCGACTGATCTCTTATCTTAGGTATAAGGATGCAGCTGAGGCTCTTCGTCGGAAGCAAGACAAAGAACGCGAGGCTGCCGGATTGCCACCAGTACAGCGGCTTGGCGCTCGCGCTGCTGCACCTCAAAGGGGACAACGAGGTGGACCAGCTGGCCGTGGCGGTCAGCGCGGTAGTGCACCGGCTCGTGGGGCTCCTGTTGCAAGGGGCGGGTCGGCTCGTACGTTCCACCAGCCTGACAAGAATCTCTATGTCCATCTACTGGGAAACCTCCGAAAAAAATCCTTGTTGCCTGTAGTGGTCTTCACTCTGTCAAAGAAACGATGTGAAGAGAATGCAAGCACTCTCACCAATGCCGACCTGTGCACTTCGGTGGAAAAAAGTGAGATACATGTAGTTATCGAGAAGGCACTGTCTCGCTTAAAAGGCGAGTACTTTGAAGTAAAATGTATCTCACTCGCGTCAACGTACGTCAAACAGGAAGCGATAGGCAACTGCCCCAAATCCGCAGGATGCGCGACTTACTCACTCGTGGCATAGGAATACACCACGGCGGACTGCTCCCCATAGTAAAAGAGGTAGCTATGGTATTCAATTCTCCTCTTTCACTCTGATGGACTGTCGTGTAGGTTGTAGAGATCCTCTTCGCGCGCGGATTAGTCAAAGTTCTATTTGCCACTGAAACTTTCGCTATGGTAGGTCGGTCCTCGGTGTATTCCGGCATGTGCTGATCGATTTGCAGGGCGTGAATATGCCTGCAAAATGTGTCGTCTTCTCTGGTATACGCAAACATGACGGCCGGAGTTTCAGAGATATCTTGGCTGGAGAATATACTCAGATGGCAGGCCGTGCAGGTCGACGTGGATTGGATTCCACTGGTACGGTTGTTATAGTTGCCAATGACGATGTCCCAGAAGTGAGCATTTAGGTTTATGCCCATGAAATTCTTGAACTTATTCATACATTGTAGCAAGGAGCACTACAGAATATGATTCTTGGAACCCCCTCGAAATTGCAATCTCAATTCCGCTTGACGTATAACATGATACTTAATCTATTGCGCGTGGAAGCTCTGCGAGTAGAGGAAATGATCAAGCGTAGCTTCTCTGAGAATAGATCACAGAAACTGTTGCCTGATCAGCAGAAGAAAGTCGTCGAGGTCAGAAGACGGATTGTTACTGTTGTCACCTGTGCTTACCCGTATCATTGCTGCTTAGAGCGAGAAAACCTTATCAACGCTGCCCAAACTCGAGTGCGATATATGTTCACCAGATATCAACCACTTCTATGACGTATCGTATGAAATTGTGGACATCAATCAACAATTGTTAGGGATGGCTGCGGGGCATTCTCAAGGTTCCAAGTTGCTCTCAGCCGGAAGGGTAGTCGTTTTGCGAGATGGAGTATGCTATCCCTCAGCACGACTTGGCGATATTATCTAACCGTTTGACAGCATTTCAGATGGAATTTGGCTGTCATGCTCAAGAGTGCAGGTGTCTTCGATGGGGTGAAAATGTACTACGTTCTTGCCCTGGTAGATTCGGAAACAAAGAGCGGACAACATGGTTTGTATAAATCACCGAGACAATTGAGTTTACTAAGTGCAGTTATCTCCTTTTCCAGACGTTGATATTCACAGCATATCACCACGATGGCCTCCTAAACCTGCGTCACTCATCGTGGACGAAGCTACGTATGAATTTTGCTCAGTGCCATTCGCAAGCATTACGATGGTCTCGGCAAATATAATCAAGGTATGAACCTTTCGTATGAACGACCTGAACAGTATCTTATTTCGTACATTCATGAAAAAGATCGATGTCGATTTTATCGTGTCTGGCCATCGAATTTCATACATGAATGATGCAATTCAATCATTGTCCGCAGTGTTGGCACAGTGGTTACAGTCCGACGACATACCTGAAGTGGACTGGAGTAGAATTCGCTCCCTTGAATTTCAAGATAATTTACGACGACGTAGTGGGCTTATGGACCGGCTGGCAAGCTGCAGCTGCACTCTTTGCGAGGACTTCGAAGACCATGTAAGAGAGTACAACACGGATTTACCAGGATAGCTGACGACGTCTAATTGGCCAGTATGCTATTGTTCACGGCGAAAAGGCTCTACGTACTAACATAGCGGAACTCAAACGAGCGATCTCGGATCAGAACCTGGAACTCATTCCAGATTACGAACAGCGTATAGCCGTCCTCAAGGAGCTGAGATTCATTGATGAAAATTCGACTGTGTTGTTAAAAGGGCGTGTTGCCTGCGAGGTGAGTTCCACAACTTATTCACGCAATAATTCTATGCCATAAATCATCCAACTAGATAAATTCCGCGAACGAGCTCGTATTGACAGAACTCATACTCGAGAATACCCTTGCTACGTTCGAGCCTGAAGAAGTCGTGGCACTATTATCTTGCTTCGTCTTTCAGGAAAAGACCGACATCGAGCCTGTCATTCCTCCCAAGCTGGAAGAAGGTCGAGATGCTATTGTCGCCATTGCCGAACGCGTCGGAAGTATACAAGACTACCATAAAGTTCCTGGAGAGACATTCCGCGGACTCAAATTTGGTCTCATGGAAGTAGTGTACGAATGGGCTAAGGGAATGGTACTAATCTTGTTCCATCTCTATTGTATACACTACTTAAAGCCTCTTGAAGCCATTTGAACAGATTACCGAATTGACGGATGTCGCAGAAGGAACCATTGTTCGTGTCATTACCCGCCTTGACGAGACTTGCAGAGAAGTGAGAGACGCTGCTCGCGTAATTGGCGACGCCGAGTTATTCAAGAAAATGGAGGAGTCGCAAATTAAAATCAAGAGGGACAGTGAGTATGCCTGTGTCTCGCACATACGAACTTCACTAACGATAACACTGGCAGTCGTATTCGCCGCAAGTCTGTATTTCTGAAGCCTGATGACACACTGGCCAGCATCACCTCCTGTAGCTTACAGATACCAATGTAGCCAACCAAATATTCGTTTCTCCCGAACCCAATAGCATTAGTCTCATCTCCGAATGAACAAGAACAGGGTGAAATGCGATCACAACAGTATGCTAGAACAGCCGTTCCTTTTACTTCCGTTTCTTAACAGGGGTATCCGCCGCCTTCTCGCCACCCGCAGGGGCGACAGGCGCGGCCTCAGACTTCGCCTTGTCATCTGGAGTAGGAGCATCCGTCTTCTTTGCAGACTGAGCGAGATGTATTAGTGATACATCCTGATAAGGTGAAGATAAACACACCTTAGTGACAGTCTTCTGCGAACCGCCGACGAGACCGAACAACATGCCAAGCATGCCGAAGAAAGTGACGACCGAGAGAGCAAGAACAGCGCCAACCTCAGGCTGGGTCTTGAATGCGAGTATAGGGTCAAGCTGGGCGAGATCAATGAATTTGAAGATCTTGGTGCGCAAGTACTCAATAGGGTCCTCAGCGAAAGAAACTTCATCATCCTCGTCGATCGATTCAACCTTCTTGACCTTTGATTGTTCGACCTCGAGAGGGTGCTTGACATCAAAGGTCTCAGCTTGCAACGCCTTCGCATCTTCAACAGAGTGGCCAATATAGATGTTATCGAAGAGGATGTCCTCGGTCATAGTCCAGAGCTCAATGCCAACACCGCCCTATGCGTGACGTGCACAACAATCAACTACAGTTCTCGAGACATTGAGCAAATACAAACTGACAATCTTATTCAGACTCTTCACCGGGGTAAGATCTTCGTAATAGTCTGGGTTAGGGATCTTACGAGGGGCCCATTCTCCGATGTACGCGGGGTTGTCAATCATGGGGGCGTACCACTTGCCCTTGTAGTTAGGATTAGCCTTCATAGGGCTACATCACATGTCATTAGCATGCAAGAAGTGAAACAGACATGAACATACCGCTTCCATTCACCACAGCCCGGGGCCTCATCACAAGCTGGGTTGCGAACCATAGGAGCAATCCAGTCGCCGTCTTCCTCGTCGTCCCATTCTTCGGGTTTCTCGGAATCTGATTGAAGTCATAAATAATGGACCACAAGACAGATACGAAGGAACAGACCAGGATCAGGGATGGTCTCGGACTCATCATCGAGCCAACCATCAGGCTTCACAGCGTCCTCATCGAGGATTTCATAAGGCTCGTTCTCATCCCAGTCATCAGGCTGATAAAATTGCATCAACTATACTCAGCATTACGAAATGCGGTATACAAACCTTTTTGGCATCAGGGTCGGCGATCCTCTTAGTGTCAACCCAATCTTCAGGCTTCTTATCTTCCGGGTCATCAATCTCCTTAGGGGGGTTGACGGCGGGATCGAAGTCCTCGAGAAGGTTGCCAGAGGCTTTGCTTTCACCATTGAACAAGACATCAAAAGTGTTGTCAGGGCTAAAAGAAAGCGTTAAGGAACAATTGCTAACAACAGTGGAACCAAAACGTACTTGAGAACGAGAGTATACAGGTTAGTGAGTTTCTCAATAGAGGGCTTGGGAGGAGCCCGGAGATGCTTCTCCTCGAATTCGCCAGTAATAGGGTTTTTGTGACGGAAAATGAAGTGGATCTAGGTAACGACAATAATCGCAGTTAGATATTTAAGGACATCCATAAGAAAAACGTAGCTACCTTCGTTCCCGGACAAGTTAGATCGGGACCGAACATGATTGTCCATGGTGTCTTGTCAGAAAATTCCTTGCCCTCTGTCTGGAATCCATCCTCCAAGAGCTTGATGTATCCACCACCGCAGTTACCACCTTTCTGATACTTGACCTCATACTGCACAACCAAAGGCTTGTTACTGAAGTCAACAGCCTCGGCAAAAGGAGCAGAGATAGCATGGTGAGCAGCCTTAGTCTTTGCAACAAGACCTTTGCTGCCATCAATGACAGATATCGTGGGTTCCTCAACCTCCCATTTGCCAACATAGCTGAAAGTCTCGCCGCCAACAGGGGTCTTCTTGGTGGCTTCCGAAGGGGTCCACCGGTCAGACCAGTCATCTGTAAACTGCTCGAGGAATGGTGCCTTGATTCCAGTAGCCTAGTGTAGTATTCAACAGTAAGCCAGACAGCCAGAAGTTGACGTATATACCAACAACTTGCCTGGAAAACAGGTTTGGAGTCCTCCTGCGCTACGACATGAGTCGCAGCGAGGGCGAGGAATGTGGAGAGCGCTACACTTCGCATGGTGTACGAAGGACCAAGACGGAGAGAAACAATACGCAGGGGAGAGAAACGAGCGAGGGACGGGGATGAGCTGGGTAGAGTGGTGTGCGAACCTCTGCGAGGTCTAAATGCACTTGGCTGATTCTGCCACGTATACAATTTCCGCTGAGTTCTATGTCCGACACGTGGCCAGCTCATTGCACCCACGTCAACACGCTTTGTCCACGCTCACAACAAATTGAAATCTCAGAAATTAGTGCACTACAGGCACCAGTCAATTACAACAAGTACTCTATCCTAGTAGGTCTGCATGACCAGACGCCGACAGTGCGAGCTGCAGAACGGGGCAGGTTGTTAGCTTGCGGCACAAATTCAGCTCCTCAAAGCACTCACTATAAACTCGTCGTCGAGATATTTTGACACGGCGATCTGATCTCCGAGACCTTTTCGCCGACGAGTCTTTAGCACCAGGTCCCGAGCCAACGCTTGGCCGGACGCGGGCTCCAGTGGCCGCAATTTAATGCTAGTGTCGGTGGGGTCGCCTACAAATTCATCATGGATGTTGGTTTCTCTCTTCGAGATGACATGACGACATACCCGGTACAATCGACCAGTGATCAAACACTTGCAGACAGAACGCCTGGCCTTGTGTTGCTGTTCTCAAGTCGGTCTCAAAGCCATTTGCGTCAATCACTGGAATCAGCGCTTTCACCGTATAAAGCGGTGAGCCTGCTTTAGGGATGTCCTGTGTAACATGACCACGCCGACGAGCGAGGACCGTATACACTGCTGATATGCAGTCCGCTGGTGCTTGTACTTCCACAAAGTAGACAGGTTCCATGAGGCGAGGGGTTGCCTACACATATGAAGAGGTAAGGGTCCAAACTTTTACTCAACGATGAGCACTCACCATTAAGAAAGAAGAGTAGCAGACACGCCGCGCGGTAGGGACAATTTGACCTCCACCACGGAAAATTGGCTCCTGCGCAAGACCTGCATCTAATATCCGAAACTTGACATTGCGCATAGCTACAATCACGAATTCAGGTCGGTAGCAGGAGCTCAAGAACTAACACTCACGTTCGTCACAAAGCGGGCCCTCCCGAGCACCCCATTGGAAACCCTGCTTAATGTGCTCTTTGACCGTACCAAGCATTTTCTTGTCAATCTGCCATTATTTGCGATGAGCAATCACGCTCGTAGAGGTACCTCAATAAATACCTGCGATGGCAGCGTATCGTCCAATAGCACATTTGGACCACTATCATCTGGTCCAAATGCCCAGATTGATCGGGATGCAAGTAGATCCCATTGATATTTTTCCTCGAAGAATTTGCCTCGTTCCTTAGCAGATATGCGCATCGACACTCGGCCGGTTTCGATGTCCTCCGCAATCCCCCGTTCGAGAGGTTCCGCAATCATAGTGATCCGGTTCCTACACAGAGAGAAAGCGCGTGAGCTACTACAGTCGTGCGAGTACAGAAATCGTACTTCTTGTTCGGTGTATCTGCATAACACTTCAGTGCGCTTGTCTCTAGCACAGTTTCACAGAACTTCGTCACTGGATCCGACACCTTGATCTCGATCTCAGAGAAAAGCCTCCGCAAATCGTGCATGACACAATCGAGGTAAAGTTCGCCTGTGCCGATGAGTACATGCTCGCCACTCTCCTCCACTTTTGTGGATACCAATGGGTACGACTTGTTCACACTTCGGAGGCCAGACAGCATTTTGGGTAATTCTGAAGGAGCAATAGGTTCGATAGCAATTTTGAGGACAGATTGTGTCATGTGCTTGACGGGTTGGAATATATGCAAGTCGTCCTCAATGTCTGTAGAAGCTAAGGTTGCAGTTTTCGTGATTGATGCATCGATGCCGCCCAGCAAGACCAAATTACCCGCTGGTACTTCTTCCGCAGGAATAAAGTATCTGTACAAAGCGTAAATCGTAGTACACAATTGAATAACAGCCGATAAACCTTGCTTCACTGAGCCAAATGTCTTCTACTATAGTCTTGGCCATGTCTTCCTCGTCTTCTGGTGAATATCCCTCGCCGAGGACTTTAACATCCATCCCCTTCCGTAAGGTGCCACAGATGATACGCCCGAAGGCTCTGAAAGCCTGGGCATCAGTAGTATGGTAAAGCTTCGTGATCTGCACCATAACGGGACCCTCAGGATCACAAGTCTTCATTGCGGAAACTAGTTCTGAAGACATAGGACCCGTGTAGGTGCGCTCAACCTAGATACACACCGCCTATCAGACGTAAAGAAGCTAACCTTGAGTGCTGGTGGCTGACCTTGCTCGTAGCTGCCTCGATAGGAGAAGGAATATGTTCAGTGATCATATCCACAAGCCCCACAGCAGGTCCGAAGAACTGGTCGAGTACCGCCTTCAAAAGTGGACGAACGTCCATTTTATACATCACTGGGGCCAGCCGAATGCCCAGACTTTGCAAAGTCACTTTCAGGTCGTCCGTTTCTTCGCTAAGCACTTGACTATATAACTTGTACAAAGGCTCTAGTATGAAATGGACAAAGGACCTGTTCATTTCTGGGTCTGCAGGCTTGCGCATGAACTTGCGCGTTTCTGGATTGAAGTAGATATTTCCCCAAAGTCTGTCAGCGAATGCAGGTACATCTAGAGGACCTTCACAACATATAAGCGGCCTACAAAAGAACGGACCTTACACTGAACATACCATATGTGTCGGCATACATCTGGGAAAATGAGCGAAGAGTGAAACACCAGTGCATATCCGTACTGGCGAATGCCACATTGCCATTCTCGGGACTTAGGCGCAGCTCTGGGTCGGGATTAATGCCGCTGTAAGGACCACTTATAAAGAGCTCTTATAACCTATACGAGTGCATGTCTCACCTAATGATAGTATTAACTTCCTCGATAGTGTGCTTGATTTTGTAGTAGGCGTCTGCAGGCTTGACCCGTAGCTCGAGGATAAGCCTGTCAAGTTTGTTAACCACAAGTGTCATTTTGACGCCCTCTTGCAGACAGTGACGGATGATATGTTCAGTGTTGACCATAACCTAATAAGACCAGTTAAATGTCTTGCAGGTATAAAAAGATGGAACGTACACCCTCCACAACGTCTACCATCAGGATTACACCGTCAACTAGCCGGACTGCCGACGCAACTTCGTCTACGAAGTTGACGTGGCCTGGCGTATCAACCAGATGAATCAGATGCGATTTGCCCGCGCTTGTTGACAAAACTAACGACATAGGCGAAGACTTAATAGATATACCGCGCTCACGCGAGAGAACATGAGTGTCTGTGTAACGAGTCTTTCATGCAACACTGAGTCAGACTTGTGCATTCCGATCCAACGACAGACTCACCTGATGATCTGAGTCCCATAACATCTTGTGGGTTTCAAATACCAACATATCCATGAGTGCTGTCTTGCCATGATGCAGGTGTCCAACAATTGCAACATTCCGGATAAATTCAGGGAAGGCAGTCATGTTCAGCATGAACCTACGCAACTTCTGAGACACAGATTAGAATCACAAACAAATACTTAACTCACCCTTTGTCGAACCGAGTTTCCGGCATATCCTTCTCCTCCACTGCCCATTTTCGCACTTTAATCGGTGCAATGATAGGCTCAGATAATGGCTGCGCGTCCTCTTCTTGCACTAAAGTCTCCACGTCGGCCCCATAAACTTCCTCCGCTGACGGATAGTACTGCTTGTCTTCATGCAGAACAACTGCATTGTGTATAGGTTCTAGAAGAAATAAAATAAGAATTAATTGGGAAAACATTGACGATGGCCAACATACCGTCAATTTCCATCAGTGCAGTTTCCTCATTTGTCTGCATAGGCTCGTCGTCAAAACCCTCAAGTGGCTGAGCCTGTGCCTGCTGCTGAATGAACTCATGATGCGGGACATCCTCTTCGTCATCAGAGTCCAAATCAGCACCAATATAGTTTCCGAACTCATCGTAATCTTCAAATGAGGCCATGTCGAATTGTCGGTACAAGGCAGCAGGAGGTTGTGCAAAACAAACGATGAACCAGGGAGGACGGAGAGAATAATATCCAGATTAGCCCCAGATTGGCCTCAAATGCGAATAGATTGTCGTACAGCAGTGAACAGCGATACAGAACAGAGCAATACACGAAAGTCTCACAAGCAGGTGGCGGGAGGCAGGAGGAAATCAGCGCTTGTCCGCTCTCGCCCAGGCGCTACACCATTCAGACGCGTCGATCATTCACCGCGACCTCGCGACCTCGCGACCTCAGGCGAGCCATGGCAAGCCTTTCGGATGAAACACTGCGCAAAGTAGCTTTTCATTTCGTTTCTTATTCCGGACTCGTGCTCAGGATTATCAGATCTTAGTCCAGATTCAACAAACCGCTGTACAATCGCAGAAAGCTCTGAATGTCTCCCGACAGCAGATCGCGGCGAAGGAACGAGAGCGTCGCATCTTGCAGCTCACCATTGACGAGATCACATCTTTGAAGGGTGACGTGAATCTCTACAAAGGTGTCGGGAAAATGTCAGTGTGCAATATGCTTTCCACATTTATTCTCTGAAAGCCTTTCAGGTTCATGATGGTTCCGCGTCCAACAATGGAGAAAGAATTGAAAGTAGAAGAAAAAGAGTTGACGGACGACATTACCAATTTAATGAAGAAGGTAGAGTTACACTCTTACTTTGCTTTATGAGAACAGATTCAAACACCACATTTGCTATAGTCCAAATACCTTGAGAAGCAGTTCGATGAAGCGCAAGGTCAACTGCGCGATATTGTACGCCCGTCATCTACTCATTACATGCAGCGTGTTAACACATTGTCTTAAGTTTCACAATTCGTCACAGCGACAGTGAACTTCATGACTATATAATATCAAATTGCTTTCTATTCATGTATCGTGTAGCCTATCTCCGCTATGTTCACCTCCAGCTAATGCAACATCATCTTTGTAATACGTCTGCTGCCAGCCTTGACTGTTTTCTGGATCGTATGACTGACTAAACATAGTATGTGACTAGTACAGTGATGTCCGAATGTGAGGACCATATTAGACGAACCATCGGCCTGCGGTAAGAGGAAGCGAATATGTGATATCTAAATGATCGATGAGTGCGTATAGAGGATACGATAGTCTAAATGCAGCGGCGAAACAAAAGAGAAAAATAAAATAGAGCGGTCGTTATCGCTTGGCATATCGTAAGAAACGCGATGCAACTGAACACCACATTGTCAGTAATACGTGGAGTGAGCAAGAAGAGAAACACGTACTGATCGTCGCAATGACGTTGAAGACTGTATGTCGGCATAGTCAGCGAAGAGCGATACGGATTTATTCAATCATACATACCAAAGTAACAGAAGAAAACGAAGGCGTCTCGCCACCGATTATGGTATGAGATGTTGAGGGGCTCGAAGAACTGATCGCCAACCTGTTACGATGTCGTTATGATACAATCTTGAGCCCATTGTAGCACAGACGACGTACAGCATATTCACAGTAACGGCAGGCGGTAGTAGAATTGGGGTTGTCGAGGTACCCACCGAAAGCAGACACGAACTCGCCCGCCCACTGCTGACAAGTCTGCCCGGAGGGCGGACTGAAGATGGTAAATTCATCACTTTGACATTTAATGACTAGGCCACTGTCAAATACGACGCCATGTTCAGCGACAAAAACGGATCCGTGAGAATGGCAGACATACTGTAACTCAGTGGACAGCATGGAGCTAAGTATCCGAGTATAGGGATCTAACTGATACAGCCATGATCTGAAGAAGTTCTCAAGAGTGGGAAAGGGTATCGTGACACCGCAGAATGTGCTCAACACCACAATCATGAAGGGGTTGAACAGGGGGGCGATCTATCATATGTGAATGTCAGCCATGCACGTACAGACGGCGAAGAAATATACATGCCTGCATGCTGGGTGAAAGGGCGCCAATCAACTGACCAAAGCTCACACCGAACATCTCCACAAAGATGACAACTAGCAGCTGGAAGAATGTGCCTCCAACACCTGCTGAACCCTTACCGAAGCCCATGGGGTAAACCTTCAGTGAAGAATCAGTAAGTTGCACGCGGAAGGAAGATTCTGGCTGACCATGAGAACCCAGTAAAGGATAGCGCATAGGAGCGAATATGGGATCTCTCCTAAGAGTTGGCCAATGGCAAAAACATATGGCGAATATATGCGACTAGAAGCCTCTGATGGAAGAATCATGAGCACTCAAGTAGCATGTGCCTGACTATGACCGACCTCGAATAAAAATTCCTGACAGCGTCACATTAGAAACGATCAGCATTCAGCTCGTGAAAACTTACTTCTGTTGATAATCCACATGGGCTCCAATTGGCCCATAAGAACAGCCGGCAAGATTGTTATCCAGAAGCTATAGAAGCTTTTGAGTATCGCGAATCATACCATGCAAGTCCGAACGTACATTCCGAAAACACGGTACTGGAGATCGCGCACACTATCTCCCAGCTGGAGGAACGGCAAGGAGACGAACAAAGAAATGAACCCATGCACGAAAAGGCGACTGAAGACATAATCGGGCGACCGCCAGAGCATCAAGTTATTTCGTGTTACAACCACCTTGAGCTGGTACAGGAAGGGTGTTGCATCTAGACCGCGAGCGGTGAGAATTCACACATGCTAAACCTGGGAAACACCTACACATGGATGGTTTCTTGTCTGATTCCTGAATAGGTATGGCCTGAGCATCCCGCTTGATACGATCGATCTCAGTCCGCATATCAGTGTATTCTTGTGAGTCGTGCCAAATATCCTTCCAGTCTCGATCACCAATACGAGGTGCCAAGCCAGCACCGATGGCATCGAGCATGAACTAGCACGAAGAGTATTAACGAAGTATCTCATGAATGATCTACACATGCTACGTACCTCTGCTGGATTGACGTTGGGGGGGCATACCGCACCATGCCGAGCAAAATAGTCCCGTAATGTTTTCGAATCTTCACCGATGTCGCCGAAGTAAACGGTCTCACCTCCCCGCTCCAACAGTAGTAGCTTGTCAAATGTCTGGATTAACATGGACGACGGTTGGTGAATGGTACACAGAATTGCTTGTCCGTTATCTGCCAATTTCTTCAAAAATCGGACAAGGTTCCACGCGCTCTGACCGTCCAATCCGGAAGTGGGCTCATCCAAGAACAAGAGCGACGGCTTGCTTGCAAGCTCCACACCAATCGTCAAACGCTTGCGAGCTTCCACTCCCAGGCTAGCAACGATAGCGTCGGCCAAATCCTGCAACTCCAATACATCGATCATCTCCTCGACGTAAGCATCCTTGTCTTCTTGGGGGATGTGGTGGGGTTGTCGAAGATATGCAGAAAATCTCATAGCCTCCCTGACCGTAGCCGTGCCTTCATGCACATCCATTTGCTCGGCTGGAAGAACAATCAGACATCTTATTAATCGATTTGAGTGATTCCGACGTACCATACGCCGTTTTGCGTGCGAAGTCACTGCCGAGAGGCCGGCCATCCAATAGAAGATCACCCGCAACGACACCAATGTTCTTGCGTTGTGCAAGCACATCAAGGCAGGTGGTTTTACCTAAATTGACAGCATTGAGACGACACGAGCGCGGGCAATAGCTAGAAACATACCCGCTCCGGAAGAACCCATCAAAGCCGTCAAAGTCCCAGGTTTACAATAACCGAAGACGTCGTGAAGCAGGCGTCTTGTACCGCCAGTCACCGGTACATGATAATTGATGTTCTCCCACGTGAATGTCTTCGAATCAAACTCCATGTCGTCAGAACTATGGAGTTTTTATCAGGCCCGGCTCCCATTACACAGCTCGTAGACACAGACCTATCTTTGGAAACTTGCGCCTCGACATCAATTGTCTTCCTAGATTTAGGATCCCGGCGTGCCTTAAGCGCCTGGAGATTAGCATTACGAACTTTCGAGTCCGCAGTCTCTTTAGCAAAAACGGTAACACTCGAGGCCCCAAAATATTGCTGTACGAAAGGTCAGATGGTCAAACAATCCTCTCGATATGAATGCTTACAGGATAGTATTCCAAGAGTAACACCTGGGTGATTTGGAATAAGAAGAAGAATCCAAGTAGTACGAGGAAGTTTCGTCGCCACAGATCTGTGACCATAATCCCATAACCGATGTCGACATACGTGCGGCCGGGAATTTCGCTCTGTCCTGACGACGCGCCATACAAGGTACAAGCTTGATTTGGACCCAACGAGTTCCTGTGAGAGGTGCATTGAGAGATGTCATCTTAAACACATTGTACAACCACAACTGACGGGTATTTGTCAAGACCAGGTCCGTTATGCGGAACAATATAATTCCCATCACAGGCCAACTATTTCTATATGCTCAGCGCCGGGTATAATAAGCGTGAGATGGACCAACTACGTACGTTAATCCGCATAAATTCGTTTTCCATGCAACCAGACCAGGCTGATAACCTCGTCTGAGCAACTGGGTAGTACCGCGCCAGTGACGCACTTACCGTATGAAAGCGGGTTGATGTAGAACTGCATAGAATGTTAACACCCGGCGCGATTTGAGATAGTGAGACTTAGCGTACAATCCAGAACAACCATCGCTTCATGCTGAACACAGGTATCATATAACCTGCATACATGATCATGTTAGGCATAAAGAATGTGGCAAGCCGGAAAGCGGCATCAAAGTTAGAGCACAGGAATCCAAACGACCTAAAGAACCCTTGCATCGTGAGGAATGCCAGATACACCTATGCCAAATTCAATCGCGCGCATGAACAGAGAAAACTCAGCACGTACAAATAAGTGATACGTGAAGAAACCACCAGCAGATCTTGCCAGATTCGACATGAAGTAAATAATAACATTGTAGAGGAAAATCCGGAGGGCAGAAAAGGGCATGTCCGCTAGAGTGTTCGCTATCGCTATCGCGGCGGGGCGATACAAGCTATAACCCGTCTACATGGACATGAGCAAACTGTGAACAAGTCATGACAGTCATCCGATACATACCTGCTTCTTGAGAATAGGTCGCCCAAGCATTTGCACCGGCATCTGCACACAGATAAACATACTCATCAGCGATAATCGACGGAGATTTTACCCTGCTCCACAAACCTCTCCGAACGTGTCTAAGCAAGCCGTAAGCATACCGACGAAAATAACCGATCCCCTCGTGAAGGCACCCGCAGCGTCGGGTTGAAGGTCAAAGAATGCTCCACCAATAATTATAGCCAAGACCTAACGCTGCATGAGACGACTTACGATGTGCAGCAGGACACTCCCACTTACCGTGTACAGTGTGAAACTCGTGATGAGCTGGAACCGATCCTGGAGACGCATTCTAAATTGACGCAAGGTCAAGGCCCGAACCTGGTTAATGAAACCCTGCGTATAAGGACTCTTCTTCGAAACCCCGCGCTTCTTGTCGGCCTCTACAGCGGCACGGAACTCCTCCTGGTCCGTCTTATCCTGGTCCATCAATACCTTGTAGTCCCCAAGTAGTTTGCGCATCTCGCCTGCAAAGTCGGACTGTAGGAACGCCTGCTCGAGCTCCTCGGGAGACGACGGTACGTCTTCCTCTGACCGACCGTCAGCAAACTGACGCTCGTTGGGATCAGTGCACCCAGTTAGATAGTCAGCAGTACTCTGCCGGGGGAGCGGTCGGTACCCGAGCCCCTCGAAGTAAGCCCGGGCTGCAGACGGAGGTCCAAAATACACCTGACGGCCCTTGTCGAGGACGAGCACCTTGTCGAACAGGTCGTATATTGATTCACCGGCCTGGTATCTAAGATGCCAGTTACATTAACATGAATACATAGAGATGGACCACTAGGCTCACAAGGTGACGAAGACAGTCTGTCCAAGCACGTCTGTCATGATACGAAGCGATTTGACGAAGTCCAAGGCAGTGCTGGCGTCGAGACCACGAGTAGAGTTATCGTAGCAGAGGACATGTGCTCGAGTCGCCATCATCTCCGCAATCGACACTCGTTTCCGTTCGCCGCCAGATACTCCACGGACAAACTCGTCACCCACATAGGTATCTGCGGTGTGCGAGATATTGAGCATCTTGAGCAGCATGTTCTCAACCGAACGATTAAATTCCTTCCGCGATAAGCCAGGAAGACGGCCATTGGGTCCAGGAGTCTTCAACGATAAGGCAAAGTCCAATGTCTGAGAGACAGTCAGCGTGGAGATGTGAATGTCATCTGTTGGGTGAGTCAGAAGCTGCTCTATGGCCGCTAGACAACATGGGTACTGACCTTCTTGGTTGTAGACAACCTCACCCTTGTAGTATTTGGCCATTTCGTGCGCATCGATACCAGCGTAAAGAACATCGCCAGAAACACTAGCATATTCCCGCTTTTCATTGGCCAACGTTTTCAAGAACGTCGTGCAACCAGCTCCAGGACAACCCAAAACCAAACACATCTCACCCGGCTTAAGCAAGCCGGATTGCCTGGTAACTAGCCGTCAGCACGCACGAAAGTAATTCATAAGTTGCGACTCACTTGTGCAAAATAGTCGTGGTCGGAACCTGCTGCTCCTTGGATGGAATGATCTTCGAAAGAAGGGGCCAAAGTATCCGAAACGGAGTCAGCCAAAACTCGACCGCATCCTCTGAAAGCCCTCGTTAGTGCTAAGTACAAGGAGACGTCATTCACCTCGGCCACCTACCGCCAAATGTCTTGGCGTATATCTGCAGGACGAGTTCAGTGGCTGCATAAATTGAATTGGACAGTGAAGATACCTTATGGCCGGTTCCACCGAAGACGTCGACACGGAGGTTATCCCAGGTAACGCCGACATGTTTGTGCTTGATGCCTGCACTCTGCATAGCATCGTTGGAGCTGGAGAGATACTCGCGCAGGTCAAAGGCCTCTTCAGACGGCGCCTGCTCTATATCCTGAAAATGCTGCTTCTCACTTTTCTCGTCGGCGTGAGAAGCTAAGGAGCGGCGAGACAGAGCCCTAGAGAGCTGGTTGAAAGCCGCCTCTGCCTGAACGATATCTACATGATGAGCGTCGTACTCGGCACTGGCGAGGGTCTGATCGTCCTCGGGAGACTCAGCCATACTTAGGGTGAGAGGACGGGGAGGCTGGAGAACTCGCCTTCTGAATGGCCTACGTATATAAATGATATCCGAGGATCTTACCAAGATCTGGTTAGTGTGCCCCCCGTTCTCAGCTATTCCGATCAACCGGCAACACAAGGTGCTTACACACCCCGACTTCTTTTGACACTAGGTGGATAACGTACAGGATTCATGTATGCTATCTCAATGGATCTACTCAGGACTCCTTATAGTCGAGCGAGACGCAGCCAGCACAGCACAGCGGGACTTGTTCGATCGGCGTTGGGGACGCACAAACGCGTCTCTCTGAGTTCACTGCCGCAAGACCAACAGTGACTCCTGCGACGGTGCCGCCGCCATGATGTAGACTCAGCGTAACACGGGCCCGCATGGTAAGCGAACGAAGCGCGAGAAAACAAGAGCGGTCGCCACCTGCGTCTTTCTGTGCCACCAGTCTTGAGATCCACAGTGACTCCTGCGGGGGCGCCGCCATAATCTAGGCGATCTAGACTCAGCGCAATGCGGACGCGCGCGGCCAATATCATTACATACGGAGTCAAAGAAAATCAGAGCGCGTCGGAGCCCTCTTCACTTCCGAGGTCCGGGTCCCGGACTCGGACTCGGGCGGCCCTGTCCCGTGCCCTGTGCTGCACGTGATCTACTCGTCCTGGTGCTGGGGAACCGCTCTATGCTGCAGATCTCACTCTTGGTGCGGCCATGTATCTTTTGTCTACTCTCACATTCTGCCTATACCTCCGCCTCGCCGTAGCGCACGGTGATCATGACGCCCCTGCCTCGGGCGAGTCAATTCAACAATATGCAGAGCGACACGTATGTCATTCACTACGAGTCCATGCACACACTCACCTTGCCACTAGATGGCCAAGGAGCATCACATGTGAGTCGGTATAACTCCTGCTGAGGGTTATCGGTCTGAGGCTCTGCTTTTGGAAGTGATTCGTTTGATGCGTCCAGCTTCTTCCAGCTTCACGATTTGAACCGGTGCGTCCATTTTGTTCATTACCAAACCCTCTTCGCTTTACTGTTGCACAGAGACGGTGTTTGGGACCGCGAGGAGATTGAGGCGATCTATGGCGTCCACCACGTCTATTCGCAGAAGAAATCCAAGGTACGTTTCCGCCGCCGTTCGGTACCCTGACGTATACCGATTTCATCACGCATTTAGGACGACATTGAACACCAAAAGAAAGCCGATCACATTGTAAATACTGTTCTTGGTCGATTGGACAAGGACAAAGACGGCAAAGTGACACTGGAAGAATTTTTGAGTGTTGGGCTTGATGGTCTGCCAAACTTTGATGACTTGGGTGCTGAGGGACATCACTACGACGTGGAGAGCGGTACGTCTACTAATACAGCCATGTTTTAGTGCTATACTCATGCAGCTCCAGAGTTCTTCCTCCATCACGAAGGTCAGTACTAGCGTTGCTGCTCACTCATTGACTCACATCCTCGCAGAGGAGTTCCACTCTACGCCTGAGACGCAGACAGATGAATCGTACGTTCATCCTGAGGACATTGAGCATTTCGCCCAGCACGAAGCAATCGAACGCCAGGAGGCCGAGCGTGAAGCTCGCTTTCAGGGTATCTCCGTCGATGAAGCGCTCGCTCAGCATGAGCCACATGACAACGCACAGGCCCCAGTCAAGGCGCCAGACCAACAACAGGCAGATACAACGTCTCCCTCTGCTCCACGTGTGACGCGGAGCAAGCCTGAGATTGACGACCCCGTAGCGCGCTACTCGAGTATCAAAGCAGAGGGTCAATGGGGTGAGGGTGATGCCGGATACACGCCGCCAAAGCTGCCGTCGGATAGGCTCAAGTGCGTGTCTCCGTGTTCACCGAATTTTTCACGAACTGACTGTCCGCTGATATGCTAGGAAGAACTTGCCGTATAAGGTGCATTTATTTCGTGCACCTTTAGTACTGGTCCGAATGCTCACCGTTGTCACCGTGCACAGTACAAATTTCGGAGAACCTGGGGCGATTTCTGAGGGAATCTCATTGGCATATCCCCATGTCGGCTATTTTCTTGATGGAATGTATTTATCGGCATATCTGTTGGAGTTTGTGGTGCAGAACACTAGCGTGGGCCGGGTTGAAGATTTCTGCGATGCGAGCCTAAGGCATGCATGGCTCGCCTACAGTCGGATTATGCCGCCAGAGTGTTACTCTCTGATCTGGGCGATTGTCAATCACTATGTCAATTTCCGATTCACCGCTGGGACTTGCACGAAACGCGTGCGAAGCTTGGGCCTCGCAGACGTTGCGTTGATATCTCATTGGATGCCTCCCGGCGATCGGCTTATTGAGGTCATTCCGATTCCAGGTTCAGATCCCCGCTGCACCGGGAAATCCTGTACCCATTAGTGTTGAGATGTAGTGCGGATGACTGAAATATGGACATCGGAATATACGGGATCGCCTCGGTCAGCTAGATGTCGACCATACGGTATGACAAGCAGCGGACGAGGCGTGTCAGATACATTCGACATCAGACGACTCTAGTTATGGTACTAGTTATAGCTTGCCCAGTGACGAGCTAACCTCACACCACCCAAGTTCTGCTCAGTACCAACTGCAAAGGATCCACGAGACATTAATTACTACTACGTACAATTCTGATCATGCACTATGTCACGCTCAAGTAACCAGTGTTCACTCCCTGTGCTACCTCCCGTCAAACATGTCTTCCAGTAACCCTTGCTCGACTGCCTCCCAATCAATGTTCCCACCGCTACTGTATACACTCTCATATGATGCAATACTTGCACCCGAGAAAAACGGTATTAGGTCGCGGATACTGTCTATCTGCCGAAGAGCTCGAAGCATCGGCCGACGCATCGGTCTGCCATCCGCGACTGGCGTCGAAGGCCTACCTTGCGGACCATTTGTAGTATCCTGACACACCAGGTGAGCCGGAGACTATATACCCTATATTACCCTTACCTCTGCAATGGGTAAACTACCCGTAACCTCCGCCAGGCGATCAAGCATAGCATCTGGGAACCAGTCGTCTGGTCGATACACCGCATCAACTGTGTCCGTGATGAATATCCATTGATATCTGAACGAGGTGTCAGTGCTATTCAGCGCAGATGTAGTTAACGCACATCTGGAATTCTTCTGTTTGGAGGACTAATAAGAGGTCCAGCAGCTTGCATGCAGCAAGGATCAATCCCAACTCCTCGGAGCCATCAGACGGTAAGCTAGTCAGTGCTTGATCGAACAGGCGATACTAAGTTATTGCGTAAATATTAGCGCGAACGACGTGAAGGTAAGAACTCACGAGCTCGGTGAGTATCACTGGCCAGAAGCTTGACAAATTATGAGGGGATAATCGACATAGTAGCACTCGCACACATAGATAGACCTCGCTCTGGACAATAGGTGCAGAGACATTCCGTAGAGTATCCACCAGTTTCTCTTGAATGCTGGGCAATTGCGTCAAAAAGTGATTTTTCTCTCCAGATAACAGCGCATATGACAGTCTGCGGAGGTTCAAGGAACGCAGCAGCATTTCATATTCTCGATTGGTGAATATATTCGCCGACGGTGCGGTGGTGATTTTACCTGCATTAAAGCTCAGCAACAGTATTACATGTACGACTATCCCACAAGACTCACCAAGAAGCTCACTTAACGAAGTCTTATCTGTATCGAAAAGAGATTTGATCATAACTCGCCATTTTCCCCCTGCATCCGGAGTAGAATTGAAACACCGGTTGTCATTGAAAGCATCAGTGACTGGACCGCGCCATGCTTTGATCGCGGCGCCAATCCTGGTCATCTCTTGCAGAATGCACAAAACATTGTCTTCGACATTGAGGGGTCTCGCTGGACGTGAGTAATCTCATCATTGATATAATCAAAGTCATATACCTCGTCTTGCTCTTTAGAGTCGGACTGACGATATTGTAGACAATAGTATTGCATACAGCAAGGATCTTGTCACCCTCCGACAGGAATTTCCGCAAATTGGGTACCACACTTGATGCAATGTACAAATTAACCTATAGCAGCAATGAGCCATCATACCAAACATTCAGACTTTTCAGACCTTTTCGACTGCGTCCGTGCCATAAGAGGGCTTGACTGAGTCAGGAAGTGACGTAGAACTGGAGTTCATCTTCTCATCTAGCTTCGTGTCGGAAACAACTAGAAAGACGTTAGCCAGATTGTGTACTTGGATCTTACATTTGCTCACCTCGTGTGAGGGGCGACTCGCGTCCATTACCAGCCAATATTTCCCTTTGAGGTCTGCGGATCCACGATCCTTGGTCATATGGCCGGCTTGCTAAAGTACACAAGTCGAGAAGCTTGCTATAAGTTTCCTGGATGGGGCATTAGATAAACGTCGAACGAAAGTGGAGACGATGATACCTGAAGCTCCTTACGCAACCGGCGGTCATCTACAGAAGTCGTTTGCGACAACTTGTCAGCCAAAATTGTGAAGCACCTATAATTAATTATACAGTCAGGAGCATACGGTATTGTTGATATTCTTCGTACCGCAACGTGGAGAAAACTTGTAATCGAAACTCTCGCATCGACGCAGAAACATCCTTAGCCAACAGCACAAAACGACCCCATACCTGCGCTGCTAATGGCCCTTCGAGTCTCTGAAAATATCGCTCCAGAAAGTCAAAAATCATAAATTCAGATCTAGACGGATTGAAACAGCATTGAACAAATACCACTAGAGATTTTGAGAATGACTCACAAGTGAGGGATGATCGTCGATTTTCTGGGCCGCTCCGACAGAAAGGTCATCCGAGTCGATATGCTGTCGCAAAGCATATGAACAACGCTTTGAGCACTGGACGCCAAGATATCTACAATTTCGAATGCAGCCAAGTCCTCCTGGACAAGATGTTTGTAAGCATCCGACCGCATCAAACTATCAGACTCACCGGCGTTGCGGACTGCCAGTGTGCAACCACAGATTCTATGACCTCGGGAGCATGCGCACGAAATAAATGCTCCAATACTTTCCGACATCTGCCCCTCGTTTTTCCATAGACAGAAAACGGCCAAAGTGTCTGATTCCGTTCGCTTAGAAGATCCCACAGGGCGTACAGAACCCCGACTGCGTCGTAGAGGCTCTTGTAATCGGACATGCGGGTCTGAACAGTGTAGATTTGAGGCTTAGTACAAGCGTAATCTGAGTGCAGAATACATACTGACCTGCGGCTGCTCTTCGGGACCTGCAGACGTATCTGAGCTGAAGACATTAGACACATAGCCAAGAAGACCACTAGACTCTTGGTTGGGTTTATCGGAAGGAAGTTCGTCATCCACCGGATTGGGATCAGAGACGTGCGAGAGAGTAAGCAGTACAAGCCTCTCCAGCGCAGTGAGCAGCATTATGAAGTCCGCATCCGTGGTGATCGAAACCACGTCCCTACTCGTCAGACCGTCGGCGGATGCTTGTTGCACCTCACGGACTGATATCCGCAGCTGGCGACAGATTCCCTCGCAAAGGGGTATAATAACAGGTTGCATAGTTTCCTGGAACTGGGGAATGGTCATCAGTATGAAGTCAAGCCAATGCTGCATGACGGGTCTGTTCGTGAATCTCGATATCCCATCCAGCAATGAGGGAACAAGCAGCGAGTGGATAGCATACGATTCTGCCTTGGGTCCTTGTCCATCGCCCGTCAAGGGAGTGGTTTCTATATTTCGAGCAGGCCGGACGCTTCTGCCCTTGCTAGAAGAACCATCGAGATTTGAATGCGAGGCAGATATCACGGAATGAAGAAGATGTAGTAGTTTGTTTTGCAAGTCCAGTCGACCATCATGCACAGACGTGTAAAGCTTCCTAACGACGATCGACTCAATCGTCTGGAGTGCTGGGAAATCCACTTCTCCACGGGCCACCAGTGCTTGCAGAACATCAATGGAAAGCGATTGAGCCATCGTGTTAAATGGACCCATAGCTTCGACTAAGGTGGGCTTGGGTTCCGACTGAAGAAATCTACGATAAAATATCTGTCATCGCTCACAAGGACAAGACCAAGGTACTGACAATAAGAGTAAATGTAGCAAGACATCCATGTAGGTGGCATCCACAAAGGTAGCATCCACTACAAAGTATAAGTGCAAGATCCAGACTATCCTAGACAGTTTGCTCACCATTCTGCAGCCGCTGCAAAAGCTCAGCATAAGGCGAACGGTTCATAGCAGTCGTCCGAGCTGTTTTGCTGAACCCTTGCCCACCAAATTTGACGACGGACAATAGGGTTTCTAAGACGTGATTGATATATCGCTGGTCGAAGGGGCAATCGTACGAGAATCCCTGTAGCTGTTTTCCATCTACTTCCTTGATCGATGGCGACCGCAGTATTGAGGGAGTGAAGAGATCATGTAGGATAGGGTCAAGCACACTAAGACTGACATGAAAAATCAGGTTGAAGTAAAGTAACGCAAGTGCATACCGCAAATAAGACTTCAGACTGCACCGCATCCATGTTTCCCCAACTCGCCGGAGGGTAGGGTCTGCACTTTTCAGAGTATCGAGCACAATCATCATGGGTACCTTAAGTCTAGATCCCGGTACAATGTCGTCATCTGAATGTGAAAGAAGCTACGTTAGTTTTGTGACTTATAATGAAGGTTAGTAATACCTGTCAATCTCCAGAGCACTCCAAATTCCTCGCATGCGTCTTCAACGTTCTTCGGATCACAAGATGACAGTCGCTGGGATAGGACAGCCTCCACCTGACGACCATGGCTTATTTGATCCAGGGACCACATGAGAGAGACTACACGCGCGTGGTAGGCAGCCCAAGTCAGTCGTAGATATTTGAGAAGCTGAATAACGACAGGATAGTCAGCGGATGGGCCACCATCAGATAGTACCATGACCCACTGCATTCGTCATGATTGATACAGATTTTCGATGGTTGAGCAGTTTCGACTCTAGCACGGTTGCATTTTGTACCTTGATCGCGACAGAAACAACGGCATCCACTAAACTGAACGTAGTAGCCTGAACGAGTTAAAAACGTATTATTTTCAATACTCTAGTCTGGATATCGCTTACCTCCGCATTGAGACATTGAAGCAGATTCGATAACCATTCTGTTGAATCCCAAGCAAGTAGAACAGGAGATCCTTGCGTAAAATCTGGTCGAGTGATGAGGTCATCCAGCAGGGCCAGCGCCTGTATCAAGATATCACGATCCAGCTCCGAATTATCTGTGCTCTTGAGGAAGGAGATAGCACTGAAATTAATCAGGTCTACAAGATCCTCGAATGAAGTGGCAAAGGGAGCAGAAGTAGAATTTCTTGATCTTGCCTTTAACACAGCAGGAACACCATAGACAGCACATGCAAAGGACGATGGACCCTGGCTGGCCGAAGTCAGATATACACCGTCCGAAAAATGGGGACGATCGTGGAGACTAGTTGTATGGGGAATACGCCTCAGAATTTCCCCCTGCAACAATAGTACGGTTTGTGCCGATGTTTTGGAAAGAGGCGCACTACTATCCGACAAACGCACCTACAACAAAGCTTTGGTATTTAGCTTACAACAACAGAAGAACATGACCACCGACCAGCAACGTCTCCACAGTAGCCGTAAACACGATAGGTAAATGAACGGTCTCAATCTCTTGGTCTTGTCCATGAAACGTGGTGAGTATATATTTCACCATACTTAATCCCTGACGATGCAGTGAGAATCAGATGGCGTATCCTAAATTCAATGCAGCAATTAGGCAAATCACCTCAGAATTAGAAGACTCCGAGATGAGATCATGATACACGGATGAAAACAATATCTTCCATAAAATATGGGGTTCAACGGCCTCGTATAACGTATGAGCAGTCATGTTCATCTAGTACACAAATAATATATTAGCAGAACAGCAATAGATATAAATGGTCAAAAAAAACCAACGTCATCGCCAACATCAAGTCCAGATTCAAGTGCTTTCCTGATGGCTTTGAAGGCATCATATATCAGCACCTCTGTAAGCAGCGACCCAATCTCCCATTTATCCAGAAGGGATATGAAGATTTTGAAGGGACGAGAGGGTGAGTAGTCAATAGAAGGGTTGAACATCTCTTCCTGGAGAAAATACACATTAAGATGGATCAGTGTCGCGCCTACCGAAAGGTGTAGGATAGTTACTCGGAGCGATGAGCGCAGTAGCTCAAGTGCGTTGGCTCTTAAGTATTCGATTTGACGCTGATTGTTCTCCTCTGGGCCGAGCAACCACGAGTAGAGGCGGCGGTTCAGGGATAAATCACGTCTCAGGACAACACTGGACGATGCCCGCATAAGAATGACACGATCCTCAGGCTGAGCATATCCCACGGCAGTTCCGTCTAGTCGGAGAGATTGCAGCAGAAGATCAAGAGCACTTCTCCGAACAAGCAAATCTTCGTCTTCGAGAGCAGAAGAAAAGGCCCGTATCATTAAGCCGACGTCACGACCTACAATGAAAGTGATATCTGCCGTCCACCTGTATGAGTCAAATCTCTGGCATCTCAAACGCAACTCAATGTCTATCGCCTTACCTTCATTTGCCTTCAGAGTTGGTAATCGGCGGGAGAGGAAATTGAGTGATGTTCCTCGTGCAGAAGGTGTTGTGAGCATCACAAGCCAAATGTTTTGAAAGAAAAATGACTGCGAAACAGCGCCAGATATACGATCCAGCAAACCCAAAACCTTATCGAAGTACTCGCCAGTGTCTTCCTCCAGGCCTGGAAGCAAGGCAAGAATAAAGGATTTCATGATGGGGCGTAAATCCACCTGCAAAGGGAGATAGTAGGTGTCGAAGAGATTCAGCAAGGTCGGCTAGCCAAAGTATTAATATAGTTTCGCTTCCAGAATAATCATATTATACCTTGACGGATGTCGCAGCGTATTCGAAAAAGGGGAATAAGCCAGAAGACCACAGCGCTAGATCCCGGTGTAGTCCCTCCGTCTGCAAGCATAAATCAAACTGCGTAAGATCTTATAAGTTGATAATGCAATTCAACATACGCCAAGCACTGCAAATACGTGGGAATATACATCCAATGCTCGTTGGTGGACACCAGTTGGTAACGCAGGATTGAGACATTGAGAGAGACGTTTTGCGACAATCAGTTTCCGAGGTATCTCTTTAAATTGCGTATATGCTTCAAATGTCTTCGTATTGCTCGAGAGTAAGGCAACATTTGAACGATGATCAAAATCATACTCACCTTCAATAGCTGCTTCAAGAATGAAATGAAGTCCGCCCACTCATGCACACTGTCAAAGGAATTCAGGCACTTCTCCACTTGTTGCGCATATTTTTTGTATTTGGGATCGGACGCATATGCGGGAGGAGTTGACACTACTCTCAGACACAGTTTAATGATACATCTGACATATAGATTTCGCCACCGACCACGTTCATGCCCACGCAAAGACGACCATGGGGAACCCTTGTTGATAGGTTGCGGAACCACAATATTGGCGGCGGAGTTGGCACTCATGAAAGAATAACACGACCGCAGAATAGAAGGAGTGCGCAACTAACTAGACGCTGCTGAGCATGTCATGGATCACAAGGAGCTCGTGCCAGTGCAACAGTTCGCCGCAACGCGCAAACACGTGAAGCAGTTGCGCGAAGGGCCTTCGAATTCGGCCTACAGGAAAACAGGCCTGCTGAGACTTACGTTAGTGTCTAATCATTGTTACGCGCACACATAGGAAGGGCACTGCTAGGACGATCCATAGCGTGTAGGCTAAAGATACAAATTGAGCTTCGGTATACCATAATTACATCGACACTAAAAGCAAGGGCAAATGCGCCCGGGTATTATACGGCTGATGTGGATACGACGGAAGCCTCTGCTGCGACCAACGCACTACCTCGCCTCTTAACGGAATGCGCAGATGCGCTCTCAGGCACCGCCGAGTCTGCACGAGAAGCAGGAACAGTACTGGACGGTGTTCCATCAATCTTTGTGACCTTTGTCTTAGCACCTCGTCCAGACGGTGCAGCAGAAAGGGCGGCGAGTTTCGGTGGGTAAGTAATGCCTGCCGCAGCTAATGCTGCAGCCGACGCGTGTTCTCGTTCGGTGGCCAACTGAGCTGCCTGAACAAGCGCTTGCGACGCAGCAACCTGAGCGGACGCGAACTCAGACTCCTTCTCCCCTGCCCAAGTCCTTGTGAACCACCGACCACCGGCTATGCCGCGCACCTCACGGTTTACCTGACGCCAACGTCGCACTGGTTTGCCACTTTTGTCGAGAGGCATGACGGGTGCAAATCCAGTACCAATTTTAGGAGGGGGTTGCACAGGAAACGGCTTCGATGGAAGAGGGTAGACAGGAAGCGGGACGCCGTCTAGCCCACCCTCCTCCGCTGGAACTACCGGTGCCATAGACGGGATAGGAATATCGGGCTCTGGTGTACGTTCTTCATGTGGCATCGGCGAGGAAGCTGCAGTTCCTGGGTATGCTTGTCAATGTTTTAAACATACTGTTAGCACATAATCCATCGCCAAGAACAAATTAGTATTCACCTTCGCTGATAACGCTCTCCGCATCATCTCTTTGTACGATGATACCCGTCTTAGCTGTTCTGAATGCAGAAATGGTTATCTTAATGTTGAAGCAAAGAGAATACCGATTCACTTAGAGGGTTTTCTTTTGATGGCTCGCTGTGCTGTGACAGCTTTGCCAGCTCCTCCCCTCTTTTTGGTTATGGTCTGAGTGACTAAAGGCGTGCTGCTACCCGCAATAGATACATCCAGTATTTCGCCATGTGGACTCAGCGTTGTTGCCGGCGTCGTCAACTCTGAAAGGTGGCACATTCAAAAGACGATTCGACACGGGCGACCGGACACTATACTTACCCGCTCTTCCTGCTACCTTTCGCCGACCCCCTCTTCCCCTCCCACCACGTTTGGAGGGCGATCCTCGTGAAGTTAGTGATGGGACAATAGGTATAACAGGAGTGGGAATGGGTTGAGAGACGTCGTCGTCGTCATCATCATCAATGAGCTGGTCCTCTTCCTCGTCTTCTTCATCTTCTTCGTCTTCGCTCCTTCCCCGAACCTCTTTGCGGGTAGAAGAGCCAGATCGCTTGCCTTCATTTACAAGTAATTTGACCCGGAATTTTGAAGTGCGCGCTGGTTGTGGCTCTGGGGTCTCCTCTTCACGCAATGTAGATATTTGGGGAGCATCCATATCCACGTCTTCGTTCATACTAGAGAAGTGAATGTTACTACGAACAAGCGGTTCAGTGCGGTCGTCGGGTGATGGATCGTAGGTTATCCAAGGAGAGACGCGAAACATGTCCTTACTTTCAGCATAACCGACGCTCTAGTCCGAATTTTGCGGGCGCTGCCCATGTGGTCGTGGCGCAATAGGCGGTCGTGACTGTCAAGGCGAAATATTCGTAGAATCTGGTGGGTTTTTGTAAACAAAGGCTCGGTTTTTCAAAGCCGTTGTAAAATTATGTCATGGCCAGCAGGGCTTCCTCCTCCAAGCCGCAGTCTGGCGTGACTTACTATGTATATACTTAAGTCAACTTGCTCAAACATCAATCAAAGCATCGGTCGGTAACTTCATATATAAGTTCAGTAAGTATTAAGTGGAGTCCCGTGATCGCGGATTATGTCAGCATCTCCTTTGGTATCTAAGCTAATGACTTACAGCGCAACGCCATAACATAGTACATACTGCTGTTCTCTGCGTTCCTCTGATCTGTGTCGGAGATAATTGTCATTGTAGGCTTATTCTCAATCCACGAGACGGTTAACACATGTTTTTATACTAGGGTTGACATCCACGATTCTCTGACTGCGACCCGGACTGTTGGGCAAGTAATCCCATGGCATCTTCAACAGTCAACGTACGGCTGCGTGTTTTCAAAATTATATGTGGTTCAACGATCTCACTTATGCTTGTAATGGATTGTAGGTTGTTCGATATACAGCTTTATTGACAGGTGTTTTCTACGGCGTTGCGCATCGCCGGACATTACAGAAGGCTCACGATGGGGAGAGACAGCATCATGCTATACTTGAGCGGGAGCACCTGATTGCACAAGCCAAGGAGGCATGGAAGAGAAAGCAGGAGATTACTCAAGACGGTGGTGAGTGTGCCAGCCATTATTTTCCGTGGCCGGGGCTATCCGACGCTTTCGCTGGCCGGAACGTCACAGACGCTGATGGTGGTGTGACCTCAGTAGTTACAGATCCTGAAGACCCAAGATTTGACCTGGAAAAGTTATTTGCGAAGTGGGAAAACGATTCGTGATTGAATAGACGTATCTGTGAACTCCTTCTTATATAGAGGACTTACAATGATACTGCGGCGGACATTTGCACGAGACGGGGCCTCTCCATGCACTGAGCCTGTGCTGCGCGCATGCGAGTACGGGTCCTTAATCACCTTTGCGCGCATCCGCTCGTTACGCTGTATTCTGTGATATGATTCTGTCAATAATTAGACTTAATGGTCAGACGTGTCTGACCTTTCAGACTGTTCATCTTGCAAGTGCACTGTTGGCGAGCCTCAGGTATTCTGGGCGGTAAGCTCGCTCATCGATCCGGTAAGCACTTTTAAATAGGGCAATAAGTGGCCATTTTCCTGGGTATGTCAAGCATTGGTTCAAAATACTGATGGCCTCAAGTCAGTACATATGATAATTCATTAACTTTCGTTGACTGCACCCCAAATAAATTCAACAATGGCAGCGCGCTCGGCCACGTGCGTGTGACGAGCTCACCTGTCGGTAGACGCGTTCAGTAACACAGACCATAACGCGTCGCCGCGCCGAGTTCGCAGTAAGCTGAACAAAACTTGTGGCCGACACCCGGCCCCAGCTCCTTGACATTATCATCTACGTGGGGCTGCTAGTACCCTTTCTCCCACCACATACTACTCGTTTATTATCCTGGATTAGGTATTTACATACGTCTGTTTTGCTAAAAGACGAACCATGAAGCCTTCAATGCAAGAAGAGGTGGAGGATGACCTTGCAGCTGAAGAAGAGAATAAGCTTATCAACGAGGTAATCGACTAGTCTTTTTGTGCGTCTTATCGACCTAAACCAGTATGTGTCACATCTCTATCTGCAGGAATATAAGACTTGGTATGGAGTCGCCTATTGCATACTGAAACCCGACACAAGAGCTGATTGGACTGCTATGTGTAGGAAGAAGAACGCGCCATATCTTTATGATGTTCTCATCACCCATGCTCTTGAGTGGCCAAGTCTAACGTGTCAATGGTTCCCTGACACTGAGTTGTATGTTCCATTTTGTCTTTTCAGTGTACACTTAGAGTATAGCTGCGTAGTCCCCACGACAGTTCGTATGAAGGCCATCGAGTCCTTCTCGGGACACACACTTCCGGACAAGCCCAAGACTACCTACAGATAGCGACAGTTCAGCTTCCCGATCAAGATAGCAACTCCTCTGGGGGTCTCGACCGCTGGGGCTACGATGATGAGCGCGGCGAATTGGGCGGTCATACGATTCCTCAGCAACCCCGCGTTCAAATAATTCAAAAGATCAACCATGCGGGAGAAGTCAATCGCGCGCGATGCATGCCGCAGAATCCAGACTTAATTGCGACGAAGGCTGTTTCTGGCGAGGTGTTCGTTTTCAATCGAACCAGACATCCAAGTGAGCCTGAACGGGGGGGGATATGTAAGCCAGATATCCGGCTTGTGGGTCAACACAAAGAGGGGTATGTACAAATAACTTATCCGCTTTTGTGGCAACAATTATTCACCGAAGTTAGATTCGGTTTAGCATGGAACACTGTCCAGGAGGGTAACATTCTCGGAGCCTCGGAAGATATGACTGTATGCTACTGGTAAGGTATGACACATTCTATTTACGGCTTCTCGTCAATCGTGTGCCTAGGGACATACATGCGTACACGAAAGCTAGGACTACCATCGAACCGCTAGTAGTCTTCAAAGGCCATACATCTGTCGTCGGCGTACGTTACGAAGAGTTCGAAATTTCCACATGGGACAATTGACGAGGTGCTCAATGTAGGATGTGGACTGGAATAGCCAGAAGGGCGACGTGTTTGCAAGTGTAGGTGACGACAAGATGCTCATGATGTTTGTCATTTTCCTTCTCTGTATCATTACGACTTGTCCTAATCTCATCTTACAGTTGGGACAAGCGGGTATCAGCGGAACCGACCACCAAGATACAAGCACACGACCGAGAGATCTTGACTGTTGCATTCAGTCCTTCCACGGACTATTTGCTGCTCACAGGCAGTGCGGATCATGTAAGCAAAACATAGTTTAGATGGCGAGGCAGTTTTTCATGTCCTACTAAATTTTCGTAGACAATTGCCCTACATGATATGCGATTGCCTACCAAGCGTTTGCATACCTTTGAATCCCACACTGATGAAGTTCTACACGTTGCATGGTCACCACAAAATCCCACTGTATTTGCTTCCGCTTCCAGCGACAGGAGAATCAATGTTTGGGACCTATCTCAGATAGGTGTTGAGCAAACACCCGATGATCAAGAGGATGGCCCACCGGAGCTCATGTTCATTCACGGAGGTACGCGATGCGTAGTCAAACCTCAGTCAAAGTAATGACTCAATCTTTAGGACACACCTCACGTCCTACCGACTTCTGTTGGGCTCCTGGGAGAGACAACAATTGGACGGTAGCAAGCACGTCAGAGGACAACGTTGTCATGGTCTGGCAACCAACAATGCATGTGTGGGCCGCAGAGCAGGTTAGAATACATGTCGAAGAGCTCGAGGAACCCATGGAAGGTGTTGAAAGTGCTGCTGATAGTATCTCTGAACCTTCCGGGGACGGGCAAGCGGGAGCAAAAAATGACAATAGTGAGAAGTAACGGACAGTCCATGCTACGTTGGTTCGGGTCGGTTCCATGTATATTGCTGTTGATAGGATTAATGTGCTAATGAGAATGGTGTCTGTTGTACAACTCGCGCATAATTCCGCGAAAATCCCTACCCATCCTCAAAATATGACCCTCCTTCAGACGTCATAGACCACGATCAGAGGAACATAAGCCGGAGGAATTCAAGTATCACTTGGGTGGTAATCAACGAGCAGTATGTATGAACAGGCGCTAGGTATACATACCTCCACCTATAACGACAAAGATGATTGCGCCAAGGGCCCAAAGGCTCAGAGGGCTCCGTTTGGTGAGCAGCTCCTGGCGAGACGGTTTTGTTGGCTTCTTGCCCATCCGAGCCTTCTCGGCGAACTGAGCATTCCGATGGCGCAACTCAAACTCAGTAGGCTGTTGGGAGAGCTCTCGCATCAGTATCCTTTACATCTGGTATAAAGAGATATTGTAAACAAACCATGCTCGCGTTATGATTCAAGTTAAGGAGAGACTGGGCTGAGCTGAAGGTATGCTCAGGTTGGCACGATGAATGAAACGACATGTCGCCACGTTCGATCAATTCGGTGATTTGTTCATGTGTGTGCCTATGTACCAAGGGCTTGTGTTCCAAACAACCACCGCTTGAACCTGTCGGAGACCCGGGAGCGACAACATGGGCAAAGGCGGCAAGAAGACATCTCTGAAGACCGCCCTTTCTACTCAGCAGTCCAGGCTCAAACAGAAGGCTGTCCTTGCTGCGCGGGCTGCGGAAAAGTCGAAGAAAGCGAAAAGCAGGAACAAGGCAGTCCCTCCGCATTATACGATCCCGTTCAAGCCTACAGACCAGATTCTACTGATTGGAGAAGGCAATTTTTCATTCGTTCACGCGTTGGCGTTGAATCCTCCGCCATCTTTAGAATTTCTCCCTGCGCCGAACATAACCGCTACTGCCTATGATAGCGAGCAGGAATGCTACGCGAAGTATCCTGACGCTGCGAAGATTGTCCACTCATTGAGAGAGAAAGATGTTGAGGTCATCTTCAGTGTGGATGCCACGAAACTCGAAAGCCATCCTGGTCTCAAAGGCCGGAGATGGGACAAGATTGTTTGGAATTTCCCTCATGCAGGTGAGTCAGAGCTTTGATCCAAGCCATCAATCAGGAGGTGAACTTCACAAGTCTCCTATTAGGCCGAGGAATTACGGATCAGGATAGAAATATCCTCTCGAATCAAACGTTGATACTGGAATTCTTGCGCTCTGCTGCGAACCTTCTTGTTACTGGGCCAGTTCCCGCTATTCACTATTCTCGTAAGGGGAAGCAGAAAGCGGACGCAGAAAACGACGAGCTTGACGGAAACGACCCCGGAGAAGATATGCTTGCAGATGAGCTGATTGACGAAAGCACCAAAGTCCGTGGATCCATTCTCATAACTTTGCGAAACGTTGCACCGTACACCTTGTGGTACGCTCCGTGTGACACTATAATGAGTTCATTGAGATTCTTATGTGGTCCATTCAGGGATCTGCCCAATCTTGCGAAGAAACCTCCGCCGCCCAAATCAACTCAGGACAAGCTCTACCCTCGATACATGCAGCTACGATCTTTTGCTTTCCAACGAAGTGTTTGGAAGGGATACGGACATCGCATGACGAAGGGTGAACGAGCGCATGGACAGGGCAAGACGGGTGAAGGAGGAGAGGATCGTACCTGGGAATTCTGTTTGCAAGGTCTCATGAGCGAAACCTGAACGAGTTTTAATGATCGAATATTGTCTTTTTTGAGCCGTCTGCGACGAAGCTGCGAACATTCAAACACTCAAAGTGGCTCGCTGCCCGCACAAACCCTAACCATAGCCTCCCACGGATGCACGTTTCCCCACACTCGTGATCGCGCGATCAGATGCAATCTCACGGTGGTCGGACTGAGGTGGCGATGTCGTGCTCTAGGCTGGAGCCTCGAGTCACTTACTTGTTAACTGGCTCATCTCTAAGGCTTTGAGAATGAACAAACCGATGCAGTCAAACACGGGGATTCTCTCTCCGCCGCCCCACTCCGAAGAAATAAAAGTTTCATTTCCACAGGAACATGTCATGCTCCTAGCCTTCAACCGTCCCAGAGCACTCAACGCCTTGACTCCCACTATGGAGGGAGATATCAGCAAGGTTTTACATTGGTTCGATAATGAGCCGAGCTTGTGGTTTGTACTCACATCTTCTGTTCACGGAGACAGCCATTTAAGCTACACTAGGGTTGTGGTCATCACAGGCGAAGGGCGCATGTTCTGTGCGGGTGCGGACTTGATTGCGTATGCTCCTCTTATACTGCGTATTATGTTCGCAAATCCCATTGACACTTGACAATCCACGTAGATGGAACAAGCGCTCAGAAGCTGGATTACTGGGTGACGAAGGTGAAAGCATCATATCCGATACCGACGGATTTGGGTCTATCTCTCGCCGCTACAGTTCTTCCAAGCCGATGATTGCGGCGGTGAACGGCGGCGCGTATGGCGGGGGAATGGAGCTCATTATGAACTGCGATCTGGTAATTGCTGGTGAAAATGCAAAATTTGCTTTCCCGGAGGTAAAGCGCGGCGTTGTCGCTATTCAGGGCGGTATGCGGTCCTACTTACTCTGGAATATTGATCACTTGATTGGCACCACGTCAAACCTTGTAGGAATGCCAAGATTTGCTAGGATAGCTGGTCACCAGGCGAGCTTATTGCATTCGCGCTGTCTTTCCACCTCTGACGGCGAATAGACAGCTCGCTAGTGAGCTGCTTCTTTTGGGTAGAACCATTACCGCAACAGAGGCAGCCATTCGTTTTGGGTTGTTAGTCGTCAATGTTTCTTCTTTCATTGCCTTCAATCCAGGCTTACTGATCGTCTTGATACAGCATTAACCAGGTTGTCCCAGATGATCAAGTCCTTCAGACTGCACTACATTGGGCCGCCGATATCAACGCCAACTCGCCCGATGCGGTACAGAGCACCAAACGTGCTCTGCTACTGGCCAATCGTATCGCTAGCGTGGAGGATGTTGTTGTGGCTCATGCACGTTCGAAGGAGACCATACGACAACAGACAAGCACAAACATCAAAGTAAGAGATAACCCGAGACTTGAAATTCAGCTGACTTGTCATACAGGAAGGTCTGAAAGCCTTCACAGAGGTGGGTAGGGTATGTCTACGAAGAATGTCAATTGATAACGCGGTGAACAGAAAAGGAGACCTGTTTGGACCAATCCAGCAAAGTTGTAATTGGCGTACTTTTCATGTGTCACAATCTCGCTGTGGGTTGTAGCTGCGTGCTTCATCAAAAGGTTAACGTAGTACTATGTGAATGTCCTGTTCGCAGCTGTTGACACCATGTTATCTATGTTGCGCAACATTTGCATATCGTTACCGGTACATCGCATACACAGTGACACTATTTACATAGCGACGTCCCGGACATCGCTATGTAGGGGCTGCTGAGCGCTGATCCTCGGATTTGGGAGCGCACTTTTTTTATTTATTTATTTTTTTAAAAAAATCCCTTTATTGTCCGCGAGGGCCGAGCCCTATATAGACAGTAAGTACGTTGTTTGTGTTCGTGTTCGCTGAACTGTATCGTCGCAGAGGCATCCCGGGAGGGAGCGCCGCGACTTGCCACTGGATGATCGAGCCTGTGAAATCTGAAACACACCACGTGTTGCAACCCAGTGCTCATTGTCGGCGCACCTTGGGTCTTTCCTTGCACTTCAAACGGCCGTCATTTCCTTTGGTAGCTTCTATGTCTAGCGGTGTTCCTGATTCTGGTCCTCTAAGTGCTGGTTCTTCCAATGATGACGAATCTGCTTTTGAGCAATGGCGACGCACATTTTCTGTAATAACGGGCCTCGGTGGTACAGCTCAGGAGCGGCAAGCGGAGATGGAACGGCTTCAGGGTCAAACTTGCGAGAAGTGGAAGAGAGAACTCATGAATTACAGTCAGTACACGTGGAAGTCTCTTTTGAACGTCATACCCGCTTAGCTATGAATACTCTCGTCTGGAACATATCTCACTATCGTACCTGTAGGTCCTGCCGTTGTCTTTATGCTGAAACACCTCAGATTGTCCGGATGTGTTGTGTCGTCGAAAGATATCGTGTGCGTTCCGTGCGACTATAGTCGAGCAGGCGGGTTCAATCCGGACGCAGGCGCAATCACCCTTTGCCAGGGCAGGTTCTTCAGCAAGAATCACATGGAAGACACGCTGGTGCACGAACTCGTACACATGTACGATCATGCCAAATTTAACGTCAACTGGAGAAACCTGAGGCATCATGCCTGCAGTGAGGTATGTTACATTGTTATTAAGTAATCGCGTGATGATTTGTGTCTGGCTGACACGTATTGGGTGAAAGATCCGCGCCAGTAGCCTGAGTGGTGACTGCAGGTGGACCCGCGAGCTTCGTCGTGGCTTTGTATCATTCTCCAAGCAGCACCAGGTGTGTCTATTTACGTCAGAATCGGTGAAGTTCACAAACTACCACATTTCATTCTAGGCATGTGTCCGACGACGGGCCATTCTATCTGTCAGTGCCAATACAGCATGCCCGGACGAAGCAACAGCCGAACGTGTCGTGAATGAGGTCTGGGAGAGTTGTTTCAACGATACCAGGCCATTCGATGAGGTGAATTGCTTTTCCCAAGGTCCAGCAAAGTGTGTGTTCACGCCCTCGTTGCAGATATACTAGTAATCTAGTGATCAGCTCCGCCCTGTGATAGAATCGCTTAGAAGCCGAGCAGAGGCTTGGAGGAGATGGCTTCCATTGATATCGCACAATCTACGGGGTCCACATGATAGATTCGGCACGTCCTTATTGCGCTCCCTATCTCACTTGCGTGTGTCATCAAACGGGCTCCCCTCTCCCTCGGGAATGCACTGGAGTGTTGTAGATATGCGTATCGTAGGGGCGGTTTGGCCCGTTCTTTGTTTAGGACTTGAGGCTGCCAAGCGGCTGAGGCGTGATCTGGCAGAAGTGACACGCGGCTACAAACACCGAATCTGTTGAGGCTCTGACCAAAATAGAGCCGTGTAATCCGCTGGCGGCCAACGGGTGGCTGCCGGAACGTTCTTGGAAGATTACGTGGGAACGGTGGTTTTGATACATCTATATAAGCGAGAATGCAACTTTCCGCCCCCTTGTGCGACGTTGTCCGGTCTTCCTCTCTCCGTCCTTCCCTCGCCTCTCCTCCATCCGACGACCTCCACCCAGTTTCAAGATGTTCGCGAAGATCAGGTTTGTACGAAGTGACACTGCTGCGTTGGTGAGGCTGACGGATATCTTTGCGTAGTGCCTTGGCTACCCTCGCCGCTTTCGCATCCGCCGCTACTGCCCAGATCACCTTGCAAACGCCGACTAACTGGCAGAGCGGAACGTCAGCGAACATCAGTTGGACTGCGACAGACTCGGCTTCTTTATTCTCCTTGGAGTTGGTGAATTCCGTTTTCCACAACGCGTTCGCCATTGCAGGCAATATTCAACCCTCGTTGGGTTTCCTGAGCTTTGAAATGCCATCTGTTCCTCCTGGGTAAGTCATGCCCCTTGAATGTATTGAGGGGCATACTGACGTGTCGGTGTAGGGCGGGCTATGTTTTGGAAGCAGTGAACGTCACGTATGTTATTATAAGGTTGCCAGGCGACGCTGTCTAACCTTCGGTCTCCACTAGCAACATCAACGACGTGTATGGATCGTCCGGATCCTTCAGCATTGCGCAGACCCCTTCGACTACAACGTCGTCGACTACAAGTTCCAGTAGCTCTACTACTTCGTAAGTATTGTTGCCGTTGGTTGATGTTAGCAGCAGTTGACTTGCGGATGTGCAGTTCTTTGTCTACTACGGGGTCGACCACAACTACGGGTTCCAGTTCGTCATCATCGTCATCCACTACTAGCGCTGCTACAACTACCAGTTCTGCACCTGCTACCACGAACTTCAACGGTTCTCCGGCCAAGTTTGATCTCAGCCTTGGCTCATGGGCTGTCATGGCTGCTGGTGCTGTTGCTGGCGCTTTCGTTGCTCTGTAAGGACGAGTTGTCTGGTGATTTTCTTGTGGACATCGTCGGTTGTCGTGCTTGGACTCGCAGGTTCATTCTTATATCCGATACCACTCTTGTAATGACACATGGACAATACGGACTTCGTGCACTTAGGTTGGGAACAATGTTTGCATGTCGTAGGGAGATGCCTTCTGCTACTGCATATTGATCTCATTTCGTCACTCGTTTGCATTATAATCTCGCGGTGCGATGAAGGTACATCGTGTGCTGTCGCTTTAAACCTGATTTTTAGAAATCTGAATGGGGTAAATTACTAATATTACTACTTGTGCACTTGAATGGGTGGTCCAGGCTTGCACTGCGGTATTACATATGCGTTATCTAAGCGTTTTTGCTCGAAAGTATCCGCACTATCATTAATGTCACATGACCGGCCACAAAATAACCATTAATCTAAGCAACTTAGCCACTGAGACGGCTATTAAATTTCGTATACAGGTAAGTAGTTTGCGTATGCAGGCCGTTGTTTAACACGTCGAGCCGGCGTCAATACCACATCGCACACTGCATTCTTCCGTCGCCGCGATGTCTGTCTTCTCGAAGAAGGACGAGGATAGTGGGCTCAGCACCTATTACAACAACAAGACCACTGTGATTCAAGAAGCTCGTGTCTTTAACGACTCGCCAATCAGTCCCAGGAAATGCAGAGCGTTACTCACTCGTATCGTGTACTTACTCTATGTCGGGGAAACCTTTGGTACGCAGGAGGCTACGACGTTATTTTTCGGAACGACAAAGCTATTCCAGCACAAAGATGTAAGCACGAACTGACGATATTCCCACAAGCGGGTCAGCTCACTTTGGATGCAGAGTGCCCTACGGCAGATGGTATACTTGACGATCAAGGAACTGGCCATTACAGCAGAGGATGTCATAATGGTGACAAGCAGTATCATGAAGGACATGCAGCCCAATTCCGAGGTCATCTATCGACCTAATGCGATCCGCGCGTTATGTCGTATTATAGACGTATGTGCGTTCGAGATCAATCGTGTATGTGTTATTGATGATGGGGCAGCCATCCATGGCCCAAGGTGTAGAACGATTCTTCAAGGCTGCAATCGTTGATAAGACTCCTTCAATCTCGTCTGCTGCCTTAGTTTCAGCATATCATTTGTTCCCTGCCGCTAAGGATGTAGTCCGTCGATGGGTGAACGAAGCACAAGAAGCAGTGAACGCGAAGTCTTCGTCTTCTTTGTTTGGAAACAGCTCTTCTGGGTCGTATCTTGGATGGGGAGCCTCGTCCACCCCTTCGAATAGCGGATATCAGCCTATTCCCTCCACAAGTTATATTACACAATACCACGCGCTGGGTCTGCTATATTTGATTCGTCAACAGGATCGTATGGCCGTGACCAAGATGATTCAACAGCTTGGAGGTGGAAAATCTGGCGCTGGTACTACTCTTAAAAATCCTATGGCACTTTGCATGCTCATCCGATATGCGTCCAAGGTCATGGAAGAGGATCCCAAGTGAGTCTTGTTTTCCGTCTGATTCGTAATCTCTTGACATTCACTACAGTGTTCAACGGCAAATGTTTGATCTCCTCGAGGGATGGTTACGACACAAGAGTGACATGGTTAACTTGGAAGCTGCTCGTGCAATTTGTGAGATGAAGGGCGTCACTTCTGCACAGTTAACGCGATCAATCGCAGGTATGTAGGGCTAGGGCCATCGAGTAGTTTACTATTGATATGCGATATGTAGTGCTTCAGCTCTTCCTCTCCTCCCCCAAGTCTACTCTCAAATTTGCCGCAACTCGAACGCTGGCTTCACTCGCTATTAACCATCCGGCTAGCGTTGCCGCCTGCAATATGGACTTGGAAAATCTCATATCCGATCAGAACAGGAGCGTTGCGACCTACGCAATTACTACCTTACTTAAGGTGAGCCGTTGCGCGAGAGTCCTTGACGCCAGTGTACTGATCAAACGTGAAGACTGGCAATGAAGCTTCCGTAGACCGCCTTATGAAGCAAATTACTGGCTTCATGAGTGAAATCAGCGATGAATTCAAAGTGATCATCGTAGATGCCATACGCTCACTTTGCCTCAAGTTCCCCACAAAACACGCCTCCATGCTTTCTTTCCTGTCTGGAGTTCTGCGCGATGAAGGTGGCTACGACTTCAAGCGCGCAGTCGTCGAGGCTATGTTCGATATGATCAAATTTATTGGCGAGTGCAAAGAACAAGCGTTGTCACATCTATGCGAATTCATTGAAGATTGCGAATTCACCAAGCTGTCTGTTCGCATTCTGCATCTGCTAGGGGTTGAGGGTCCCAAGTCGCCACAGCCAACGAAGTATATTCGCTACATATACAATCGTGTTGTACTCGAGAATGCGACCGTGCGCGCGGCCGCCGTTGCAAGCTTGGCGAAGTTCGGTTTGAATGGGCTTGACGAAAAATTGAGCAACAGCGTGAATGTACTTCTAAGACGGTAAGTTATCTACACCATTGCAGTTCAGATGGTTCAATATTGCCATAGATGCCTGGATGATGTTGATGATGAAGTTCGCGATCGAGCCGCCATGTATCTGAAAGTGTATCAAGAGCCTCCACTTGTTACGACATACATTAAAGAGGGTAATTGGTTGTGCCCAGTAGCTCGATACAATGCTCATTTGTTTGCAGACTCAACGTATTCCTTATCTGCCCTGGAGTCTAAATTGGTCTCCTATATGAGCGATCCGGATGCTGCTGAGCAGCCGTTCGATGTCGCGTCGATACCCAAAATCAGCAGGGAGCAAGCCGCGAAGGAGGTTGCTAGACCTAGCAGCTTGGAGACGATCGGTGTTCCATCCACCTCGAAAGCAGCCGCAACTCCCCCGCCCCAAACAGCGGCAGAGACGCAGTCGATATATGCCCAGCAACTGTCTGACGTTCCGGAGTTTGCATCGTATGGCCCTGTGCTCAATAGTAGTGCAAAGCCTACGCAGCTCACCGAGGCGGAGACCGAATACCAGGTCTCTTGCGTCAAGCACATCTTCAAGGAGCATATCATCTTCCAGGTAATATTGGTCTTGTATCAATGGAAGACCATCTCACAGCTTCTGCTCAGTTCAATGTATCAAATACTATTGCAGATACTGTCTTGGAACAGGTATCTGTGGCCATGCAATCTCAAGCTGATGCCGGCTTGACAGAAGACGGAATTATTCAAATATCAAGCCTATCAGCTGCAAACTCCCCTGGGCTTGTTTATGTTTCCTTTACTCGCGACAGCCCAGATGAGTTCGCTCTGGCGTCCTTCCAGTGTACACTCAAATTTGTTAGCAAGGAGGTGGATCCTTCTACCGGTGAGCCTGAGGAGGACGGCTATGAGGATGAGTATCAGCTGGAGGAGGCGGAGCTTACTGCGGGTGATTACGTTGTTCCCAGCTATGTCACATTCGCATCGGAATGGGATCGATTGCGTGGGGGCGCATCGGCGACCGAGACATTCTCACTGTCTGCCATGGAATCCATGAAAGGTACGTTTAGCCATGTAATCCACATCCTGTTCTTGCTTCTCACACTGCTTTTGACAGCTGCATGCGATTCTATCATCGAGATACTCAACATGCAACCACTGGGAGGGACGGAAGACCCTCAATCACCAACAGTGCACACACTACAACTCTCTGGGCTGGTTTCAGGTGGATGCGGGAAGGTGCTTGTGCGCTGTCGAATGGCATATTCGAAGGCACAAGGAGTCACGCTGGAACTAGCCGTGCGTGCGGAACAAGACTCTGTGTGTCAATTGGTAGTCTCTGCTATTGGGGGCTGAAAAGTTGTGGCTGGCAATGTGTGTATGACCTACCCATGGTGCCCGTGGATGATGTTTCCGTGGGGAGTGTTGTTGGCTAGGCTCAAGCTAGGCTCGGACATTCGTGGACCGATTCTCATATATCTATTCGCGCATGAGAGGACAAGGGTAGAATTGGTAGTGAAGACAAGAACGGCTTCTCACAGGAGTAGTCTCGTAGTGCCGCAGTGAGAAAGCGTAGTATGGTCTGTATGGATGACTCGCATACTGCTGATCGGCTGTAGTCGGCTGTCACGATCTTTTACTTTACCAGCCATGTCATTGCCGCCCCACAAAAGGTTACCATGATTCCCTCGCGCTTGCTCATATACACATCGTGTCCAAAGTGCCGGCTGTCGGACCAGTTCTGTGACCATTCCTCGAGTCGTACGACGCTCAGGTTATTCCGCTACACGTATTCGCTCCTTTCCAAATAATAAACCTGGCATCATTTAGACCTCCCGCCCCTCCTCGCAACGTTAGTCTTCTCTGTCTTCTAGTCGGCAGCGCAGCTTCTTCGTAGTCTCGCAACGCTGTATCCGGTGTCCCTAACGTCTGACGCAACCCCATTCCCCTTTCTTCTTATCTTGAACCCACGCGATGTCCGGCCCTTCATTGCCTACTGCAAAAGCGATCCAGGTGGACACGCGGGGAGCACTTATCTTAGACGAGGAATCCCCCGAGGTAAGTCGTTCGATGTTGAATAGTGCACTTCGCCTTCTGACGACTCGCGCCAGACTCGAGATAGCAGGGGAATCTATCTGCCCAATTACATCGAACCCGTTTCGCACATCGCTGTAGACGTAAGGATCTGCATTGTCCATGTGTCCCTCGTCTGTTCTCATGATTCAAATCTAGATAGGAGGATCGCTGGCGAAAGTGGTCTATTTTACCCGCTCGCCAGACCCGCCCAAGTCCCCGTCAATAGCGGCAACAAGAGGATCCAGCGTCGCCAGTGATATTTCTACTCCTTTATCAACCTCACCATCGAGAAGCACGCCCATATCGAGCTCACCACCACATAGAGGGATAGCACATTCCAAGCTCAATGGCGCGCTCACGCCCGCCGTCCTCGACCCGCCAAACGGACATCCCAGCACCTCCTTCGAATACCCCTTCTTCGATCACAGCTCGCTTCTGCACGAGTCACTACTGCGGCGCGTGTCGGTGCAGCACTTCCCCGGCGGGCAGCTGAATTTTGAGCGCTTTGAGACTGAACACATCGACGATTGTGTCGCGTTCATCCAGGCACTCATCGAGCGGAGCGCAAAGCTCAATGGCGTGTCAATGGCGGAGATGCGCCGCGGCGTGAAGATCATGGCGACCGGCGGCGGCGCACATCGGTTCTACGAACTCTTCGGGTGCGAGCTGCAGGTCGAGGTGCGTAGAGAAGATGAGATGGAGTGTCTGATCGAGGGCTTGAAGTTCCTCACGCTCATCCCCGACGAGGTGTACTACTTCTCGGACGAGCTCATCAGTGCAGTATCGCATCCACCACCATCGGGAGGTGCGCTAGAACGCCCAAGCCCGGATCCACCAACGTATGCAGTCACATTCGAGGAATCGCCCACACCGCAGCTCCCCTGTCTGCTGGTGAATATCGGCTCGGGTGTGTCGATCGTGAAGGTCGACGAAGACGGATCATATGAGCGAGTTAGCGGGACGAGTCTAGGCGGTGGGACGCTGTGGGGGCTGCTGAGTTTGCTGACGCCCGCTACGACATTCGATGGTAAGTGCTTTCTCGGCGATTGTCGGACGGATCATTGCATCTGCGATTCTTCAGAAATTTTAGAGCTCTCGGAGCAGGGGGACAACTCGCGAGTAGACATGCTCGTGGGAGACATCTATGGACAAGATTATAGCAAGTTTGGGCTAAAGTCGACGATGATTGCGAGTTCATTCGGCAAAGTGTTCAAGAACCGTGGGCAGAAGGGTACCTTCACACCGCAAGACATTAGCAAGAGCTTGCTGTATGCGGTTTCGAACAACATTGGACAGATAGCGTATGTCACATGTCGTGCCGGGCGCAGTATGCGTGGCGAGCTGATGTTCGACGGTCGATATAGGTATATGAACGCGGAAAAGTATAATCTAGACCGCATATACTTTGGGGGATTCTATATCAGGGGTACGTCATCGCCCCAGTGGTCCATATCTGTATGGATATTCTCTGATTGATCGGTTACGGCTCATGTCCCGTCCAGGCCATGCGGCGACTATCAGCACCCTCTCCTACGCTATCAGATTTTGGAGCAAAGGGACGAAGCGCGCGCTGTTTCTGCGGCACGAAGGGTTTCTGTGAGGATATCCGCTGACCACCTGTCGTGGTAGAATGCTGACGGGTTCCCTTCTCTAGCGGTGCGATTGGGGCGTGGATCAAGAATATCGGAGAAGAGCAGGAAGAAGTTTCATAATGAACGAGTGTTACATTGAGATGTCTGGAGTGTTGGAGGCAGAGACTCTGCGACGGAAACTGGGATCGGTAATCATGTGTGATATGTAGGTCGTACGTTACATACCGCTGCATTCGGGCCTGCGGACCCCCGTACAAGGACTATAAGTACACTTACATGATGATTTCGTTGATGGAGCGCGAACAGTGACAGGCTGATTGTGCGAGCATGCGACCGACCGGTACATCGGATCGTTTGGATTGCCCTGAAGTGGAATGTACTGGGGAGGTAGCAGCGCCGGGCGGTGGAATATACGCTGCTGAGTGTGAGTGCGATAAGGCGTTGTTCCCGCAGGATATAATGCTACGCCGCGTAGAGGGTCGCGGGTGCCGTTGAAGAGATGCTGCAGGAGGTGGCTGCAGAACAAGGACCGTGCAGTTAGACTCAGATTGCTGTGTAACGTCATCAAGATGAGTGTTGCATTCCGAGATCATCAGATCGCTTACAACAACCATTTTCAATCCATTCTTTCCTGTCGTCTGCACAGCTTCATTAAATTTTGAAACCATCGGCCAAGATTGTTGCGGAGTTAATGCGCAGCCCTCGAGAGCTGCGTTTATAAAGACGACGACAGCCACAGGCGTACGTGGATGGCGATTCAGACCAAAGTGACAAAGTGCACATAGAAGAGACGCCCATAAAGCCGAATAAAGTAGCCACGTGTGCGGAGAGTCATTTATGAACTCACAGGCACCTTCTTCGCCAATATAGTCGTGCGCCCTCGCCGCCTTCTCTCCCATCCTGCCACTGGTACTCGCAGCGAACAGGCCAAGGGCGGTGCCCCGGAATCGACGTGCTCGGCCAGAGGGCGACAGACAATTAATTTCTGGACGGATGAGATCTGAGAGCTGAGCACGGCCGACGCCGGGATTTGCCATGATGCCATTTGCTGCAACCCGTGGGATAATCGCTCGTCTCGGATGGCTGCTGTATAAGTGTCCACCTGCTTAATTTTCTTGCTTAAAGGCCCGAATCGCTCACCCCCTATAGCTCGCGCTTTGTCAACTCTCCGCCTCTATGCTCCCTCCTTATCCGTCCTCTCCGCCTCTCCTTCACCCATCCTCGGCCAGCCCTGCGCACACACCCAGTACAAGCAAGCAACGAGCCATGACCGCCGGCGCAAATCAAGAGCGCATCGAGCAGCCCAAAAAGCCTCGCCATCGCCATTCTGCCTTCCAGCTCGCAGCATTAAACGAGCTCTACGATAAAAGTGAACACCCCTCGCTCGAGGAGCGTACTTCCCTTGCAGAGCGTCTCGGAATGTAAGTCGTCCTTTGTCTGTCGCCGTGCTGAATTTGGCGGTATAGCCTCATGTGCGAGTGGCTCACTGTGATGTAATCTTGACAGGGAGACGAAAACCGTAAATTCATGGTTTCAGAACAAACGTGCGTCGTGTAAAAAGCGACACAAAAGCTCGTCGGCGGGGACGAGCACAGGCACCCACTCTGGTCACAGCACCAAGAACAGTAGTCCGGTCAACCAGCTGCCCCCTATATCTGCCCTTATCGCGTCCGTCTCGGCGGCTCCACACCCCTCGTCGCACTCTCTTGCGCCCCATGATTACGAAGGATACTCAGACGACGAGCCGCTGGCCCATTTGCAACAGCCACAGCACCCGTCTTTGTTTTACCTCGGGAACCCCCAACACCCACATTTGTTCGAGGCGGAGGAGAGCGCACCGCGCAAGGGCCGGACTCGACCATCTGCAGCGCAGACGGAAGAACTGCGGAAGGTATACGAGGGCAATCCGCACCCGTCGAAGGAAGAGCGGGAGGCTCTGGGGGCGAGGATCGGAATGTGAGTCAACTATTTTCGTTCATTTTGCAATGTGTCATATTGGCATTCATATGGGCGTCTATTATATGCGCTACCATCGATCAGACGCCGAGAAGAACAAAGACTGATTTCCTTTTCCAGGCGTTATCAATCTGTCACAAATTGGTTCCAGAATCAGCGCAGCATTGCAAAGAAACGTAGCCCCGACGACGACCTTCCCCTTGTCCCCGCTCACGTCTCTCTCCATCCGTCTCTTCCTGCCGCCCCCTCGCGCTCGCGCACTTTCTCTCCATTCCCTCCCGCAGTAGGCGCCGCTCACCCATCACTCTCGGTCCCACCTGCGACCGGCCACCCGTCTCTCGCGTTCCCCGCCCCAACATCCATTAGTGCAGGGCCCATCTCCAGAGCCCGGCGTTCGCCCAGCGCAGCTCCGACAAGTCATCGCAGTATTAGTCACAGCATCGGCCACTCATCTTCCCACCCAGCTTCCCCACGTATCTCGCCGTATCAGACCTCATCCAATCGTTCGCATGGCCGTCGAAGTCAGGCACGACCTCGTCGCACACGTCCTGAGCCTCACCAGCTCGAAGCACTCAAGAAGCTCTTCCGACGCACCACTACACCTAGTATCGAGGAGCGCGGCGCGCTCGCGCTGGAGGTTGGCATGGAAGTAGGCAAGGTGACGAACTGGTTCCGCAATCTTCGCCAGACGGCAAGGAAAAGCATCAGATCGCGCGGCATGCACGTTTCTCCAGATGGCGAGGAGGATGAATTGGACGAGGGAGACATTGATGAGGACGAGGGCGATGCAGACCACTACATGGACGTAGACGCGGACGACGTGAGTCTTGCGACGTACAACTCGCGGAACGTTTCCCGTGCGAGTACGCCAATGCGTTCAGCTGCATCGATGTCATCGGCTCCATCGCCGCTCATGCACTCATTTCGTCCACCGCCATACATGTTTGACGAGGTGGATGCACTACCCCGTTATGTCCAGGATCCGCGATTATACTCCCCACCACCGCTTCACTTGTGGCGCCATGAGCACCAATTGGACCGTCAGATATATGCGGCCCCGTTACGCGTACTACCCGTCGAGCGGCATAGCATGCGACCGTCAGTGCCTGTTACGTTGCGGTCTCTATCAATACACACCCCATCTGACCCGGATGTGGACTCGCATATGGGGAGTGAGGAGGACTACCAGGAGGCCGTGACACCTAGTCCAGAAGGATCACCTCCGCCTCCTGTGAGCGTGTCGGAGACTGATGCGGAGCTCGAGAAGAATGCCGTGCTAGAGAAGGCTGCTGTGCGTCGGGGCGTGATGGGAAGCGACGCTAAGGCGGCACAGTTCGAGACGAGTGTTAAAGTAGAGGATGCGCTTTTACTGTTGAGCTTCCATCAACACGTCGTCCGGTGAGCTTTACAGCTTGAAGAAGTTAAAGAAGTCATGATTATTTATTGTGAGTAGACATCTTCTGATGACTCAGATTGTGTGGCTGACGACATTCCCTAGACAGTGTAATAAGTCGGGATGCTTCGCACCGTCTAATCTTGCTCTTGTTGATACACTCACGTATTCTGCTACGTCGGAATGGCACGCTCGCTCCGTTACTTCGACTCATTCACACATACATGCATTTCACACCATCGTGCACCCTCTTCGCTGCTTGACGTCTCATCGCTGATCGCTATCTATTGTTTATTTCTATCTCTCTTTTCCCCGGGCGACTATATTCGTTTCTGAGAGCTCGTCGGACGCTACTGAGAGTTTGTACACCGGCTCTGCAGTTTGCGAGCGCTATTGCAAAAGTAATGTTTTTGTAGACTTGTGTCTGTAGCTCTGTAATATGAGCGCTGTAATGAATTTATATTGATCACATGAAGGCGATGATTCATCTACAATATTTGAGTGGAATTGGAGATGTGACCTAGTGGCTCCTGGGCGCCCACTGAGGCGAACTCGCCCGGACCACTTCCAATAACTTTTTCTTCTGCCTTGCAAATCTGGGCGCTCGGACTGCGAGTATAATCCGTCCGTTACACTGTGAATTCTATGGCACTGCATGATCACGGCCGCCTCGGCCGATGCTCCAACCGTGGCATTTGCTGGTCGCCGCCGATTGTTACTGGACGCACAGTGACGAAGGGATGACTGCACCATTCAGCCAAGCCTGTCGAGAGGTGTGGCCAGCAGCGAGTGACGGTAGTCTCCACGTCCCTCAACTGCAATGGCGTCATGTCTGACCCATCTACTCCGTGGCTTTGAACTTAGGACATTCTGTATATATGCTATGCCAAGCAGGAGTTGTGTTCAATCTCGTTGCTCGCTACATCACACCCCAACCCGGACGACTCATCTCGTCTTGCTATTTTTGTGATATATTGATTTACCTGTAAAGCTATGTGGATCGCGCATTTTTCATCAGGTACGGTCCTCCTTTCTGCAATTCGCCAGGTCGAACCTTCTCATGCGATGCAGGCCTCGTCGCGAAGCCCTTCGCACCGGGCATTCCTCTCTCCGTCCTATGCCTTGCTGGGGCTGCCGCCGATGCTGCCTTCTTTCTTCTTCAGTTCATCAACCTGGAATCGTTCAATCTCGACACGTCCATTGCGGCAAATAGAGGCTGCTTCCCATATGCGAACGATTATCCGTACAGCCACTCCCTCGCCGGCATGGGCGCCGTGGGGTTCGTTGTTGCCCTTGGGTACAAGGCACTGCGTCCCACCGCGCGCGCGTCCCTCTCAGACATGATTGTGATTGTCCTCGCGAGCCTGAGTCACTTCCTCCTCGAGTGGCCATCGCATCGCGCAGGTGAGACGCCCCCCCTCCCCCCCCCATCGTCCGTAGCTGCTAGCTCACCAAGTGCACGCATCGCAGACATCAAGCTCACCCCATACGACGACAGAGCAATCGGCGCGGGGCTCTTCGACCACCCCATGCTCACCTTCCTCGCAGAGGCTGCGATTTTCCTTACCGGCCTCTGGGTGTATGCCACCTTCGCGCCGAAGGTCACCCGGACCGGCTACTTGACGAACCGCAATCGCCTCCCGAAGATCGTCGCGTTCATGCTCGTCCAGCAGGCACATTTCTGCTTCGGCGCGGCCCCGACGTATGAGACACGTTGGGTGCATGCGCCGCTGTTCCTCAGCGAGGTATTGGGCAGTTGTTGGGTATTAGGAAAGCTGGAGGGCTGAATGCGAGTGAGAGCGGAGGCGCTCTTCGCTCGGCCTTACGACCCGATGCGTATTGCACAGCCTAGTCGGCCCGCTGATATGAGATTCTAAGAATTTGGATTTGGGCTCGGTGACAGTGTGTTCTCGGAGCTCGTTGAGAAGGCTGGGGAAACATTATGGTAACTACTCTTGTGGCTTCTGCAGTCATAAAGCCGCCATGGTCTCACACAGTGCTCATGATCTGTTTTGCTGCACGCCGAGTGCCTTGGATGCAAGTACGACTGGGCAAATAGGGAAAGTCGCGAGCCAGGACGCTAGGCGAAAATTGGTTTCACCAGCTCCGCGTCGTACGGTATGTATGGCCTGGTGGCTAATGACCCCGGCCCGGGTCGCGTTTTACCCCAGTTGCGCAACTGCATCAACACATTTTGGAGTGGAGATGAGTGGCTGTGGGCTGTGAAACCAGTCAAAAATTGTCGGGCGATACTGCATGTCTTACCGCTCATCCGTATTTCCTGAGATTGTGTTGGTCTTGGAGACCAGAATTGCGCGTGTACGCATCTGAATACTAGATGCTTGGGTTTAATTTCGTGGTATTAATGAGGCATCCTTCTCCAGGACGCACTGACGCAAGAAGTCCATGATATTGGATGAGCGCACTCAAATCTAGATAGTGATGAGTTTTTACGTCGATCATTCAGATTGTCTGCGGATGACTCCGAATGAGCGCTAAGCAATCGAATTTCTGAAACCTGAGACGAGTGATCAGTGTCGAATATCGACCTCCGACGTGTGATGGCAATATTTTCATGATAATCTCATCTCCTCCAAGAGTGAGCAACCTACTGCGGTGCACTAGGTACCAGCCACATCTCTATCCTATTCTCTAGGAATCATGTCCTAGTACCATAATGCTACAACGGCAGTGCAAAGGTTCCAACTCCTTACCCGAGCTCAAGTCTACTGTAGACTACTCCAAACATAAGCCAGGAGAAATTGTAATTGTAGGGAATTGGCTCAGAAGAATGAGACAGCTCCGCGTGGGTGCGATCGACGATACCCATGATCCTTCCATCAATATACAATACAGGCACACTTGCTGTGTCGGTACTTACGGGGGATAATATAAAAACAAGGATGTTTCTGCTCGATATTAGACCATTAGTCAAGTCACCTCTCGAGTTTTGTGGTTTCTTGTCAGCTTGACAGCATGACTATCACACAGAAAATGCTTCAAATCCCGAACACGATGGCTAACTGGCCATGGAAGAGGGCCATCAATCCTCACTATGAAGAAGTCAAGGCTGAGTCAGACGCGTGGGTCCATAGCCTCAACTTGTTTACACCAAAGTCACAGCGCGCATTCGATAAGGGAGACTTCTGTTCGTAATTTTCGGCTTGTACTAGATCCTGTGGGACTCATGGTCACTGCATTCGACAGGTCGCGTGGCTGCACTGGTGTATCCACGGCTAGGAAAAGGTGATCAATAGATAAGCAAGTCCCATGAGATCGCGCTTACATGGACGGATCGCGTCTTTTGTGCACAGAACACCTCCGTACAGGATGCGACATGATGAATCTGTATTTTGTCCTCGATGAGTATACCGATGTCGAGGACAGCAAGGCATGCCGCGCTACAGCAAACATCGTTCTGAATGCCTTCAGCAACCCACAAAAACAAAGGCCCGATGGGGAGAACCCAGTCGGTGAGATGACAAGACAGTAAGTTCAGCGTGTCCACTCCGGGCACGATGATGCTCCACTTACCTTGGATGGGTCCATAAAGATTTTGGAACTTGACGATGAAAACCGCAAGTCCGATGTGGCAACGACGCTTCGTTACTGGCTTCGCCCAGTATCTTGACAGCCTAGTAGCTGAGGCTGCTGACCGTGAACACCAAAAGATCCGGTCGGTCGAAGCGTTTCTCCAATGCCGTCGAATTAATGTAGGGGCGCCGACAATCTACCTACCATTGATACTTGCCTCGGATCTTCCAGAAGAAGTGTTATATCATCCAGTCATAATCGAATTGACCGGATATATCAACGACATGGTAATAATCGATAATGTAAGCAAAATCTCACGGACAGTTGTAGAAGTACTTACTACGTTCTGCAGGATATGTGCTCGTACAACAGAGAGCAAGCCACAGGCCATGGCGATTTTAATTTAGTAACAGTAACCATGCACGAATTCCATCTCACCGTGAATGAGGCGATGAACTGGGCGGTAGATTATCACTCGAAACTGCAAGGCAAGTTCCTGGACGGGCTGAAGAAGGTACCATCGTGGGGACCGGAGATGGACAAGCAAGTAGCAGATTACCTTTCCGATCTGGGTAACTGCCCGCGAGGTAACTTATGTTGGAACTTCGAGAGTGGTAGGTATTTTGGCGACAAGGGAGCTGAGGTAGAGAGGACTCGCTGCGTGCCGCTACTCCCCAAATTGGAGAACGACATGACTTTGCGTCGAGCAGAAGTCTCTGTGCCAATGGTTGAGCTGCAAAGCTAGGCGAACATAGGAAATGCAGCGCAATGACTCATGGTGTACCACAATAGCATCCCACGGTAGTAAGCTAGGTTCATCTTACTAGTAGTAACTTAGATTATAGTAGACTCGAAGTTAGCGATCGGGTGCACGTGCACGCATCAATGCGCCGTCGGCCGTGTGTCCGAGCGCATACGACCTGGACGCAACTAAGGTCAAATGTGAAAAGTGTCAGGCTCACCTCGCCATGTCTTCCACCCTCCGCGCGATGCGCCCCGCTCTCCACATTCCTCGCCTCGCCACCTCGCCGATGAGCACCTTCGCATATTCCTCTCTCTCTCTCTCTCCGCCTTCACCTTCTACCGAGGACGCTGAGTTCGCAGCTCGCGTAGCAGCGACGGATGCCTTCTTCAAACTTCCTCGCTTTACCTCTCTCATCCGCCCGTATACTGCTGCAGATGTTGCTTCAAAGCAGGGTTCAATGCCTCCGCTGCCTCTCCCTTCGGCCCTGACAGCAGACAAGCTTTGGCGTCTCTTCCAGCAGCGCGCCAGTGAGGGCCTCCCGGTTCACACAATGGGTGCGGTAGATCCCGTCCAAATGACACAGATGGCACCTTTCCAAGAGGTACTGTACGTCAGCGGCTGGGCTGCAAGCAGTCTCCTCACCACTGCGCGTAACGAAGTCGGCCCTGACTTGGGGTATGTACTCCTGGCTGTTCGCCCTAGAATTACTGTTCATGCCCATTTAGCGACTATCCATACACTACGGTTCCGAACCAGGTCGAGCGCCTCTTCCGCGCTCAGCAGCTGCACGACCGTAAGCACTACGATGAACGCCTGGCGATGGGCCCTGAGGCGCGCGCACGCACACCATATATCGATTACCTCCGACCTATTGTTGCCGACGCCGACATGGGGTGAGCGCGTTTGTCCGCTCATTTCGATAGACCCTACCTTTCCACTGATCGATCAGTGGCGCTGGCAATGATGTAGGCACGGAGGTAACTCAACTGTCATGAAGCTCATGAAACTCTTTGCAGAAGCTGTGCGCATACTTTCTCCCTCTCAGCTTCATACATTCATATTAGATCATAGGGCGCCGCCGGAGTCCACCTCGAGGACCAGCTTGTCGGTGGCAAAAAGTGTGGCCATCTTTCGGGGAAAGTGCTCGTACCCGCGTCAACTCATGTTTCGCGTCTCATCGCAGCGCGCTTCCAGCTTGACATGCTTCACCATCCGATGCTACTCCTCGCACGTACGGATGCTGAGTCCGCGCGCCTGATTTCGAGCACTGTCGACGTGCGTGACCACCCGTTCATTCGGGGCGTCGCCACGGGCAAACATAATTGCCGCGAGAAGCCTCTTGCGGAAGCGGTAGAGGAAGCGGAAGCCCGGGGTGCTGGTGCAGAAGAGGTCGGCCGTATCGAAGCAGCTTGGCTCGAGCGAAATGCCCTATGCACCTTCGATGAAGGTGCGTCATCACCGTCGAGTGTGTTTGCAGACAGTTCATGTAGAGTCGCTATCAGCGGTATACGATGCGATTCAGCGGTCGAGTGTACACGACAAGGAGGCGATGATGAAACAGTACCGCATTGCATCCGCTAGCAAGTCGAACACAGACGCAAGGGATATTGCTAAAGATATTCTTGGCGAACCCGTGAGCTGGAATTGGGATTGTGTGTATTTCTTGTCTTCATTTAGTGTGGTTACCCTGATAATCTGTCGATAGTACCGAAGACGCGCGAAGGGTACTACCATTACACGGGCGGGATCGACGCAGCAATCACCCGTGCATTGGCGTTCGCTCCGTATGCAGACATGCTATGGATCGAGACGAAACGCCCAGACCTGAATCAAGCTCGAGGGTTTGCGAGAAACGTTCGAGAGTGTTTCCCAGACAAGTATGTGAGACATTAAAGGCTGGCCAGACAAGAAGTAATATCTATGTATGCAGGTGGTTTGTGTACAACTTGAGTCCTAGCTTCAATTGGTCAGCACAGGGCTTCTCAGGCATGTATTGTTGCGTGGACGCTTTGTATGGATATCGCAGACTTATGACGGTTCACAGATGAAGATCTCACAAATCTTGTGTGGGAGCTGGGCAAGGAAGGGTACATAGTTCTCATTCTTCCATGTATCTGTAGACGATTTCTGACCATATCTGTTGCAGATTTCTTTTACAGCTTATCTCTTTGGCTGGTCTCCACCTCAACGCAACAGCGACGGGTTGGTATTTATATATTATGCCTGCACCACTCTCAGTTCACTGATAATTCAATGTGCTTAGTGGAGCTGGCACAACGGTACAAGACGGATGGCATGCTCGCGTATGTTGAGCTTGTTCAGCGGAAGGAGAAAGAGCTCGGATGCGATGTACTCACGCACCAGAAATGGTACGTGTATTCACTTATTATATTCCTGAAGGCGCTTACCCATGTGGTGTGTCCACCAGGAGCGGCGCAAACTATATCGATCGCATATTGACGACCGTGTCAGCTGGCTCGTCAAGCACGTCGGCGGTTGGGAAGGACTCTACGGAACATTCTTTCTGAGCGTCAGTATCTAACTCATTCTGCTATCGGGGCTTTGATAGCTACGGGTGTCCTACTTATATCCGCTGGCATGCGGATCAGAGTGCACGCTGTGCTATTCGCTCTAATTTTGCAGGCTGTTGCTGCTCTGTGCAAGTCCACCCGATGGTGGCTCGAGGCGAGGAATGACAAGCCCAGTTGACGGCATCAGACGGAAGCTTAGCTTTGGAAAGACACGTAGAATGAATCATACAAACCTACGACAACAAGGTTCAAATTTTGAATCGACACAGGGCATTGCGGTCTGCCACCGGGAGACACACACTAGGTGACTTCATCGTATAGCACAGCTCCTAGTAAGCAGAGCAAGCTGCTTTCTTTGTTCTGTGTTGGTTCCACGAGATTTTTGCAATTCGCCTGAGACACCTGTCCGAGATGCTAGGCGGACAGAAAACCAGCCTTCACATCATATTGTGCAGACGACAGACCATGACGCATCCCTGTGGCCTTGGCTAGGTCTCAAATACCGACAACGTGTGATTCATTGCGTTCGTTACATGTATAGAAGCGTTTGCTTGTCTGCTCTCTAAGCGAGCGAGCGTAACGTCGCAGTTCCAATGGCAAATCATCCTGTATCGGCTAAAATGCTCCGAACGTACCCCTGTTCCAACTGGTCGAACCATCCTTCCACCCAACATGCCCCTGTAAAGACAGGCGAAAGTGTCAAATTGACGGGAAGAATTGTACGAAAGCATCCGGTGTACATCCCCAGCCAACAGATCCATAAGGAAGACAAGTGACAGGTCAACGCCAATACATCCCTCGTGATTCTTCACGTTGACCGCAGATGGCATGGTGCGCATTTATCCGGTTACACAACTCCGTTCAATACCGGAAGTACACACTGGCATATGGCCGCCGCGGACGTAAGTGTTTTAATATGTAGTCCGGGCAGGAAAAGCGACTGACCCCGGAATGACATAATATCGATTCATGAGCCGTGGGTACTTTACCGGCTATCCTACGACATATGGAATGTTTTCCATAGCTTTGTATTCCTGACTTGAAAGCTATAAACCGGCATCTGGAGCACAATTCCTAGTCGCTCATCGATTTAGTACTTTGCAGCATGCCATATGCCTCCAGAATAATCCAACTTCCGGACTTGGAAATCATGGGTTCCTGGCTATGGAAGAGAATTATTATCCCGGCCACTACGAGGAAGCGTAGGCCGAGTCAATATCTCGGCTGCACACAATCAAAGTCTTCCACCCGTAATCGCAGAGGGCATTCGACAAGGGCGATTTTTGTTCGTAGCCCAAACTATGTCCTCGCTGATGCCATCAACTCAGTTTTAGCTCCAGGCCTTGCAGCTGCCGTCGTCTATCCGAAACTCGGAAAAGGTAACGAGATGCTGCTCGTGGAATTTGAACATTGAGTTATCTAACAATCACCGATTCAGCCGCTCCACGTTGCAGCGAAATATGCTGGCAGTTAGCGCCAACAGGTCTCGTATTACAGACTAGCAGATGTATGTGAGTGTATGTATCAAGACTACCTCATAATAATATATTTGGACGAAACGAAGGTACAAAGCTAAGCAGAGTGACAACGAATAACAAACACATAGCCGTTATGAAAAATGATGCATGGACAAGAGCTTGCGAGTGCTCTGCTCAAGGCCGACGTGAGAAATTGCATGCAGGTATCATTCCTAGTGAGTCGTGAACAAGGTCGATGCGAGAAGCATGTACTTGCATAGAGCGGCCAGCACAATAAATAATCATGATCATGAAAGGAAGAAAGGCGTCCGAGGTAGCTACCAGGCTGCGCCGCGCTTACTCCATCGAGGTCATTGAATGGTCCAGCGTGTGGTAAGGGTACGACAATGTGTTCTCAATGCGGTGCGCACCGAGCTTCGGTGACACCATCTCATACTGTGATGCATCTATGCTTGGTCGGTCTTCTATTGATTCACTAGAACCATATGATCGCCCTTTCTTCGGAGGAGAGCCGCCTGATATTATGCGCGACGGCCGAGGGGGAGATGAAGATGTAGTTGACATTGATGAAAAGCTCGGGCTCGGACGTTGTCGTACCGAATTGCGGTGTGGATGAATGGCCGACTGACTCGCCCGCTTGGAACCTTGCGCGTGGGTGTATTCATCCGGGAGTGCAGGACTCGGTGGTATGTCACCCATCGGTGCAGACATTGATGTCGTCGAGCCACGCTTGGTCGTCCCATCAAGGATGCTCGGCCTGCGACGCTTGATGGGAGCGTCGCTGAGCAGCTCCGAACTCGAGCGTGGTGTACTCGCTGAGGAGTTTGTTTGAGCGTGGAGATTACCGGAAGCAGATTTCCACGACTTCAAAATAGATTTTCGCACGCCCCCCGACTTCTCTGGAATCATTGGAGGTGATGAAGACGGAGACGGGGTAGGAGGAAGTGGGGGAATTGCTGGCGACGGTTGTCGAGAACTGTCAAGCGGCGGTGTCCGACTGGGAACGATGGAGTTGCGAGATTCGGACATGAACTGCATGCTAGCAATGGAAGATTTCCGTCTCGGCTTCGAAGGCACCTGGGGTGCCTCTACCGCATAATCTCCAGGTTGAGGTGACTTTGAGATTGACCTCGATGTGCGTCGACCTGTAGGATACTCCTGGCTCACGCCATAGTTTGGGGATGTTCGCCCGGAATCAGGAGTAACTGCGCCAGAAAGCGATAGCTTATTATTGGTCTTCCGCCATAACTTCTTGATATTCTTCATGCTCACGAGCGGCGTACTCTTGGTATTCTTCCCTCCATCGTCCGATGTAACCGAGTCGAGAGAAAATCGACTGGATGGTGTCTGTGTATTCGCTCGATCATCAGGGTCAAACTGATCGTAAGGACCTAAAGACGTTTTTCGAATCGCAGGCGGTCGCTGTGCGGAAAAGCCTCCATTAGGAAGCGGTAGTGGTTCATCTTGATATCCGAGGGATTGCCGTTCCTCAGAAAGCCTGGATGCTTCCGCCTCAGAAGGGAATCTCCCGAAGGGGTCAGGAGACAGAGGGATAATAGGGGAATCACCACTTCGAGGTGTCAGCAGTGCAGGAGGCATGAGGGGAGGATAAAGTTCATGATCATCCCGCCTCTGCCGCCGGGAAGGGGATTCGGTTGAAACAGTACCTGAGCGTACCCTCTGTACCGGTGGACTAACCAAGGGCTCAGTGGTCACACCATTGAAAGCAATTCGAGGAGGTGAGAGAGGGCGACTCGTGCTCTCAGTATGAGATACTGAGTCAGATGATTTCCGCCCATTGACGCTGTTTGAAGAGTACGGAGTAACAGGTAATGATGTGTCATCCGCGCTAATAAACATCTCCCTTAAAACAAGTGTGATTAATCGAAGAACAACTTCGTTAGGTAAACGTACCTGTTTTGGGGTGACACATTTGTTCGCAGAGGACGATGAGGTGAAGAAAAACCCCATTGAGGTGGCGACAAGGTAGCGGAATGCGGAGTGCGCCGCGGACTCTCGCTATCGGTCGTCGGCTCCGATTGAAGACGTCGAGGGGATAATTGGATCAAATTCTGTTCAATGGAGGTCAACATATTTCAATGAACTTCTTTAAGATATCTTACCCTCTCAATCTCATCAAGCTGCGCCTTCATGATGAACTGACTGCGTCGACGATCGTGCGGGTCACTTTCGTCATACTTGATCCACCAGTTAGTATGAAAGACCTCAGATGCGATTCAATAGACATACCTCAATAGTATTGTCGTCAATGTTGAGTCCGAGGTCAAGCTCCTCGAAGAATGTCCCTACTCGTTTCTCCTCGTCTGGACTACGGACCATCTCATAGCCACCGCTCCGTGATAAATCGTCTCCAACATCGCGAGAGGACCCATCCGCTTCTTCAGTCGATCGCGAAGATCCTTCAAGATATGCAAGATGTGCGCTTCCAGAAGAGCTACTAGAGACATGTGGGCTGTCCTGAACGGCAAGGTCTTCGCCATTCGGTAGAGACGGCACCAGATTCAGCGGTGGAGGCGGCTGCTTCCGAGCACTGACTGATCCGGCTGTGGTTGGTGACGACTGGCGTTTGTTAGACGGAGGGGACGGTATAGATACAATGAGCGAGGGACGCGAAAGTTGATCCCAGAGTTCGGCAACCTCCTTTTCATCGTTGTCTTCCACTTTGTCATCCTCATATTCATCCGGGAGCGCGGAAAGCGAAGCACCATCAAGAGCAAGATTGACGACGTCGGGATTCGCATGTCGTAAATGTGGACTGGACTGTGCCTCTGCGTGCACTTCAGCCCACGTCTCAGCATCCGTGCCAAATACATCTTCCAGAGGGTCACCGTTGGTAAGCCCAATACGAGTGGTGGGATCATCGTCAGACACTTCCTCTTCCTCTCCATCCTCTGGATCTTCTGGGAGCTGAACGTAAGCACCGTCCATTATGGCTAGATCGGCAACTTGTTCTTCTTTGGAAATCAAAAAGCTGGGCATGGTACTGGCCTTCTGTACCTTCCCTACCAGTTCAAGCTCAATCGGTGCCCTCCTCAGCTCCTGGTCGTCATAGTCACTGGCTTCATCTTCATCACCGCTTCTCGATCTGGCGCGCCGACGCATCCCAAGACGACTTTCAGCACGCTTTGCATGGTTAGCCTTTCGACTACGGTGCCACGGTTCATACCATGCTGCTTTGCGGCGATCAATCTCAAACTCCACTTTCGCGAGGATGGGAATAAGCGAAGGAGAATGCAGACCGGGGAGAGGAAGATCTTCTGGGTGTCTATCGCTTGCTGAAACAGACGTCATTGACTCCGGATGCTCTAGTTCTGACCCAAAATTTGATGAGAAAGCAGAATTAGAGGCGGTAGAAGGCGAAGGAATCACAGACAGCTGCGACTGTGACATATCCGTTCTTCCGGCAGAGAATGGCGGGCGTAGAGCAGAGGACGGTGCATCATGAAGAAATGATGGTGATGCTGGAGACGAAGATGCGCCAATTCCAAGTCCAATCGGCCTGAGCCCGGCGGAGAGGCTTTCGTCCTTTTCGGTACGCACTACACGTAGCCAAATATGCCGCCATATTTCCTCCGAGATTCGCGGACCAGGCTCGTCAGGTTCGGGGGCGTCACAGCCATAAACAGACGGTGAAATGACGAGATACATGATCAAGCCGACTGCGCTGGGAAGGGCATATTCCTTCGCAATAGCAGCCAATTGACTTGACAATGTGGGGTAAACGGGCACAAGAATACCACGGCGGAACTGAGTATGATATCCCGATGCACTCGGAGGTGGAGGAAGTAAATCTGGATCGTCAAAGACCTCGGAATCATGAGGAAGGTGATTAGGCGGTATGACGTGGAGAAGATACTTCGTTGTTGAGGTGGACGTGAAGGTCTGGGCTGAAGTGGCGGATGGTGTAGGCGAACGCCGGAAATAATCAGGGAACGAAGACGAAGCAGACGAGCTAGGAACGGGTGGGGAAGATAGCGTCGCTCCATAAGAATGTACCGCAGGAAGGGGAGTCGATACGCCTAGTGCGTTGGCAAGCTTTGCAAGCCGGTGTGGGGGAAGGGGAGCGCGCGGCGGTCCCCACGCAGGTGTCGACACTGACGAGGTTGGCGAGGAAGCTGAAGCACGATCATAGTCGGACATAGACGGCATGACGATCATATAAAGCAGCAACGGCTCACGACCACACTCGACACGATACTATCATCTGCACGCAAGAATATGCAAGTACGGACGGTGAGCATATTTCAACACATTCATTACTCAAGGCCGAACACGCACCAGGGTGCACACTGCCGGCCTGAAGAAAGCAGGACACGCCGTAATTGGTGGGGAAGAAAGGAGGCGTACGGTGAATATATCCACGGCACTGAGACGGAGAGCGAGCTGGAGAAGGTCGCAACTGGGAACAAGTAGGCTGGTTACAAGAGACTCGAGAACCGAGACAACCGTGTGCACCAGACTCCCACCAGCCCCCGCGATCCCACGCGCCTCAGCCTCCAGATCGACGAGCCACCATCTCAGATCTGCCTTTATGGGCGCCTAGCAGCCCACTTTTCAGACGACAAACCGGGTCCAAGTCGCAGGCTTACCGTTACCTTTGTATCTCGTAGCCAGCAGGATACAGTTCATCTGGCCCTCTCATGAATTCTCCACGCCGTACCATAACCCATTGATTAAGTAGCATGATCACATCTGTTTTTGCTGTCTCTAGAGACTGATGATATCACTGATACTGTATACTATGATAGTTCGCCGAAGGAGCGTACAGTGAAACGTCCTGAGTTGACCAGCAGGTGTGCGGATTTCACTCTGGCCGCTTTGGAGCGTCGTCCCACCGCTCCTGGGTCGTCGACATGTACACTTCTAAGCGTTCTAACAATCGTAGCGGGTTACATCATACCTGAACTCGATTCCGGTCATGCAAATGTCGTTGATTGTTAATGAGGGATGATAGGGACCAAACCCATCAGTATGACTCAACCCCGTTGGCGGACGCATCGGCAGTTTCTGCACAGCTCCACGGTTTGATCTGTTGGCGCATATATATAGGCTGTTCTGGACATTCAGAGTATTACATTTCTGTTTGTTGTAACAAGTTTACTATGTGCGTTTTCCATTGATCCTTCTCGGGTCAAATCTGTTCAAGATTTAGACATATGCTTCCGGCATTATACCTTGCACAGCCATGGGTATCCGAGTACCAGTGTTCGGTACAGTTTGTGTTCGCTTAACATTATACTATAGTGACGTGCACACTTGAAGTCGCATATAACGTGTGTATTTCAAACGCACACGCTCGATACAACACATAATGCAGTACAACGTCCAACATATGTATTAAACCAACTCTAATACGACATGAATATAGCAGAGACTGCGACCTCGCGATTGTCCGACGAGTTGACGAAATGGGTACACACTACAGAGGAATGATACGCGCCTGATTCACATAGATCAAGATAAATGTGCATGTACGGGGTAGGGGTGCTGGATGATGATGGTGGACAATATTGTGTGGACTCTGGTATCCTTCGAACGATAAATCGTCGGTGACCGTCCATCAGCCAAACCAGGCGCGGCAGCCCCTCTCTGAGCCTGTCCACCCTCCCCGAACTAGAACCGCGGCGACGATCAAGTAAAAAAGGTGGAAGCTAAGTGGACGATGGGAAGATTGAGTATCGGGAGGTGTAAATGAGAATATCAAGGAACATGGGAAGGGAATGAGGGAATGGGCAATCATGAACAACACAGAGAGGCCGAGAGAGATGGTAGTGATAATGTATAACCTAATGCATACACGATCATCACAAGCGTACGGCGCAAGGGGAAAGTCATAAGCGGCGAGTGGGAAAGAGACGACTCCTACCGTCGCACTTTCGAGGTCGCAACGTAAGGAAGGCGTGGAAAGAAAAAGCGTCCGTACGGAAACAACTCCAAAGCAACATCATGTTACGGCGACCAAAAGGTATCGTCACCGAGGTTTGCGGGCTACCAGAAGCGGGACTGGGCGCGAGATCAGCGGACTACAAGGAAGGTCTTCATGCGACAGGGACGAGGGGATGGCCGGGAGAGAATTCTAGTCGGAGGATCAAGAGAGCTTTGAGACATGTATATGGCAAATCCGACGTTCTTCCGCGAATGACTGCGACCCGACTAGCCACGCGATCCGCTCGTCCCATCCCTAGACGTGCGCCGTAGATCAATATAATAAACCGACAACCATGGCGCCACCCGCAACTGGCGACCTATTCCGAAACCGAGCGCCACTCTGGCACCTTCCCTCCGCCCCCTTGCTCGGTCGTACTCCGGACGCGCTCAGAAGACTAGACTCCTCGTCTCCAACGAGGTACAGCATTTACCAATCTCCTCGAGTGATGCGCTGTTGACCCACAGCGCCAGCGCCAGCAGCTTGCTGCTGAAGACGAGTGTGAGAACGCAACCTAATAGAATGTATAAGCTCGCAAAATAAATGAATGACGATGATGCAGCTTACATCCGGTCGGGAATACGCGGCTCCTCATCCTGCGCAACCCTGCGCCTGCCGCCTACCTTGGCGCTAGTGCCTGCACTGCCCTCGTCGTGTGCTCGGTGCACGCTCCAGTCGAAGACATAATCGTATTGATATCCCTCACGAACAAAGAGGTCGCGGAACAGCTTGCGCAGGTAGGAGTAATCCGGTTTGTCATCAAAGCGGAGGGCACGGGTGTAGTTCAAGAAAATTCCAAATTCGTTGGGGAAGCCACGGCAAAGCACGTCTGTAGGGGTTGTCATCTTCTTCTCCATGATACGGTCATATTTCTGCTTCTTGGTGCCGGCTTTCAATCCCTGCCAAGGAAGCCCACCTCGCAAAAAGTACAGCAGAACATATGCAAGAGATTCGAGATCGTCGCGACGCGCCTGCTCGACGCCGAGATGAGTATTAATCGACGTGTATCGAGCAGTCCCCGTCAAGTTCTTGTTCTCTCTGTACGGAATATGAAGATGCGTCTTCGGGTCTCTGTACTTCTTCGCGAGGCCGAAATCGATAACATTCACTTGGTTACCACGTTTTCCAATTCCCATCAGAAAATTGTCAGGCTTGATGTCGCGATGGATGAAGTTGCGGGAGTGAATATATTCAATCCTCGAGATCTAACGGAAACATGTTTTCAGTCCCATACACCAAAAGATGACAATCAGCTCACGAGTTGATCCGCCAGGAGCAAAACCGTCTTCAGGCTAAACTTGCGACTGCAGAAGTTGAACAAGTCTTCGAGCGAGGGTCCAAGCAAATCGATGACCATGGCGTTGTAGTCGCACTCCGTGCCGAACCAGCGAACGAAGGGGACACCTACACCCCCAGCAAGCGTCTTGTAGACCTTTGATTCGTACTCGAGTTGAGGATGCTTCGCCTTCACGGATTCTAGCTTAATTGCGACCTCCTCGCCAGATATGATGTTGGTTCCGAGATAAATGTCACCTAACGTTGTTTGAGATATAAAAAAGACAGCGCATGCTCTCCACTTACCAAAAGATCCGGAGCCAATCTTCTTTCCTAGCCTGTACTTTCCGCCAACCCTGAGGTCTAGCTTGTGTGAAGTCGAATCGGCCATTGTGTCTGGATGTACAAATCTGGACATATACGGTGAGCAAAGAGAATATACAGCCAGTACAAAGAAAAGATGGATGGAAGCAAAGGGAACGACTGCTGACAAGTCTGGTAGTTAAACGCCTGAGGTGGACCAGCAGCAGCCTGGGAATACGACGCAGCACACTGCACGACGGCCAGCGAACACGCCTCTATCTGCCGGCATGCTCATCTGGCAGTAGCGGCGACGAACGCATCTTTACGTCCTGTGACACTCCTGAAGAGACACCAGTCGTCCGTGGGCGCGAGGCACCCTCGAGGCGAGTTGCGTAGATTATCCGATTCGTGGACAAATTGCAGACGAGAAAGCGACAAACCAACATACCTCTGAGTGTGTGGAGAATGGAAGGGATTGAAGAATGCGGGTGAAATAATGGACGACGAGAGCGATGAGGTGGTGAAGGTTGAGTACAAGGACGAAAGAGAGGCGGACGGAGACAATGTGGCGAGCTGAAGTCCGTGTGAAAAGTAACCTTATCCGGTCTTCATGCGGCCGTGCAGGCCGCCAGCCTTGCACCACCTCTCACGTCGAAATCGATCAATTCAGAGCTGACTCAAATTGACAAGCTCGTGCGGACGGCGGTCAGCGACTGTGCAGTTTTCAGTCTCAGTAGCTTACCAAAACGCCATGTATATATATGCTGTCGTCTGTAGCTGGCTACCGAATTAATCTGTAGGCTTCACTTGAGCATGAAGATTATTCAAGTCGTTTCTTCACCGCCTAGCTGTCTCGAGGTGCTGATATATTGTTTGATTGGCTCATAAACTTGAAGGAGCTCTTGATCGTCTTGCTGCGGTATTCGTATCTAGTCGTTAGAATCTGTTCAACCGCACAGTTGAGTGACTGTGCAGCATCGTATCTGTGGTGCGCGTATTACCACAATTTTGAAATTGCAAGGCATACGCCAGCTCTCGCTTTGAGCCTTCAATTTGTATAGGGGATCTGACATCGTTGACGACCCAACACCTCTGTCCATACTACTACGATTGCTTTCGGGACATTACGTAGTGAGCTGTTTTTTTAAATCAGACTGGAATACTCAGAAGGCCCCTCTGTGAGATTTTAAACGTGACACTGAGCTCAGCCGGCAGTGGGAGCCTCGAGAGCGAGACATATGGATTATCAAAGATCTACTGTACTTCAAGTTGAGTACCACTTTCCAGGATGTGAATAAAGCGGTTGCCAAATTTAGACATGATGGTTCAACAGAGCCTTGGCAAGGCAACTCAGTCTCCGACCGCGTCTTCGTTAGCAACGCAGCGATACCCATCTCCCGCTGGTTGGAGTCGCCTTCATTTCTTCCCTTCTCTCATTGCTGCCTATACACGAGCAGTCACTCTTTTATCGTGTCGCTCTCTTCGCATTTCGCTCTCTAGTCTTGTAGAACCATGGCTTACCGTACTCAGCCCCAACACGATCCCTACAGCCCGCGTTCTGGAAATAACATCTATCCGGACTATCCTCCTCCTAGTTCAACCACTAGTCTTGCCCCCGACTATCCACCTGTTCAGCAGCAGCAGTATCATGGTCAGGCCGGTCGCTTTCAGCCCGTCGACAACTACGATGCGCAATCTAGTTGGGAGACAAAATCCGCGAAATCTTTCCAGAGTGGTTTTGCCAGCTCTCAGACGCATCTTGTCCCTCACTATGAGATGAATCAAGTCTCCAGCAATGTGCCTCCCGTGCCTTCGCTCCCGTATCACCAGTACCAGCTGGATTATCCTCCAATGCAACAACTTAGACCAGGAGTTGGATGGTCTGTCGCCCGCGAAAAGCTTCTCAAACAGCGCGCGGTGAAGCAGGTCGAATTGCAGCAGGGGAATCTGGTCCTGGATATGCAGGCTCCTTCGTTCATCGTTCCCAAGGGAATGGAAGGCAATGAGGAGATGACTAAATTGCGATACACAGCGGCAACTTGTGATCCTGATGATTTTATGCGAAACAAGTACTCTCTTCGGCCTTATCTCTACAGCCGCCATACAGAACTGTTTATTGTCATGACTATGTACAATGAAGATGAAATATTGTTTGTGAAGACTATGAACGCGTAAGACGGTTTATTTTTCGACACAGCATTTTTCTGATGGGATGTGTGCCACAGCGTGATTAAGAACATTGCTCATTTATGCTCCCGCAGTCGTTCCAAGATGTGGGGCCCGAACGGGTGGCAGAAGGTCGTAGTCTGCGTAGTCTCTGACGGCCGAAGCAAAGTCAACAAACGGACTCTTCAAGTCCTGACTCTGGTATTTTGAATCTGGTGGTCAATATGTCGGTAGCTGACTCTGAATCTAGATGGGGTGCTATCAAGAAGGAGTTGCTAAAGACACCATCGGGGGCAAGGACGTCACCGCTCACATCTTTGAGTGAGCATCTGTATGGATGGCCTGTCACTTGTTCTCAAAAAGTTGACTGTTTTAGATTCACGTCGAACGTAGTCATCTCAGAGAAAGGGGAGGTGTCAAAGAGTGCCTGCCCAATTCAGATCATATTTTGTCTCAAGGAGCAGAACAAGAAGAAGCTGAATAGGTTTGTGAAGTGCTGGTATATTCACACACTTTCTGACCTCTGTTTAGTCATCGCTGGTTTTTCAATGCGTTCGGCCCACTCATACGTCCCAATGGTGATTAGTCCTAGTTTACGGGTTATAAACTGACATTAGAATTGTATTTCCACATCAGTCTGCGTCTTGCTCGATGTGGGAACCAAGCCAACTGGAACATCAATCTATGAACTATGGAAATGTAAGATCCGAATTTTTTCTGGCACCTGTACATACGGCTCATTTGTCCAGGCTTCGACAGGCATTCCAATGTAGGCGGGGCCTGCGGGGAGTACGTTTGACATTATCTGATTCGTGCTTCAGCTTATAAGTCACGCAGGATTTGTGTCGACACAGGAAAGGCGTGTTCTCTAATTCTGAAAAGTCCCTTAGCGGCATCTCAGAATTTTGAGGTATATATTAAAAATATCCTTGTATATGGGGCATTCGAGATCTGATGCCTCATTTTAGTACAAGATGTCGAATATCTTGGACAAGCCCTTGGAGGTAAGATAGGCGTTCTAAATCAGCCTCATTTTATACTGAACCGGTTTGTTCTGGTAGAGTGTCTTCGGTTACATTAGTGTGCTTCCTGGTGCATTTAGCGCTTACAGGTATAAAGCACTTCTCAACGGACCTGACGGAAAGGGACCGCTAGCTTCGTACTTCAAAGGAGAGGAGATGCATGGTGGGCACAGCCAAGCAGGATTGTTCGGTATGTCGTCATGTATTAGCGGTCTTCTGATCTGTAATGTTATGGTATTAGAACGAAATATGTATCTCGCCGAAGACCGAATTTTATGTTTCGAAATTGTAACCAAGAAACGAGAGGGCTGGGTGTACGTACTTCTATTTGGTCTCGTTGACTTGGCTCATCTTCCATCAGCCTGAAGTACGTTAAAAGCGCGAAAGCGTCCACTGATGTACCGACCACCGTTAGTCTTCATCTTACGCGATTATGCTGCTGTCTCTGACAAATGACAGGTCCCCGAGTTCATTTCACAACGCCGTCGCTGGCTGAACGGCTCCTTATTTGCTACAATTCATTCGACTGTGTTTTTCTGGAGGATTTGGACATCTGGACAGAATCCCTTCAGAATGCTCCTTCTCCAAGTATTACATCCACATTTTCGCGCTACGTCTAATACTGATGTCCCTTCAATAGTTCGAGTTCATATATAACGCGGTCCAGCTACTTTTCACTTGGACATCTCTGGCGAACTTCTACCTGGCTTTCTTCTTCGTGAGATTCCAAACTTCCACTCTACATTTAGTCATTTTGTAACGTGGGAGTTGGTTACAGTTGGTGTCTTCTGCCACATCTGGCCAGGGTTCGAACAATGCGTTCAATTTCCTCAGCAATAGCGCCGGTCAGGACATCTTTGAAGTGTTCCTGAAGGTAATGTCCATTTCTCATTGAGATATCGCGATCTCACAAACACATATTAGCTCTATATCGCTCTGCTTTTCGTAGTCACTGTCTGTTCCCTCGGAAACAGGCCCCAGGTATGATTGTTTTACTGTCGTTTGATCCAGTTCTCAATCTGTCTCAGGGTTCAAAATGGATCTATGCCATGTGTATGATCCTCTTCGGCTTATGCAATATCATCACACTGTGGTGTGCTGGGTATACGGTGTATCTCGCGGTGCCCCATACACTTACCGGATGGGAGAATTTCCCAAAGTGAGTAGTTGACTGCTGAGGTCGACCTCACGGCTAGATCTATTTCACAGTCTCGTGAAGACCAACGCTACATTCCGCGACATTGTCATTTCTTTAGCAGCCACGTATGGCCTGTATTTCATATCGTCATTCATACATCTTGAACCGTGGCACATGTTCACGTCATTCTTGCAGTACATGTTTCTTCTCCCGAGTTGTGAGTGTCCATGCCTTTCATACTTTTAAACTGTCTGATCCTCTGATTAGATGTCAATATCTTGAGTGAGTGGGAACTGGACTTTATATGATCATGACCTCACGTAGTCGTTGTAGTGATGTATGCCATGTGCAATCTGCACGACGTGACATGGTATGCCACATTATCCTGCCTTGTAATTTTAACGTATACCGAAATTCTTCTAGGGGTACGAAAGGCGACAACGGTTCTGCAAAGGACCTTGGTGGAGCTAAGAAAGTGAAGGACAAGAATGGCAAGGAGGTTTTAGAAGTCGAGTTGCCCTCCGCTAGAGAGGACGTTGACCAGCTGTGGAATGCTTCACGCTATGCGTTATCTGTGAAACCCACTGAGGAGAAGGAACATCGTGATGCAGCCACGAAGCAAGCCGACCAAGACCGCAACAGCCGGACAAATGTAGTTCTCGCATGGGTTGGGACAAACATGTGTGTCTTCCTTATTTGTACTTGCAATGTTCCATTCATGAGCCGGCGACAGGATCATGATTCTTGTTTTTACCTCGAATATTTTCATCAATTGGGTGGAAGCCCATGTTTCCGGCACAGATGGTTCTTTCAACCCTTACCTCAGCTTCCTTTTCATTTGCCTGTAAGTCACTCTGTGTATTCCTGTTCGATGACTGACGCATATTGCCAGGGCTGGGCTTTCTGCTATTCGTTTCACGTGTTCTACTATATACCTACTGCTTCGACTTATCGGTCTCTGAACGCGCATCTGAAACGTTTACCTTCGCTTCCTGTAGTTTCTGGTACAGTATATCTCCAACTCATGTCGTATCTTCGCTAGGTCGTCAGATCGTCTACTGGAGTGTCTCCATAGTTTGTGTACTTCAGAGAATATACCCGCCTTTGAATGACCCTGTAGTGGCACGAATGATGGCCGCCTCATCTTCTTCCGTGGTAAATAGTATTACCATTACTATACTGATCTTATTTACATACTCACGTGTCATTTGGCAACCGGTGACTAGTGACGTTACAGGCGTTAAGCCGCTGAGCGGCTATGTCACTTGCCTGAGTTTACGATGAGCAGCGCTCCTTCGCCTTGCCCTCACTATAACGGCGCAGTTACTTGCAAGACCAACATCATCAAGCTGACGGAATTCCGCACAGCATGGATTCACTGGACGGTGCGACGGCGTATCACAAACACCCTGTAGTTATGCTACTTTCTGCTTTTTTCTGGGTGATACGTACGTGCATGCAATCATGGTCGATTGGCATGGCTTAACAGAGAGCTCCAAAGTTTGGGTACTATCATGGATCAAATCCCTCGTTGCTTTCGCGACGATTACGATACCGACATGGATATATGCCGTCTTGTCTTATTCTATGACGCTCACTGTATGGCAGGCTACATTCGTCGTCAAGTTTCCACTAAGATCACTACTTGATTCTAACAGCTAAACTTCTGGTCGTTTGCAATAATGTTCATTCTATCTGCCGTGGCATTGAACTACTGGATCAGATTTCGCTACCTCAACACCTACACACATTTGAAGGAGCCGCCGCTCCAGAAAGCCGATGCTCAAGAACTGAATCCTGACGTTAATGTACCTGAACAAACGCCAGCGTTTCATAACTATCTGGACGAATTCTTGCAAGCAATCCGAATATTTGGTTTCTTAGAGAAGCCGGTGTGTCCTCAGAACGCATATTGACAAGAGAAACTGCTCATCAGGTATATCAGGTTTTTCACGAACTTGCAAGACATCTCCAGACCAGAAGACTCATTGCGGGGGACTCTTTATCTCTAGACCAAGACAAGAGTTTTTATTGTGTCATTGATGGAAACGTTCAAGTGTTCGCCCGCACAGGACTGCCGCCTCAGCAGCACGAAAGCGGCGTTTGGGATGGAGATAGCATGAATGGATATCAACTACTAAACCAAGTTGGTTCCGGTGGAACTCTCTCAAGCCTCTTCACTATACTTAGCCTCTTCACTGAAAATGTGAAAATGAGTTGGCAAGACAGCGATTCGATCGACGACGACGTTCAATCTGTCGACATTCCGCTACACCTAGCAGGCTCACCCATTCAGACACGTCCTCGACGGTCTAATTCAGATGTGTCACATCTTGACCTCACGTCTCCGCGGTCGAGCGCTCGCAGGCCGTCCGTGTCTTCCTCTGGGTCTACTGTCCATCCTGTGGATACACATCCTCACAGTGGACGATCTGGATCATTGAATGAGCGAATGTTTAGAGCGCAATCGTCCTCCACTCCCTCCGAACGACCGGCTCCCAATGTCGTGACGGACCAAGAGGGTCATTATAGTGTCGTTGCTCGCGCAACAGAAGACAGCAGCTTAGCTGTTATTCCAGCTGAAGCATTTCGCAGGCTCACGAAGAAGTTCCCGAAAGCCACTGCTCACATTGTCCAAGGTAAGAGCTCTACTAGACAAAACATCGAACTGGTGCTAACGCACGCCCAGTGATTTTGACTCGTTTTTCCCGAGTGACATTCAACGCCGCACACAATTATCTCGGGTTGACTACTGAGGTTCTGCGGACCGAAAAGGCAATTAATGATATCGCTTGTCATCCGCTTCCGCCAGCATTTTACGAAAGTGGTCTCAAGCAACTTCGACAGCGTTTTGACAGCGTCTCCCTTCAAGATGACTCTGACACGGACAGCGATTACTTTGCAGAGTCTGTACCCTCTCAGAGCGCATCTTCGGTGTTGGGCAAGGACGCCAAAGGCAGATTGACAGATAGCCCCACTGTCTCATACAGTTCCCCGATCACCCCATTTCGAGGCCAAACCCCTCGTCAAACCGTACAAGCTGGTGATCTACACACATCCACAGGCCATTCGGCTGACCTAGCAAGACCTATCATACGATCTTTTAGCACTATATATGGATCTCGTGAGTCGCTTCACAAGCGGGAAATCTTGATCGCACCCCGCGAGGAGCGCAGCCGTCGTGCAAGGTCGTTGTCTACAGATGAATTTGACCTCAGAGATGAAGTCATGTCTTGCATAGCTAAATCCATTGGCCTCATCCAGCCCCCTATTAGCGGAGAAGATTCTGTTGAGGCATCACCGGCGTTCCCACCAAGCGACTCTCGGGGTGTTTTCAAATCATCTTTTGGGTCTCTATCTCTCTTGGACATTGGCGATGATGCGGCATCGAGCGCGACTGGTGCTTCCTCGACTGTCGGCGACGGATACTTGAGTGGTCTCGACAATGAGGTTGAGATCCTATTCTTCCCGGCTGGCTCTGTTCTGGCAAGGGCGGGTGATAGAAACACAGGTATGGGTTTTTGTTGTGGTAAGTATGTCTCTCACCGATGGGTATACAGGTCTGTTCTACGTCATTGAGGGTTTTCTGGATATACTCCTTCCTGCAGGTAAACATTCTGATACTGAGGGGAAGAGTAAGATGACCTCCGCTGGCAGTGATGGACGACCGGTCCGGCGTCAAGGTAGTGAAATCTTTACAACAGATCACTCCACGGCTCCCGAGAACAGTGGATCCAAGCTTTATTCGGCTCGCGACCCGAGAGACTATGCACAGAAGCCGCTGTTTACTGTCAGACCTGGAGGTATAGCAGGCTATCTCTGTGAGCACGCACTACATCATAAGTCACATTTATGATGCGAATGAAACTTGATTAGCCTCCCTTTGTCAGATTGCTTCATATGTTGACATAGTAGCTAAAACAGACACATATGTCGGTTTCCTTCCGTCAACTGCTTTGGACCGCTTATTGGAAAAACGTCCTATTGTCTTGCTGACGTTAGCAAAACGACTCATCTCGCTGTTATCGCCCATAGGCAAGTACGCTAGTTTTGAAAGGGAAACTCTAGCATCTCATGATCGTTGTAGTGCTCCATATCGATGGTTCCTTAGATTGGGTGCAAGTCAATGCTGGCCAGATTCTATGGCGACCTGATGACGCCAGTGACAGTTTCTACATTGTCATAAACGGTCGTCTGCGTGCAATTACTGACAAAGCAAACGGCGGCATAAGCATTCTCGGGGAATACGGTCAAGGGGATACTGTAGGAGAGCTGGATGTCATCGCCGATTCCCCTCGGAGAAGTACACTGCATGCTATTCGTGATACCGAATTGATCAGGATGCCACGAACGTTATTTAATGCGATATCGTCTCGGTAAGTCAATTGCATCCCCATCCCAGTTTCTGCTTTGAACCTTACACTATCCCTAGAAATCCGCTAACGACCGCCCGGTATGTATCTAAATTTTAGTGTGCGAAAGTTGGGGCTGATTAGCAGTTCCCTGTAGGATTTTGGAGATGATCGCGTCTCGCGTGAGGAACGAATTTGATTCAACAAATAGAGGCATCCCTTCAGAGTTATCTCGCAGCAATGTGAATCTGAAGACGGTAGCAATCCTTCCTGTGTCACGCAATATTCCTGTGGACGCTTTCGCTCGTAAATTACACGCAGCTCTTGAAGGCATAGGGGCACCAACATCTTTTCTCAACCAGTCATCGGTATCAGATCACCTAGGGCGCCATGCATTCACAAGGATGGGTAAACTGAAAGCAGCGGGATGGCTCGCAGAACAGGAACAAAGATACCGATTGGTGTTATATGTTGCAGACTCGGCAGTCAGCAGCTCATGGACTCAAACTTGCATTCGACAGGTACTCACAAGTCTCTAAATCAATATTCCCTTCTGATGACATTAGCTAGGCTGATTGCGTCATGGTGGTCGGAATGGGAGATGACCCAAGTATTGGGGAATATGAGAGACTTCTACTGTCTCTTAAAACGACAGCGAGGAAGGAGCTTGTCCTCCTTCACTCAGACCGTTCTGTTATTCCGGGATCTACCCGACAATGGCTCAAGGCATGTCGACACGCACTGTTGTTTTTGACATTGTTCTTATCTTACTTTAGATTCGGCCTTGGGTCCAACAACATATCCACGTTGAGCTACCTGTGGGTTGATTGAGAAACATATCTTCGTGAAATTCACTTACGATATGCGAGCTTGAAGGACATTATCTCCTCGATTCCACGCGCGACAGCGGTCCATCAAGACCCGGCTGCAGTCACTGCTCTCAGAAACCTGAGGAACTTAGTACAAAGCGAGCTCAAGAAATACCGCGGGGGAGCCTCGAGTCCCCGGCCTCAGCGAGGCCAAAATGCAAGCGACTTCGCTCGGTTGGCACGACGACTATGCGGGAAGTCCATTGGCGTAGTACTTGGGGGAGGAGGTGCGAGGGGTATCTCACATCTGGTAATTTTTCTTTCGATAGTCATGCTTATATCCTAAAATTTGATCTTAGGGAGTATTGCGTGCTCTGGAGGAATACGGAATCCCGATAGATATCGTTGGCGGTAGGTGCAACTATTCGTAATTTGGCGCAACAAGTAATCCTGTTGCCGTAGGAACCAGTATGGGTGCATTCGTTGGCGGCCTGTATGCCCGGGAGGGAGACATCATTTCGAGTGCTGGTCGAACTAAGCAATTCAGCGCGAGAATGGGCAACTTCTGGAGGTTACTGTCGGATGTCACCTACCCCATAGTGGCCTACACGACAGTGAGTGTCCTTCTGTCGAATGATGCTCGTGTTCGTAATCAGGACTATGTTAGGGACACGAGTTCAATCGAGCAATATACAAGGTTAGTTGTCATTCGTCACATTAGCGTGATACGCTTACCGCCACATAGGCTTTCTATGATCTTCATATTGAGGATATGTGGCTCCCATTCTTCTGCAATTCCACTAACATCAATACGTCTCGTATGGAAATCCATGAGACAGGTTTCGCTTGGCGATACATCCGTGAGCATCGGTTTTGCTTTTTCGCTCCCATACTCACTCGACAATAGGTGCGTCGATGACACTGGTGGGTTTACTCCCTCCATTATGTGATAATGGAAATATGCTTGTGGATGGTGGATATAGTAAGTAATATGTCTGCTCCCGGGAAAATTCACTCTTATACATGATACACAGTTGATAATCTTCCTGTGCGTATGTTCCCTCTGCCTCAAATCATCAAGTATTAACCATTGCAGGTGTCCACTATGATGGGGATGGGAGCGAGCGCAGTCATTGCGTCTGATGTCGGTTCGGCAAGTCGATATCGTCCTGTTATGTGTGCTATCTGTTGACCGCTTCCATAGTTAGATGACAACTCGCCGAGAAATTTCGGGGACTCGATTTCTGGATGGTGGCTTCTCATCAATCGCTGGAATCCATTCTCGAATGCGCGGAGCGTCCCAGCCATTACGGAACTGCAAAGCCGCCTCGCATAGCAAGTCTTCTTTGTGTACCAATGTGTGTGGGTGGAGGTTGCTCACATTAATGTCACTTACAGTGTGTCAAGCGTGAAGACATTAGAAGAGGCGAAAGTCGCCCCAGGCTGCCTGTACATGGGTATGCCTGTGCAAGAGGTGAGAGATGTTAGTCATAGCTTTGATTGATCTTATACGCGGGCTATCTTGTAGTTTGGTACATTGCAAATGGGGAAGTATGAAGAAATTCAGAAGAAGGGGTTTCAGGCCGCCATGGACTTTCTGTCGAAATGGGATGAAGAAGGACGTTTGCCTTCTGCGTATGTTGGAGATACCCAGACCTCCAGTACAGCCAAGACCAGAGGCAAGCCTGCTCGTCGCAATTCTATATAGTTCGGCAGTTGTGATACTTCCATTTTTCTACTTCCATTTTTCTAATCCTGTGTGATGATTTCTGGGGAAACGGAACTACGCTCCGAAAGCTTCATAATCGTCTGAAACACCGTATTCTCAGATTCATGCCCATTATCTAAATGCGTGCTTTCTGAGGTGTTTGATTCTGTACCTCTGTAATAATGATGTTGCCAAACGCATGCGGCATAGTGCGGTGCCGCAACGCGATCTCCACGTGGGTAGCGCGTCGACTGGATGCGGTGGCGCGCTCTTCAGGCGCTCTAAACATGGCTACAGCGTCATCTACCTCCGACGTTCCCTCAAAGCAGAACGGTGGCACGGGTACGTCTTTGGATGTATCAGTTCTGAGAGAGCTGGCGAAAAAAGGTCTCGTCGACGCCCTTAATTCTGTACGTTCGCATCTTGTCGTCTGCGGCGGTCGCATAGAAACTTCGATTAGGTGAATGGTGCCAAGACGCTCGTTCTTGACCCGACGTTGGCAGGGCCGCTTGGGCTCGTGACGGAGGTTTCGTTACTCAAGGTGCCCACTCTTTCAAGACTCGGATCCCAGGGCGCTGAATATTCCTACAGCATCATGGTGTGGACAAGATGTTCTGGCTCGAATCGGGACCTTTAACTGCTGCCACAACCAATATCGTGTACTTATGTCGGCCACTCGTCAAGTGGGTGAAGATAATAGCTGGTAGGCCTGGTCATTGGTGTGAATCTTCCTCTTCACGTATGTGAGGCGTGCAGATCAGCTAAAGCGGCTTGCGCGAGAGCCTTCGAAACACACCTATACGTTGCTACTGGTTCCTCGAATGTCCACGCTCGTAACCCGGATATTGGAGGAGGAGGGTGTACTTGGCGACATTACCATCTCATCCTACAACCTGCAGTTCATCCCTTTGGCCGATGATGTTGTTTCACTCGAGTTGGATAACGCATTCAAGGATATGTGGGTGGTAAGATCATCATGCATTTGTCGAAGTTAATTCTGCCTGATACATTGGCTATGAGGATGGTGACGAGACAACGATTTACGATTCTATGCAAGCCCTCATGACTTTGCAGAAGCTGTATGGCACATTCCCCCGCGTCATGGGTAAGGGCGACTACGCTTGCGTAAGTTACAAGGCTGTATTGTTGAATTTTACAAATGACGATCAGGCAGCGTCTGACGAGCCTTCTTACTCGGCAAGCTCAAGACGTTTCAGATAGTAATACTAACATGCTGAACGCGGGGTCTGGCCGACTGGATTCATTAATCGTAATTGACCGTGGAGTAGACATGATCACACCTTTACTGACCCAACTCACATACGAGGGGCTCATTGATGAGTTGTGCCGGATTCGAAATTGTGAGACATCCGTTTCATCTATGTAAAAGCCTTGATTCACCAAGCACCAGCGCATGTCGAGATTCCAGTGTCGCTGCTTGCTGCGCCAACTGTTCCCGCACAGCAAGATGCCGCTGGATCGTCTAGTACTACAGCCCCACCGGCCCCTGGATCGTCACTGACAAAGGAAAAACGGAAGAAGCACCATCTCACAACTACGACTGATCCTCTTCTTGCTGAACTACGGGATCTCAACTTCTCTTCAGTGGGCCGCAAGCTTAACCAGGTCGCCCGCCGTCTGGACGAGGATTACAAGGTCTGTGCTGAAGCGCACGCCATGACCTGAACTCACTTGACTATCAGCTTAGGCATCAAGCAAAGACGGTTGCGCAGCTGAGAGACTTTGTCGGCAAATTAGGTGGACTACAGTCTGACCATCAATCTTTAAGACTTCGTGAGCTCTCCTAGTGTATGTACAGGCGCTTCTCTGATAACGGTGTACAGACACTGGGCTTTCAGAGTTACTTGTCCCCCTCACTCGGACAGAACAATTCAACAAATCACTTGAAATTCAGCAAAGTGCGTACTCCGGACAGATCGAACGAAGGCACTAGATCCATATGACTGCTAGATCTTCTCGCTTCCTATGATATTTCGGCGCAGCTCACTGCCATCGAAGAGATGATTGCCCAAGGCGCTGAAATGCAAATAGTAGTTCGACTGCTATGCTTAGCTAGCGTTACTGCTGGTGGAATCAAGCTTAAGACTCTCGAGAACCTTAGACGGGAAATTTTACAGGTATCTGCAGCTTTCTCTTCAACCAGTATAGCGCTAAATGCTGCTGTCAGGCATATGGATACAACTTGCTACCTCTGCTTCTCTCGTTATCATCACCTCCGCTCTCTATCCTGGTTCCCAACCCCCTTCCGCCTTCGACACTAATCTCAGCGGCAGCGTCCAAATATCCATACACTTCCCTCCGGAAGTCTCTTCGTCTGCTCCTCGATGACCAGGATAGTGTGGATGACCTGGAAAACGATATAAGCTACGTCTATTCTGGCTATGCGCCCATCAGTATTCGGCTCGTGCAGTGTGTTGCGCAGAAGGGTGGCGTGCTGAGCAATCCTTCCGGAGACAAGGAGAAGAAGCCGAAGGACAACGCGGACGCAGATACAGGCAAGGTGCAATCTGTCAGCAAGGTCCAGGCGCATCCGATTGTCGGGTGGAAAGGGTTCGAAGACGTTGTGGCCAGTATACCCGGGGGTACTACGGATATTGTGCAGAAGGTACCTGGAGGAGTGCACGGCGCTGTGCCAGCGACAGTGCCATTGCGTGAGTAATTTGCGACGGAAACTCCCTGTACCCTATCGCTAATCTATAGGGTGTGGCCATAGTAAAAGATCAGCCCACGACAACCGTGGTCTTCTTCCTTGGTGGTTGTACGTACACTGAGATTGCCGCACTCAGATGGGTTGGCCGGCAAAGCCGAGGTGCGATCTCACGCTTGTCATGATGGGTTGTTTCTCAATCGTATATTCGCAGGGAGGAATTTCCTGATAGCTACGACAGGTATCGTGAACGGCGCGAGCTTGGTAGAGAGCCTTGCAAGCATTGAGCGTGCCTCAGCGTCAGGACAGTCGAAAGACGCAGCACTTTTATAACAAGGAGCGTCTGCGTGGCAAAGACAAGGGGGAATGCGCATCCGTTTCAGGTGAGATACACGGAATGGGGCCGTTATGATAAAATTACAGGCATTTCCCCTTTATTCCTCCAATTTTGTATCCGTGGCATAAGTTCCTTGACTTTTAATGGAACTTTAGTGGAATGCAGCAAATGCTACTGAAGTGTGTCCGTCATATTATATATACATCATGACGCAATTCATAAAATGTATGAGCGCTTTCGGTGCCAGCAACTCCGTACGATGACTGGAGCATTTACACTCGGCAGAGACTCTGACTGGCCAGGTAGAGTGTCCCGGCACACCAGTGTCGGTGAATTCGGTCAGGTGGTGCCAAATTGCTAACCCAACTAGGGTTTCCTGGGGACATGGGCGCTCGAGCCGGCCCCGCCGGGTATGTCCCGTGGCTAGTGGCTGGACGTGCAGCCCGGACACGGGTGAGGCCTTGAGGTCGCGGTGAGGAAGGTCCTGGCGGGCCTACGCTGTACAACTCGTTTCTCTCTAAGCTCGCCACGCAATCGCACTCATATACCTCAAGACGGAATCCGCATCTCTCTCATCGGCTTTCACAGTCTCGATCGTATGTTCTGATGCTCCGCTTTCTGGCTATTCCCCTTGTTTTGTGTCAACTTGTGCCCATAATTCGAGCGCATCCTGTGGACTGGCTACGGAAATTCTCCAGTAACACCAGGGAAGACAGTAGTTGGCTATGGGGGTGGGCTTGGGCATCGGACGGTACAGTCTCCGTTGTCGATAGGTCACCGCCCGTCACATTCCTCGCACGCCCCGCCTCCTTCGGCTCGGAACTGGATGATCCTCTCTTGGGCTATGTGATCCCCCTCTCCTCTTTCACTGCGCCTTGTGTATACAACACGACAGCGGACACTTCATCGCCCCTTCGCCCCGATCCTGTACAGGGTTGCCCCGACCTCTGTGCTTTGGGATCTCATGAACCGGATCCCGCTGAGTCCTGGATTGCGCTGGTTCAGCGAGGCGGATGTCCTTTCGTGGAGAAGGCCCGACAAGCACAGCGCCTTGGTGCTAAAGCAGTAGTGGTTGGTGGGGACAGCGACAATCCAGATGCTCTGTTGAACATGTACAGCGAGAGTACGTGATTTCTCTACTCGCACTGCAGTCGTAATCTCAGCGTCATCGCAGGAGATTCATCGGATGTGACAATTGCTGCCACGTTCATCAAATATTGGGATTATGCGGAGCTGTCGTCTCTAATACATGCCTCAAATACGACACACTCTGGCCTGAAAACGCTCTCCCTCCTCCTCAGTACGCAGTATTCGGCATGGGAATGGTATTCGTGAGTTTACCCTTGCGGATCAATGCTGCTGCTTACTCTGTACTCCTTTAAAGCCCTATTATCACATTTGTTGTCATTCTCCTGCTACCCTCCTTGCTTACCTTCATAACACTGATTGTGCACCGGCTACGTGCCGCCCGAGCAGCGCAACGCGATCGTGCTCCGGAGTCAATCGTACACAATCTTCCGTGGCGCGTCTTCACTGGTGCGGGATGGGAGAAGCATGAGCCACCTTATATGCCCTCTCCAGATTCCGCTCCACGCTCGGGCACTCAAAATACAGATCCTGAACAAGGCTTGCCTTGTTCCGGACCACAGATGCTCAACAACCCCTCAACGTCTCACGATTGCGAGCAGCTCCCTTCATGGGTGGATGAGCAAGTCGAATGTGCGATCTGTCTGGAGATGTTCGTCAAAGGAGATCACGTCCGAGTCCTTCCCTGCTATCACATGTTCCACATGAGCGAAGTTGATGAATGGCTAATTCACAAGAAGAAATTGGTGCGTTCCCCCCATGTGGTTCCAATTATGTTGAGACGACCCTTTTATCTAGTGTCCCGTTTGCAAAATGGACGTCACAAGATCTCATTCCGGTGCACAGCAACTTGAATGTGCGCCCGATGTCAGCCAGGACGGGAGTGAAGGTCACGTCGAAGCTTCGGCTGCCGCAACCGAGCGTACCCCACTGTTGAATAGCAGTCCTGAACGCAACGCATAACGCGTCGCAAAGTCTGTATTTCCGGAAGATGATATGATATAATTGGCGAGAAGTGTATTTTACTTGTAGCACGCACAACTTTCCGAGCTATCTCCCTATGATGTCGCAGGACCCACCTAGGCTGGGGCCACTGGGCTGCTGACCTGTGACGCGCGCGCCGTTCAGTAGCGAGGACCCCGCACGCACCTCGAGAGTTGGCCTTGGCCAGAGCGGGCGACGACGCGTCCACGCAGTCATCACGACCGTGACTGAGACAACGCCGGTTCTGGCCAGAACAGATCACGGACAGAATAAACAAATTCAATCGGGTCATTTCGTAAACCTGCACACGGCGGGGTTCCACTGTTTGCGGAAGCGGTGGGTAAGAGCTAGTGTGCAATATCTATTCCGGGGGCCATCTCTTCCTCCGTCCACGGAGTGGCTGGGGGTGGGCCAGCGGGAAACCGCGATCGAAGCGTGTTAAGCTTGTCGCCACAATTGCTGGGGTCGTATAAGGCCCCTGACCTTCGACATGCCTCTTTTTCCCCTCCCTTTCATCTTCCCCTGGCGTCCACGACTCCAATCACGACGTCCTCCCCTCACTGATCTGTGCTCACCAGCTTAAAAACAAGTGAGGTTCTTCCTTGCCAGCAGCAGCTCTGAACTCACCGCGCGATTGCCTCTCCCCAGTCATGGTTGTCACTGCGCAGACCGGAGATGCAACTAAGCGGCAGACGAAGAGACGTGCGTCCCGTCCACCTGTCTTTTACTGCCCGTCATTGAGTCTTGCACAGGAAAATCGTCCTCTGGAGGCAGGAAGAAGCTCACTGACTTCAACAAATTCATGCAAACGGAGGTTGCTCGCCTGAAGGAGCAGGATCCCGACATGCCTCATAGGGAGAGGTGAGTGCCGTGCCCAGTTTTTCATGTCTTGCTCTTGAGCTTGCAACGCAGATTTAAACTTGTCATCGACAATTGGAACAAGCAGAAGGAGCCGAAAGAGAAGTAATGTTCTAATCCAGCTCCTGTTGGTGGATGCCAGTGCGTTTCCTGTTGGACTACCACTTTTCCTGCTTAATTTGCTAGCATACCCGTACGCTGGTTGCTCCTTGTTCCATTTATATGTGTTGTCTCTTTGCCAACGCTTGCGATGTTCAATGTGATCGCCTGTAAGGTTCCCGTAATGAAAGCAAAATTTTTCTGCGGTTGTCACATCTAGTGAGCGGTCGCGAGTTTGAAAGCAAAAAGGTACATAGCATTCAACAATCACCTTGGGCTGCCCGTGCGTGTGTGGTCCGGCAGATGGATTAGATACATATTGTCCGCCTCCGTGATACCGGCGTCGGGTGTTGTGAGCCGCCACACATGACTCGATCGCTCCTTGACCGGGACCATGTCCGAACCAGGTCTGCAGTAGTCGATGCCGCTGCAGCACTGTCTCCAAGCCCTCCTTTCCAGCTTTCGTCTCCCTCCAGACTTACTGTCCCGCTATTCTCTATCTGTATCTATTATCACACGTTGCTCAACCTCAGAAATCGCCGGCTCTGAACATGAGCCGCGCGCACGACATCGATAACGACCGACCTGAACCCCTCTTCCTTTTCTACTCATATGAGGGCTCCCAGCCTCTTAATCGCCTCGAGGCATCTGCGAGGGAACCCCAGCCTTCCTCTTCATGCATGGTAGACCTCGCGACTTGTTTATCGCCTTTAAAGACCGTCTCCAGTGCGGCGTTGCATCGACGCCACCCCTCCTCCGACGATATGATGGAGCCCCCTACAGACGGTTTCAAGGGCAAAGGTGTATCCAAACCAATTCCAATCATCGCTGGAGATTCGTCTTTAGCTGCGTCGCAGAATGGTGCGGACGACTTGTTCTCTATGTCGCTGGGCTCAGCGGTATATGCAAACTCGGACCTTTCCCTCGATGCATCACTTCATCCGTGTGTATATCCTAATCTCGAATCACTATATGACCCCACAGACATATCATCTTGCAACGAGCACTCGTCTAATGTTGATACTTCCTCCTCGACCGAAGGCAAAGGCAAAGGGCGAGAGCTCCCTCCGAGTTTGCCTCCTCTGTCCTTCATCACCACCGAGCTCAACTACAAGAGCTCAAACTGGCCCTCTTTCGACATTTCATCATCAGCTCCAGGTCCCTCGTCATACGACTCATGTTTTCCATCCAGCCGTCAGCCTGAACCTAGTCCTAGCATCTCCGCCACCGACCGCTTTAGTGTTTCGCCGGAACCACAGGAGGAACCTGTCATTTCCACGCTCTCCCATCGGCGTTCCCTGTCAGATATCTCCGTCCATTCCAGGCAATCTATCTCTGCCGCGTCGATCACGAAAGTCAAAGTGAAGCTGGCGGGAGCGAAAAACCCTGGAAGCCTTGCCCGTAAGCTTTTGTTTAAGAAGCAGAGTAGCGCACCGAGCAGCCCATCTCTTACATCTGGAAGCAACACCATAGTTGATCAAGATGTGCCTGGATGTGTTCAAGCCTCTCACACGAATTGCCTCGTTCCGTGGGCTGTGGAAGTTAAATCTCGGACAAGGAAAGTTCCAGCCATCCCCACATTGGAGATAGATATAGGATTCGACGATATTGAACCGGCCTTTCCAATTTTCTACGCTGGTCGTCCCTCTGATAATACGTTCTTGCGCACCAAAGGCCGCTCGTACTCTTCCCCATTTCCACTGCCTTCCACTGCTCTCGATCTTGTTCCCGCTACCACCACAGATATTTTCAAACCCATCCTTACGGTTGTCCCAAACTACTTTGATGGACTTCTTCCAAATGAGCTGAGGATCCATATACTTTCTTCATTGGTCGACCTGCACGATCTGGAGCAACAGAAGCTCATAGAGGATGGCACGTGGACCGTTCGCAAAGCGCTAAAGCATAAATGGACGGGCCGAGATAAGGGCATCCGAGAGCTGTTTAAACTGAGCAGGGTAGGTATATGTACACTACTATATGCATGTAGTTCGCCCAATAATGACTCGGTCATTGTAGGTCTCCAAATCTTGGCGCACACTTGTATTTGACGGCCAGTTATGGATGAAGCTGGATCTTCGTCCTTTTCCACATCTATCATCAAGTGTCCTTTGCGAACTGTCTGAGACTGCGGGCGGTTTCATTCAGCACATCGACTTGACTGGACACACCGAGTTCTCCCCTTCGACGCTCCTAGAAATAACAAACTATTTGTGCGCAGAACCATCTTCCAAGGATGACTGGTCTTACACTCGCCTCACCACGATCAATCTGCGGGGCTGCACCGCCCTCACGATGCGGTCGCTACACCACTTGCTGATACGCTCGCCTTCTTTACGCAATTTATGTTTGAGAGGACTTACTGCCGTTACGAACACGACGTGCGATGTCCTTGCGGTCCACTGTCCCGAGCTGCTTTCACTTGACCTGAGCCGATGTGCTAACGTAACCGGCGATGGTATTCAATCTCTGACTGCCGCCACGCTGAAGCGTCGCGAACATCTGGCGCTGAAGGAGTTGCGGTTGTCTGGCCTACGACGCATCACTGATGAGGTCATGGAGAGCCTTGGGAAGGTTGCACCGTTCCTTGAGGTGTTGGATCTGAGCTATGTGCGGGATCTGCATAACTCTGCTATTGACGCCTTTGTGTCTTGCCCTGAGGCTGAACATACCGGCCAGGAAATTATTCAGCTCACCGCTCGCGAAGCTGGCCGTAACCCCACCGATCCATACACTATCTATAGGCGGGTAACTCGATTGCGTCATTTATCGCTGTCCTCGTGCATCATGCTCACAGATCATGCTTGCTCACATTTGGCGCATGCTGTCCCAGAGCTGGAGTTTCTGGAAATGGCAGGCATTGGCGTTGAACTTCGAGATGACGGGTTGGTTCGTTTGCTCAATACAACACCATTCATTCGGCGACTGGACCTTGAGGACGCCAGCGAGATCACGGACGATGTGTTACTAGCAATCTCACCGGCAGTCGCAGACATCGCTGCAAGGAAGCCTGTTCCCCCGCAAGCAGGGCATGCCCTTGAGCATCTTGTTATCTCTTACGCATCTGAGCTCACCAACGCTGCACTTCTCGACCTGATACGCAATTGCACACGTTTGCGCACGCTGGAAGCAGACAACACGCGCATATCAGGATCCGTCGTGAAGGAGTTCGTACGACTCTGCCGGGAGCGCGCAATTGTTGATGCCCAGGTTGCCGTTATAGATTGCCGCGGCGTGGGTGAGCAGACGGTGAAGGATCTCTCGGACGAGATGCGTCCACGGATTGGTTGGCGCGGATACGAGACCCGGAAACTCGGCTTCCTCGACGCGCGAGACGAGGAGGACCTAGGCGTGGGCCAGGACGAGTGTGACCCAGCACGGGTCGCCATCAAGACGTTCTACTCTTGGCAAACGGTGGATGCTGTCCGGGCAGAACGCGAGAAGAAGCGTAAATCGACGAGACGCGGTACGAATGTGTCTTCGAGCAGCGGGGCAGATGAAGTCTCCGGGAGTTCTGCCGGGCGCGCACGATGGTGGTCTCCGAGTGGGCGAAGGTCAGGGACTACATCCCCTTCATTTTTAGACACGAATCGCGAGAGAGAAGGTTGTACAATCATGTGAAATAAGCTGTATTCTTGAGTGTGTATGTTGTACGGTGATTGACAAGTGTCGCTGTTATTTTACGTCTGTATCCTTGAATTGTACTACTTACCCAGTTGACATCCCCATAGAATCCGAATACCGTTTGTTGTACTCTTGATGTCGCTTATATTCCAGCACCACGTCGTAATCTTAGCTACATGTCCGGTTATATAATTCAAACTACCTCAAGACGGCGAGCAGGCGCTTGATGCGTTCAGCCTAGAGATTCTCTTTTCTTCGCCTTTTTTCTTGCCTTTTTGGCAGATTTTTTATCCTTCGCCGAATCTGATGTTAGCAGCTGAGGTGTACTTTGACCGCTGTTATCAGGCGTCGAGATAGAGGTTGTAGCTGCCTCTGCTTTGGTTAACTGGGTAGGCTGGACTGCTTGCGACAGTTGTTCGGGTTCATCACCGTAACCTGGAAAAGGTGGGAAAGTCGGAAGTGATTTAAGTCACAGTATTACGAAACCTACCAGCAAAGGGATCCACTGGTGGTCGTCTGCGCTTACGACCAGGCGCAGTTTCGGGGGTACTGTACTCAACTGCTTTCCCCTTGCCTTTAGTATCTTGTGTGGGAATATTGGCCCTCATGTCTTCTTCTGCCACATCATCAATGACTTCAAGGTTATCATCCTCTCCATCGCTTCCTTGCTCTGCTAGCTCCTTCTCGTACTGCGCACGGGCAGCCATCTTACTTGTCACCTTGACTGGGACCCGAATGGCCTTGTTGCCGCTCACGTTAGAAGGTCCTTCGGTATCTCCAGGCGGACGCTGAGCTTTGACTTGCGCAATTGCGTGCTTGATGAATCTATTGGCGGCGGCCTTGTCAATCTCTACGGTTTCTTGGAAGCGAGTCTGATCAGCTGCCAGTCGGAGGGAAGGACAAACAACGAGGGTACTTTTAGGTGGCTCTTCAGCATTCTTAATTTTGTCAAAGTACTGGCGTATGCGGTCCTGTGCAGTGAGCGTCAAGATTATGAAATAACCTTAAAATCACGCCCAAAGACAATTTACCAGTTCAGCAATGACGGGATGAGATTTAGGGTCTAAACCGCGCGTTCTGAGGTAAACTATAAAGCGATTCAATGAGGCTTCAGGAGTCCAAAGTCCTTGATACGTACTGAAAATCAAGTCGTACAGGAGGTAAGGGAGGGTGACCTGCAGCTTCGCCTGCTGCACGGTTTCCAACCCAACAACAGTTTCGGGGAGGGTCTGTGCGAATAGCGGTTCAAGCTGAGCTTCAAGATCATCGAGGGAGGCGTTCAAAGCGGATAGTTTGGCGTGGACTTTTTGTGCGTCGATCGCCATCGTCGTGCACTCGCAAGGTCGGTCGCACCTCGGCAAGCTGGGCACAGAGATCTTGATCTGAGATTGAGCCGGAGCTCGCGCGCAAACAGGGCCAAATTCGCCTCTTGTCATGGTCCGTCACTTTACTAGAGTCCTGGAAATGTAGAGACGCTGACTTGTTCATTCCAGTCGTCCGAGCTCAGATACACTGCAAACACTCAACTGGAACACCGTACGTCTTTTCTTCATCCTTTGAGACTTGTAATAAATTGCGTATTTCCATTCTAGTGCACGCCCGCTACACCGGAACTGGTGAGCCTTCCTAAGTTTGTAGACACTGTAAGCATGGCTAATACTCTGAATTAACCAAGGGCACGCGGACTTGACAAAGTAGTGAGTACCCTATGTGATCACAATACTCGCTGTGTACTAAGTATTACGCCCAAGTGAGTGGCTGACCCACCAACACCGGGACACATTGGCCTCTATTGTTGGTCATCCCACTTTGACTTCATACTTGGCGATTGCAGATGGTGAGGCTACTGGAAGAATCAGATTTGAAATGACAGAGGTGAGTTAGTGGTTCTCTTTTATCCACCCGAGTCTAACCGACCGATGTGACACCAGCGTATGCTCCAACCGTGTGGACCGCCCCCTGCAAAGGACGACTAGAAGGGTTTTCATGGGGTAGATAATTCACTCGGCGCAGGGGTCCGGGAGCCTGCGGTACTATGGTACTTGTGCAGTATCACCACGAACTCGGTCGGTGATCGCTTGGACCTTACAAGTCTTTTTATACACTGCCAGTTCTCCATAGCTTTCGTGTGTACTTCATGAAGTTGTAGATCATTATCCTTATCTTATGCGGTAAGCTTGTGTTGTCATTGCTCATGTATGCCAAGGACACGCCTGGTTGTGCGTGTCTCACTCGCTGACTTCACGTTTATCTTCGATTTTTTATGCCTGTGTTAGCCATGCTGCACAAATCGTTCGATTTTGATGCAGACCATTGGCTGACCACATTCTTATCCTGGTATGTTTAACCTAACCTGTTGTGGTCGTCCTGTTAGTTGTGCACTCGTTCCCTCGAAGCGAGCCGCTCTTGGTCGAGGCAGCTTTGATCTTCGGAGCAGACAAAGCACTGTGGCAACCTCGGCTGCTTTATCTCGCTGACCTTTCCACAGCCACAATGCCCTCGGCCAAAGCATGTCTGTTTAAATCTCCGTCTGTCCTGCCAGACGATCGCCTTTCCTCCAATCACCACGAATTTGGACTCTCTCCTTTGCCTGGCGCCATTGGTAACTCTTTACAATTCACTGCTAGTTGGGGCTTTGACTCGACGCCTGTCTCTGCGTCTACTTCTTGCTCGGGTTCTCTGTGTGGCTCCCATTCTTTGGATCCCTTTGTTGTGGATTCCGAGATGGGTCTCAAGAGGGTCACGTCCAGTTGCAGCAACTCCTCGGGTGCATCTTTTCTATATTCGCTAACAGAGGGAAACCATCAGTTCGGCTCGAGTGGCATGAAAGCACGAAAAATGGGTCTCAGCTCAACAGAGTCGTTCTCGACGCTGGACTCCGCAGCCGAGGGCCCCAAGCAGAGTCTCAAGATGTCTACTGACTCTCTAGTGTCGGGATCGAGCCGCGAGAATTCTGTCCTTACGTCTTCAACTGCACTCACCAGTGTGGCTTCGCTCTCTACTAGACCTCTCAAGGTGACCAAACGTGGCCCGACAATTAAGCAAGAGCTGTTATTATTAGAACCCACAGGAGATCAGAAACACCATGAAGGCACGTTTCGACAACAGAACTACAAGGTCCTCAGGAGAAATATGCCCCACCATCCATTTAGCCGCGAGGACGCGTGTTATATGCAGTCATACAGTGCTGCTGCAATGTCAAAGTATATACCTATGATCTGTACAGTGTTCTTCCCATTGACCGAGCCGTTGAACAGCGATCGTTACACTCACGACCTATTACGCCGCCTCAATTCTCTTAACTCGCCTTCGTTCCACGACTATGGGAGCAACCCGCCCATGGATGTACTTGACCTCGGTTGTGGGGAAGGTCATTGGGTAGAGTATGCTGCCGCGGAATGGAAAATGGCAGGGACACATGTTATTGGCCTTGATCTTTTGGATTTCCACCGCGGTGATGCGTCTCGAGGTTTTCAGCCGGACCACAATGTCACCTATGTCCGTGGAAATTTGTGAGTATATCCTGCCTGATATTTCGCGTGGCTTACATACTCTGAACAGCACTAAATACCAGCTCCCTTTCGACGATAATTCGTTCGACCTCGTCAGGATGGCGAATCTATCGCTATGCGTGCCACAGAGCAAATGGACAAACGTCCTTATTGAGGTTCGACGAGTTCTCAAGATTGACGGTCGCCTTGAACTCATTGACGACGAGATTTTCTTCCCGTCAATACTGCCGACGCCTGGTTCACTTCACCAACGGTCCGTCTCCCAGCGATCTGTTCCTGTCAGACACGATCCTCTTCTTATGCACGACAACAACGACCCTTTGGATGAGGAAAGCGATCGTTTCAGTACAGGCTCGACCCATCCTAGGAGAAACTACTCAACGGACCTCAAGGATTTCGGCGTGTGCATGTCCGATACTAAGAGACTCGCAAGAGAGGAGTACGAACGCAGCTCAGATATATCTCGTGGTCTCGAGTCAATCTTCAAAGATATGCTTGAGCAGTACGGGATCTCTCAGCCCGTATTCGAGATCTTGCTGGGCTCTGTGTTTGGCTATGACCATACGGCAGAACTTGACGAATTCCAGCTGTCTGTTCCCTCGCGGGGGATCTTGGAGTCTGAGAATAGCGGTAAGAAAGCCCAGTTTCGTCGCCCGAGACGTAGCGATGGTGCTCCTGTGGAACCTCTTCGTGATGGTGGACAGACGCAGCCTTCTACTCCTAGCTTGTCACCTAAAGCTATGAGATTGCTTCTGGGTGACCCTGACATTACGTCGTCCAGGGACAACCTTCCTTTCCAGCCCCCTGGACTCATTCTGCTATCGTCTGGTTCTTTGTTGGAATTTCCACCTGCAGAACTGGAAATGCATGCTTGCAAGAACCTCCACATCCTGCTTAGCTGCAAGCATGCGCTCATGAACTTTATGCTTAACCAAAGGCCCGGCGACAGACACTGTGAGTTAGATGCGGCGGCATGCGAGAACGACGTAGAAGGTTGTTTCTGGATCTACGAGAGGTGCGTGATAGTTGGCGTATGTGAATAGTGTGTCAACTTATCGCTTGTCGAATTGTTCCACAGCTTCAGGCGCAAGAGGTTCAATTGGCCTATGGACTACCCAGGCCTCCGGATGGAGCCCGACGAACCTGGACCATCCCCACTGAGCTTCTTCCGCTTCCCTACCGGAGGCTCTGGTGGAACTTCTTCATCTGCTCGAAGCGGCCTGTTTCTTTCAGCTACAGCCAGAAATATTCGGCTGAAGTCACCAAGTAGTGAAGGTTTGACGTCAGTGCGGACTATTCGTGTCTATACTGCCACTAAAGCTCTTCGCGAACACACACACACTACATCATTCTCTCTTCGATCTGAAGTTTCCGAAGTCTGTTAAGTGCTGTCTCTTGCTTAAATCTTCACGTCTCTAGATGTTCACGACCATCTCACATTGCACAATCTTTTCTCTCGGACTTCGCATGGAATCTTGGTATATCAAATCATCTCTTGTATCACTAGTATTTCCTCTCTGCTTCATGTCCATCTGCTATATGATATCAAGCCTGTATGCCTCTCCCGCAACATATGCACTACTTTTCTTCGTCTATACCTTGACAGATTCATGTGTGAACGAGCTCAAATCCACCCGCACTTCAGCTTTAATAAACAGTCAAAAATCAGCGATCGCGCGAGACCAGAATCTAAATAATTCAATGAACGATAGCCATTAGTATCACTAGATGTTAATACCCAGTATCTTGACACAAAAAGTGTCTTAGTTGTATATGTCCAGTAAACCATCAGAATGAAGATGACAAGTTGCGCGTCATTGTCGCCGTATTCAACTGCACATCCATGTTGCTACACGGCCTATCGTGCAGAATACCTATTAGTGTGCACCCAATATCTTCATCCCCATTATTATAGCAATGAGTATTTTGTGAAGACAATGTCAAAGCTGCACCTATGCGATTATCTAGTTGCAATAAACCTTACATAGACACTAACTTAGATGTTGGTGAAACTCCGAGGTCGCGGGTTCCTGAGCTGATCGGCCGTTTGTCCTAGTATCCAATCGAAGTTGTCGGCTGTGCCAGGAAAGACAAACCGCTATGAACTTCCGAAACAATTCCGAGTCAATGACACCTAGTCACTGTGACCTAGGATTGGAGGTCGGATAAGAAGCGAGAAGACGGAAAATTATGCATTACTCCGATATCGCCGTTATAGTACTACTAGGTAGTATGATCACGTTCATGGTTGCGTTATACCTGTAACCCGTCATAGAGAAGCTTGCCACGTTTTCGAACTCGCGGTTGTCCCAACACGAAAATCCTTTGCCTCAACTCGGAAATACAAAGTACGGTACATGCGTCGGTGATGCGCGTAAAGACGACAAAATACCAGGATATTTCGTCCCATGCGTGTAAACTCTCACATATGAGCGCTGACTACTAATGACGTTACGAGCCCGATCAACTGTAGCTTATCTACATTCCTATGCACCTGAAAGAGTATATAATCTGCCTAGGCCTACAATTGAATTATAAACCGGAGTAGATATCTGAGTTCCAGCAAGTACGAGAAGACTCGAGAGAGTCACAGTCACTCACAGAGACGCGTCAGCGATGCTTGGTGATAGCTTCAACAGCTGCTAGCCGGGCCACGCGGGGACTACTGAACGCGATCCTATAAGTAGGCGTGCGTGCATGCGTTTCTCAAGACCCTCTGTTTGAGCAACCCGCCATGTCCGATGTATTTGTCAAATCGTTCACTCACCTCAGGAATCGCCCCAAAGCCGACCAGGCCCTTCCATTACTCCAACGGATCGCGTCGCTGGTCAAGCCCATCATGCGCAAGCACGGTTGGGTCTTACCCGTTCTCGCTGAATTCTTCCCAGATAGTCCGAATCTTGTAGGTAAGTTAGTTCACACTTCGCGATCTCCTCGACTCATAGCGTTTGCTCTTGCTGCGGTTAGGTCTTAGTGAGTGCCTTTATTACTGTTCGGCCTCTGTATCCGGCCTGAGCGCCCCCTCCGGCAGATATTAATGGAGGGCAGAAGATTCTCCTGAGATTACGTCCAGCTCATTCACCGGATACGTTCTATGAAGAAGAGTCAATTATACACACTATGTTGCATGAGGTACGTAGATACTGCTTGAGGTAGAATCAACTACTTGATCAGAGATTTCAGCTTACGCATAATGTACACGGCCCTCACGACGATAAATTCTACAAATTCCTCTCTGGCTTAGAGGAGGAGTACGATGCGCTCAAGCGATCTGGCTATGCAGGAGAAGGGTTCTTCTCCACAGGGCATCGGCTTGGTACCAAAGTTTCCCACAATCTTCCACCACATCTCGCACGGCAGAAGGCTCTAGAGGCGGCAGAGAAACGGCGGCAAACAAACCAACTCATGAGCGGTGGTGGTCGTCTCGGTGGCCTGGGCAGTAGGACTCGTAACAACAAATCGCCACGAGAGTTGGCTGCGGACGTACGTTTTGTAGATCTGCATGATGCTGCTGGGGAATGGTCCTGACTACAAGGTACAGGCTGCCGAGCGAAGAGCTCATGATGAGAAGGCATGCGCATCTGGCTCTGCCGCCGAGCGTGAGGCTGCCAAGGCTGCACAGGATAGTGTCGAGGACAAGGTTATTGATCTCACTCTGAATGATAATTCAGAGCCGGAGAATGTCGCACGGTCCATATCACGAACCTCTTCTAGAACGGATCCAAATCGAGCAGCCCCGCAATCGAAGTCTAATGGCACAACGCGTAGGAAGGCAGCCTCAGGCACTTCGTCAAATGGAGCATTAATAAATTCGACGGTATGTCAGGCGACAACGTCCTCTGCATCAGAGCCATGGGACTGCCCACAATGTACTCTCATCAATGACGAGAATGACCAGAGGTGTGAGGCATGTGAGTTCGCTCGCCCTGAGATCTCCAAACGTACCTCCACAAGTGGTTGGTCATGTATGGTATGCGGTGAGACGGGCATGCCCGTAGACATTTGGAGCTGTAGATTCTGTGGTAGCATCAAGACGCAGAGTTAGATGTCTTTGTTTTTCCACAGTGAGTGCTCACGCCTAGACCTAGCATATGAGATTTAGGAGCTGTAGTCTTACATCCGTTATGAACAATTGTGCTTGTACAATATCGAGCGATAGCTTGAATATTTTGATTTGCGCGCGCGATTTTCGGATATGCTCCAAAACATGTCCTTAGGGCCTATAAGTGGGTTGATCTCTTCAATATGCATGAGCGTGTTAGATCAAAATCTAGCAAAGCAGGGCAGAACAAAGCAACGACACCCACAAGCTCTGTCCACAAAACGCGCCAAGGTGTTCTCGTTTCTGGGGGTCAATGCAATGTAGACTATCACACCAAGTCTTACCCTCATGGTCAAAGACAGCGTATCAAAGAGAACGGGGATGATACCAGGATCGTAAACCTAAACCTATACATCCAGCAAGTTAACGACGAATATATTGATCATGTCGCCACATGCGACGTCGATCCCAACGACAATATCCACAGAAGGAACGCTTCACACGAGGGCCGATCTGCAAGACTACTTGCGTCCGACCAGTCAAGAAAAGAACAACGCATATCATGGTGGCGAGATGACGCATCTATAAATAATGGCTGAGCAAAGCGCGGTAGTCGGAAGCTAGAAATTTAGGTGATACACGACAGCTGATGAATTTCATAGCACCGTGCTAACATAGCGCCGTTGATTTGTGTTCAGAAACTTTCAGCCTAGCGAGCTGGAAAGTTGCCATTACGATTCCAAGAAAGCCCACATCACAGCCGAGCTCAAGGACATGCTTGCCCTGCACGATGTCTGGCAACGGAGTTAATCCGGTTGTCCTGGGTCCAGTATCTCTAAATACCTGTGTGCAACATGAGATACTGTACCAAGACAAGACTTGCCGTCCATGTCTTCAGTCCGATTGTGCCGTTTTCAAGAGCTCGATCGCGTTTAACACGGACATTGAGCACAAGCCTGCCCTAAATAGGCACGTGACAGCATCTTGTTTTTGCTCTCATTTTCGCCAGCAACGTCCAAATGCTCGCCCACCTGTGCAACGCCTCCTTGCGCCGATATTTTTTGCCATGGCCCATCAGCACGTATGGTCGATGCCGATGTATTTCTTACACCTCTATACGGCGTCAAGAAGACATCAACGAGGAAGTTGATTCCAATGCACCGCGTGACAGCAGCCCAAGTTTCCAGCCTGAAGATCCCAAGTACGAACAATGGCTAAAGACAGAAGGCAGGAAGTATGAAACACCCATTCGACCTCGGAATTGGTTGGGTGGTCAAGTAGTTGAGTTCGTTGACACCTGCGAACAAATTGCCAGATATACTTACCGCTCTCTGACATAGCCTTTTCCTCTAAATCCTTCCTTCAAGCCCCCCGCACCGGTTTCCGATAGGCTTCGCTCAGTAATATATCAAGAGTATATGTCGAATCCTAAGATGTATACAGTCCGAAAGCTTTCGGAACGGCATGGTCTCAGTATTCAACGTGTGGATGCCATTTTGCGGCTCAAAGGGTTGGAAGATCACTGGCGGAAGGTAAGTCGTGACTTCTTCGACGACCCCATTGTGGGTAAATTGTGATGAGTCTAAATCGATTAGTCTTTAAGACATAATCTATGGTTAAATAAACGTTACATGCATGGCTTTCTGATACATCTTTCCCACCACGTCACAATTGCTCAGTTACTGACTTGTTTGTCATAGGTGGCTGTTTTTATTTCCATTATGTCGCAGAAGTACTGACGTGGATCCTCTGTATTCTTGGTTTTGCAGGAGGTGAGTGTCATTCCGTCTTTGTTAGGCATTGATGAGACCATTCTTCATTCGCGAATTGGAAGACATCTGTGGTGCCTTACACGCCCGGTCGTGGTTAGAATGATTTCAACCCCATCTGATCGATTTTCAAAAATCATGATTTGTCTATTGGATCGATTATTGACATAGCTATTACAGAAGAAGCCGCTCCAAACAGGATTTCAAGCTGGAATGGAACAAATCCTTGGTGTAACGGAACGTCAGAAAAGTGTGCATGGCGGCGCGCAAGGACTCACGGAGTTGGGAGTGGATGCTAGTGAAGCGGACGCACGAATGGATGAAGAGATCAATCATCGTGCTCGTGAGCGATATCAACGTTTGTTCTGGGAGCCTGTGGTAGAGGGTTTGGTGCGTAAATTTGAAAGGAGACAAGAGGGCTATCTAATATGTAAGAATGAGCAGGATCCCATTCTTCCATCAAGTTTGGAGCGTGCTCGTGCCGATCAGCGTCAGAAAGCACGAGCCACGGGGGAAGCTAAAGCTGCCGAAGCTCGCATACCTTTGCGGAGGAATGAAGAGCACATAATCAATGTTCCTGGGCGGCCTTCCTGGCAGTTCGTCGATGTGGGTGGCAAATACGTCGATGTTGACGATCGAATCCGGAGATTGAAGGAGAGTGAGCGACGGTCGGTATTGAAGGTAAAACGACGTCAGCGAAAAGATGTGAAGACAGTGATGACGATATGATATGACAACATCGCGTTTTGCACTGACAATATCACGGATTTCGTATTGCTCTCTCTCTTGTTCTATCTGGTCTCCATTTGCACTATATATATTACAAGCTGCGATATTGACTTTTTCATACGAGTGTCCGACCCCAGTTGTCTATGAGCAGCTACTACAGCCGTTTACTGAACGATAGGCCCTGGTGCAAAATTACACCCACAAGCGGACTCCGGCGGAGCGAGCCGTTTGTGCTAAATGAGTGACTGCCGAGTGTTTTGGCGGCATCCGCCATGGGGAGGCGGGCGCGCCACTATATTCCCAGCTCCGAGGTTTTATTACACTTTCCACTTCTCCGATCAGATGTGTGAATATTTCCGATTGGGGTCTATCGATAGGTAAACAACTGTCTGTAAAGACGAGCGATGTGGTTCAATACGCGAAACGGAAATTCAACATTTGATTTCCCTTAGGTTGTGCATTCAGTACGCGAACGGGAGACTAGGGACTCGTGAAGACCATACCTGATCTTTAGTTGTGTTAAGGTACTCCTCCTGCTCCTGAAAACCAGCACAGAATCAGTTCCGTCGAATCGCTTGCTGTTTATGATCACACATACCACCGCGGACATTGAATTCCATCTACGATCTCGTCTCCTGTTGATAGTTCTATACATGAAGAATGTGAAAATATATAGGCCAATATTCATGGCCGCGATGGCTATCAAGTCTATGTTGCCGCGTTTATCTAATGTCGTATCAGTACCTGTACCTGATGCTGTTCAAAATTCGAAACACAACTCACATAGTGGCTACCGTATGGATTTTTTGCAACAGACGTCAAATTAGATATATGTAGGTGGGATGGATGGTCACCGATAATACATACCGCATCATTAGTCCGGTAAATATTAGCCTGCACATCCATCAGCTTAGCGTATACGCTTCAGAATCGAAGTTGATGACATACCGATACAATTTGGCCGGCGTTGATACACATGGTAATTAGAGAGGCGGAGATCGTCCGTGTGCCCACACTATGCGAGTTGGTCGACGTCCATGCGACTTGTATTGGTACGACATAAGGATAGCCAGTGATCAATGTGACGACAGCAAATTCCACCCAAGGCGAAGTTTTTTTCGTGAACGTCTCGAGGGCGATGAGGAGTGGAATGGCCCAGAACTGTAATATGATCGTTGCACCGACCCGACTGTCTACCAGCTCGCTCACATATGATGATATCAGGAGGTTGATCATGCCGAGGACTGTGGAAGGGATGCTGAGGAGATTCGCTTGGGTAGTATTGAACCCCAACTTGCGGAGTGAGAGCGTCAAATAGGTCTGTGGTGGCGTCACGGGAACTAATGGTCTCGTTAATCAGTGCCCTTTCTGTATTCTTGTTAACTTACTCATATGAGTCAGTCCGAGAATATACAGAGGCCACAGTGTCCAGTCACGCAACACTTGGACAAGCTTCGTCAACGTGAGTCCCTGACGATTGTGCATGTCGGATTTTGACGGGTCATCGCGGAGAACACGATTGACCATGATAATTTCCTCTCTATCAGACGTAAGTGCATGAGTACTGTAACATAAAGACGAACAACTTTGTTACCGGTCAGAGAACCATCCGTTAGGCCGGTACCAAGCCTTCGTCTGTGTGGGGCCTGCGGGCATCATGACGAACGATAACAACCCCACAAGTAGGGTAAGGCCCCCTTCGATCAGAAAGAGGTATCTCCATCCCGCCATACCATGCACACCATCAAGACGAAGGATTCCCGTGGCGAGGAAAGCACCAATGATTTGTGCGAGATAATTGGAGATATAGAACCACGCCAATCGAATGGGTACTGTATGTCCTGTTAGCCTTTCGAGACAAGTCCGCAGGCTCAAGTTACGTACGTTCTGTCTTCGTATAGAAATAAGAAAGGTATAGAATGACGTCAGGGACGAATCCACCCTGCATGAAACCCAGTAGACATCTGCACAATGTCAGAATCATGCCACATTTGTCGCAAATGAACTCATACCTTGTCGCAAGGAACGAGCTACGTCCAGAAAGCCAATACTGGCTCAGGCCGACGACGCTCCATAAGACCATCTGTACGGAGGTAAGTCCTCTCACAAGGAATCCATATTCAATTCATATTATGCAGTACCTGACACGGGACCCATATATCTGGACCAACCTTCTTGGAAATCAATTGCGCGGGAAGCTCCGCAATCAAAAAGCATAGCTACAGATCGTCAAAGAACTGAACTGAACACAAAGTCGATCGCACGTACTCGAAATAACGAGTTTCCCAAATTAAAGTCATCAGTGGTCATATGAAGATCCTGGAGGAAATCATCCGTATTGGCTTGCGAAAGATTGGACCGGTCGAGGTCGAGGCAGAAGAACATTAAGACAGTCCATATCATTATGAGACCGTCTATCTTGCGAACCAGTCGCTAAAAGCATTCTGATATTGGACGCACGCAAAAGGGCACAGGCGGATAGACTTACTTTTTCTTCACGCCAGGTCCACCGTGCACTTGGATCAAACCTGTGAGCATTTTCATACTCTGCTGGAGGACGATACAGCTCGAGCGTTGCAGGATCATCAAACACAGATGGCTGCGTCGCGATACTGTCGGGATCTCGTCTTGGTCGTCGCCAAAATCGCTTGCGAGGGACGTGCTCGGCGGGTGCACCCAGCGAGGGAACCTGCTCTAGACTGGTGCTGGGTGTGAGCCCATCAAAATCCTTGACATACGTCTCGGACTTGAGGCGGTCTTCTTGCTGTATAGTGCGCAAGACGGTGGGCATTGCAGCGATCCAGAGAGTAGCGAGAGTAGGCCAAGGGCATCGCGTTGAAAGCTCTTATACCAATTTTAATTTACTAACGCAACATTGCAGGACCCTGCACGTCCGGTCGACGTCTGGGCGGGATTTCGAATGGCGAATGAATTTCTCGCGATGGCGCTATCCGTGTCGGGAGTCCTGTCCCGATTGGCTGCGGCGTGTCCCGAAGGGGCAACACATGCCTCGTACTTAGTAACAACAAGCGCGCTAGCGCATGGGCTCTCGAGTTGGCCTGAGACTGAAAAACCCATGACTGTGATTGCTTCAAATCGACGATTTTGTGAACATAAATTTCGCGGACGATGAGTCTGCGTACCGATTATCGGTTAGTGGCGCCTGCATGGCGCGCAACTTAGGACTGCTCTTTTAGGATGGGGACGTTGATGGGGATACCCACTTCCTCCTTTGAGTTAAGTCAGGGCACGGATTCTGAATGGCGTTTCGAACGGCAGTCCTTCGCCAAAGATCTACCGCTCAAAACAACAGAATCAGACGGCATACATAACAGTGTGTTTCCGAAAGCATGTGCAATTGTATCATCTTCGCAGTGAGTCTCCTGAATTTATATCGCTACATCTAGCATGTCGTCTAATGCAGGGCACCGATCGTCCAGAATTTAGTGTGGGTGAATCAATACGCGAATCGGAAATTTAACTTTTCGTTACCCTGGGTATCACCATTCAGCGCCCATAAGCATTCACGCTATTCCACGGGACACTCACCTGATCTTTCGTGGTGTCCAGATATTCTTGTTGTTCCTGGTGAGTGAGGGGTAAGAATCAGTAAGCACATGTCATAAGGTTACTACCTATTGAGACGTACCTCTGCTGTCATGGCGTTCCATCTTTTTTCCCTCCAGGCGTTCAACAGGCGATAGAAGAAGTAGGTTCCGATGAACAGCGCTATGTTCATGATTGTGATGGCTATCAAGTCTCTGTTTCCCCGTTTATCTGGATTTGACGTCGTTCAGAAAATCGGACGGAGTGCAAAATGCGGGATTATCTCTTACACAAGGGCTATGTGTGAACATGGGGCAATCAGAAATTAGTAAACGTTCATTGGATATGTCAGGGGCCATGCTTACAGCGTCGTTGGATCGATAAATATTAGCCTGGAATCAGGATTGACTTGACGTTAGCATACAACGGCGGAGAAGTGCGGGACATACGGATATGATCCCACTCGCTTGAACAAACATATTGTAAAGAGAAGCAGAAACCGTGCGTGTACCGACACCTGATGAATTCGTTGATGCCCAAGCCACCAGAATTGGATGGACATATGGATAGCCGGTTATCAGTGTTACAACCGTAAAATAGACCCATGGCGAAGTTTGCTCCGTGAATGTCTCAAGCGCTATGAGGAGAGGAAGTGCCCAAAATTGCAGAATAATTGTTGCCCACACGCGGCTGTCAATAATCTCGCTGAGATAGCACGATATCAGAAGGGTGATTGTACCGAGGACGGTAGACGGAATGCTGAGCAAGTTCGATTGAGTCGTGTTGAAGCCCAGCTCTCGTAGCGACAGCGTGAGGTAGGTTTGTGGTGGCGTGACGGGAACTGGAACAACCTGGCTTCAGTGTCTTATATGATAAACTACGCGGATGATAACGAACTCATGTGAGTAAGCCCCAGAATGTAGATCGGCCACATTCTCCAGTCCTTTAGGATCTCGTAGATCTTCATCGGCGTTAGTCCTTCCCGATTATGCATATCGGACTTCGTAGGATCGTCCCGAAGAACGCGGTTCACGATGATGATCTCCTCACTATGGTAATGTTTCGTCAATAAACTGTGAGTATGAGAAAATCCTACTGCATCATACCGTTCTGAGAACCATCCATTAGGGCGATACCACGCTTTTGTTTGTGTAGGACTGGGAGGCATCATGAAGAAGGAGGCGATTCCCACTAACAGAGTTAATCCTCCTTCGATCAAGAAGAGGTATCTCCACCCTGCTTTCCCGTTGACTCCGTCCAGTTGTAGAATGCCAGTAGCGAAAAACGCTCCAAGAATCGAAGCCAAATAATTGGACACCCAGAACCAAGCAAGCCGAATTGGCACTGCAACAGCTTGGTGTGAACAGAGAACTAGCACAGAATGCTCGCACTTACATTCAGTTCGAGTATAATAATAGGATAGGTAGAGTATCATATCTGGAATGAACCCGCCCTGCATGAAGCCTAGCAAGCATCTTTTGGTGCGTTAGGGTTGTGATAAAGTATTATGAGAAGACAGTAGATTCGTTCAGTTACCTCGTTGCCAAGAAGGATCCTCGCCCGGACAGCCAAAATTGGCTTAGGGAAACGACGCTCCAGAGAATCATCTAAGATATATCAAGACTTATTTAACCCATATGATGAACGCGAATACACACCTGGCTGGGTATCCAAACGTCAGGGCCGACCCTCTTGGAAACCAGCTGCGATGGAAGTTCTGCGATCAGGAAGGTCAACTGCCAGCAGCCATACTGCATCAGCCTTTCTTCGCATCCCTCTCATGACGATTAGACGTACTTTGAAAAGAGAGTTTCCGAGATTGAAGTCGTCGGTCGTCATGTGTAAATCCGGCAGGAAATTATCCGTATTGGCCTGAGAGATGTTCGAGCGATCGAGATCAAGACTGAAAAACATTATGAAGGCCCAGATCATAACAAGGTAGTCGATCTTGCGAACAAGCCTCTGGGAAGAGAATTCCAGGAGATATTAGATATGTTCACAAAACAAGAAGGGGCAGATCGTTTACGTATTCTTCGCGCCATGTCCAACGCGCGGCGGGATCGAACCGGTGAGCATTCTCATAGACCGGTGGCGGACGATAAACCTCAAGAGTAGCAGGATCGTCGAAGACGGACGCTTGGGTTGCAATAGTGTCCAGGTCTCTCTTTGGTCTCCGCCAAAAACGATTGCGTCCTTCTTCTATAGGCGTCCCGAGCGGCGGAACTTCTTCCAGACTGATCGTTGGGCTGAGTTTGCCATCATCATTGGTCAATTCCGAATTGCGGTCTCTGTTTACAGCGGCTCGCAGGACAGTGGACATGCTGCGGTGGCCTAATGGGGAGGGAGAAGCCTCTTTCCTCACATCTCAAGCCTGGTTCATATAGAATTTCGGACAGCCCTTGGCAAGGCACAATGAATGAATGAAATCACACACGAGAACGCGATAGCGATACGGGAGGAGTCCAGTCAAATTGCAGCTGTCAGGTCAATGCGTAACAAATTGCGCGGATTGCGCGTCGAGTTCTCGTATGGCGTTATAAGAAGGTATGGAGAAGGTTAAGCAGTCACATGACAAGTGCTGGAGGATGATAGTCCGCGATTCATTTCGCGACTGTCAGTAGTCATTCAAACGGAATCGATGATATGGTACACTACGTTTCATACATCGTCTGCTGCATCCTCACCGCCTAGGCATCCCGCGGCCTCTTCCTCGGAGAGCGCGTTGTGTAGCGCCTGGGGGCGCTCTCGGACCAGGGTTGGGCTGCGGAAATTGATCAGATCCGTCAGAGGGGAAACTACGGTGGATACGTCAAATCACATACTGCTTCACTCTGCGGCCCGCGGACCGTCTCGTCCACGCTAAGAATTAGACACGCAGCCTCGGCAGCACTACCGATCGCATTGACCTTGACGAGGCTGGGCTCCCAGACAAAGGCTTCCATGTTGTCTCGGACCCCCTCCACGCCATCAACATCGACCCCATACCACTTCTCACCGTTTGCGTGTTTCATACGAAGTTTATTGAGGACGTCCGTTGAATCCAAACCTGCATTGTCACAGATCTGTCGGGGAATGATCTCTAGAGCTTTTGCAAATGCGATCATAACAAGCTGCAATTTCCCAGGAATGGACAGGGCGTGTTTCCGAATGTGTGCAGACAGGTCCATCTATCGAAATCAAGACATGAGTTTGATACGTACGCGTTAAGTTTTCAAAGGATTACCTCAATTGCGCCTCCACCTGCAACGACTTCGCCATTCTTCACAGCTCTCTTGACGACCATGATGGCGTCGTGCAGACTACGTTCAACTTCTTCAATAAATTGTTCCGCGCCACCGCGAAGTAACAGAGTGCATGTCTTGGCTTTCGGACATTCCTCGAAGACATTGTATCGTTCGCCGCCCATTTGCCGTTCGTCGAAGGTCCCGCAAGTCCCAAGGTGCTCGCGACGGATATCTGAGCAAGTGGACTGGATGGAGCCACCGACGGCTTGTACTACGCGCTGTAGATCACCGGCGGGCACACGGCCAGCACAGAATATATCCCGATCCGCGAACCATTGAGTAGCGAGGTCCCCAATGGGTAGCTTACTGAGAACAACTTTCGCGCCTGTCTTTTCAATTGCCTCCAGCTTTCGATAAATGATCTCCCATTCGGCGTCAACGATGGCCTGGTAGTCGGAGACAGCTTCAACTCGAACTTCAGCGTTATCCTTTTCGGCTTTGAGCTCAAGCTCTACGTTCAGACTAAGAATCAGAGGATTGTGGAAGGACTTGGGTTGTTGTTCTGCTCCAGCATATGTGAATGTCTTTTTAAAGGCAACACCCTGAATTAAGAGAGAATCTTGCATGCCACCGCCGGGGATCTTCTTCACACCAATAAGCGATTCATCTAAATCTTCCTGGTCAAGGCACTGTACGGCATCAACGACCATTTTTGAGAAAAAGGGTTTTTCAGAATGAATCAACTTTGAAGACATCGATGTTGAAGCACATTTGAGCAGTAACGAGCGGAATCGCCTGATATGGGGTTATGTCAGACAGGTTGAAAGATACCATATAGTAGAATCGACTCACTCGGGATTCGACCTGTCGACTGTGATTTCAATGGCTTTTATCCGATCAATAGCCTGCAATGAGATTCTTCAGTGGATGACTTACGATAATATTTTGAGGCGAAAAGCTCACCAGTTGTGCTGCCTGGCGGAAACCCTTCATAATGATCTGCGGGCTGACGCCCTCTTCGATATATCCGCGAACCTCCTTCAGCATCTGTGCAGCAAGCAATACTACGCTGGTCGTCCCGTCTCCAACCTCAGCATCTTGGGCTCGAGCAATATCTACCAACGTTCGAGCGGCAGGATGTACAATGTCCAGTAACTTCATGATTGTTGCGCCATCATTGGTAATTTGGGCCTCCCCACGTTCTGAAACTATCAACTTGTCCATACCTCGCGGACCGAGAGTACTTGCAAGGGTTTCCGCGATTGCTAGAATTGCTGAAATATTCGACAAGAGCTGAGGTTTCCCTTGGGAGGTATCCGTACCCTCCTTGAGGAGGACTACGGTCGGTTGCTGCATTCATTAACACAAGGATCGACAATTCTTAAGATGAGCTTACCATAGGAAGACTGCGTTGCATTTTGTCGCGGAAAGTCTGCCAGAAATGTCTTCCCGGCCTCTATGAGTTCCGATCCTCAGTACTCCAGGCGTCACAATTTCCATATTGACATGTATTTGGTCCTATACGCGTTGGTGGCTGGACCAACGCCAATTAGTCGGACGCGTCGCAGTCGCCACTAGACTTCCACTATCATGACAAGCTTGAGCACTCTAGACGCGTCTTCCAACCCTGCAGTAGCATCCGATGATATAGAAGATTATTCCCCCAAAGTCGATGGCAGCCAGAATCCTACGCTAGCTCTAGGTCAATACTACTCCCGCAATGAAGAGCAGCCATTATTCTTCGCCGACAGCGATGATGAAGACATTATGAACTCGGCTCCCGCTCAGGCCCCAATTCTCAACAACGCTTTACCTGAAGATGCAGTAGTAGATTTATCCGAAGACATCGACTTGCTGCAATCCGACGACGTTCCCAGAGCCTCAAGTGTGTCTAGCGTGTCTTCAGTGCCCGATCGCCTATCCTCTTCGCCTGCTCCATCTGTGAACTCTGATCGTCCTCCAACAAAGAGGCGAAAAATCTTGGCTTCTGAGCGGGAGTCCTTCGCTGTTGAGTTTACATCTTCCTATCTAGGCTCGTTCCCCGTAGGAAACGCGTGGAGCACTGTGCGTGGGTCAGGCTACATCAAATCAGGAGATGAAATACGTCTCGAGCGTGATGCCTTTGAAGATGTGAAAACTGACCGTACGAAGAACTCTAAAGGAAAGGGTGCTAAAGGCAAAGGGGGTAAGAAACAGCTATCCATAGCCACCATGCTTAAACCGCAACCTACGAAATTCGGTAAGAAGAGGCAAGACTGTGTGGTCAGACTAACCAATATGCGCGGGTTTGGTGCTTGATATTTCTAGCTCTGTCTTTGACTCATTTTAATAAGGTGGTTGCAGAGTTCGGTCGACTACCGCAGGAAGTAGCGTCATGGGTTTCCAACCTGCTCGACCTAGGTGAGCTGAGTTGAGAGTTTTATGACGACGCATACTCTCATTCCCGCTACAGATATCGTCGACTTCCGAGGCAGCACGATGATCGACTGTCCAAATACCCTTCACTCCGGAGCCGATTTAATCGTGTCACTTTCTGTGTACATTAAATCGACTGCATTTCAGCCTACAAATCCATCTTCAGAAGAAAGAGCGCGTGTTATGTTTGATGAAGGCCAAGAAACAACCACGGAACAACTCTTGCGCGAACGAAAACAGGCATTGCTCAACTTGTTTGATGTCCTCGGTCTGAAACCTAGAAGAGGAAGTAGCTTTGCACGCAAACCGTACACAAACCTAGACCATAGGGATTTGGAAGTGCTCACACAAAGACAACATCCGCTCAAAGGCAAGAAATCTGTTAAGGTAGAAATAGTCGGCGACGGCGAGGAAGTCGAGGTTGAAGCGGATGGTGAGGACCTCTCGGATAATGAGCTCAATCTCATATACAAAAGGTCTAGCCAAGTCCTTCTCGATAAGATGCATATAGTGAGATTTCTTGCAGGGCGCAGCAGAATGACCAGCAACTTGATGTAATGGAACCGGCTACAACATTTACGCTCAAGCTCAGAGGCTATCAGAAGCAAGCACTGCTGTGAGTAGCAGACTTTTGAATAGATTGGGCTTGATATATGCGTTATAGATGGATGCACTCAGTCGAGACGGGAGCCATGTCCGCAAGAGAAGCAAGCTCAATGCACCCTCTTTGGAAAGAGTAGAGCCCTTTTCCTTACGCCTTCCGGCCGAGACTAACGATGTTTGTAGATTTATCTTTCCTCCAGAACCGGCCGACGGCGTTATTGATTTAACAGCCGACGAAAGAGCATTCTACTTCAATGAGTATTCTGGCGAACTCAGCTTAGAATTCCCTAGAGCAGAAAGAAAATGTCGAGGTGGTATCTTAGCGTACGTGTTATTCCAAATCGCGACATCCCCTTCAACTGAAATACCCCCAGAGATGGTAAGGTTGTCGTTTGTCGCAGCCCAGATATACACTGATTGAGGTGAATGTATACTGGACAACGAAACAGAAAGTATGTGAGTTATATCAACCAATGTGACGAGTTCTGAACAACCATTCTAGTGGGTATGGGAAAAACTATTATGCTCTCAGCTCTCATACAATCCGCAAGAGGTCCGGAGGAACCTACAGCTGATATTGTATCAGGCACGGTGTCCAAGAAGCGCCAGTTGAGGCTGAACAATGCGTTCCGCTCGGTTGACAATTCACGTATACAATCATTAAGAGGACCGAGCGCTACGCTCATTGTTGCACCTACCTCACTGCTTTCCCAATGGGCGGACGAGCTTTTGAGATCCAGTCAGGCTAATACTCTGAAAGTCCTGGTATGGCACAGCCAGAACCGAGTTGACCTCGAGGGTGCTCTTAATAGTGATGATCCCGTTGACGTTGTCATCACGTCTTACGGTACTCTTGTATCGGAGCATTCTAAATTAGAGAAGCCGAATGGATCATCCTCCGTCTATGAAGGTGAGCCATCATCAAACAGTATGAATATCTCTATCAATATTCCCACTCTACTGGATATAGTTGAATGGCTCCGTAAGCACGCATGCGATTTCCTCAATGATTGCGGCTTTAATGTTGAAGTCAGGCGTGGTTTTGGACGAAGCTCATTCCTGTAAATCGCGGCAAAGCAAAACTGCACGGGCTGTATGTGCGTTAAAATCACGGCGACGATGGGCGGTCACCGGTAAATTATGATAACCTACTGAGATCGTAGTCTCTAACGTCACCCGCTTAAGGAACCCCGATTGTCAATCGGCTCGAAGATCTATACTCATTGCTGTCCGTATCTCTCGTTATCGCTTTGTATTCACATGAACAGAGCTTGCTCTAGAAAATTCCTTAATTTCACGCCCTGGTCAAATTACACATTTTTTCGCTCGTATGTGCTGCCCGATCGTTGTAAGATCGTCATTGATTATATTCTAGATTCATTACACTCCCCTTCCTGGCGCGAGATCCCAAGGCCGTTGAGGTCGTGCAGATCATCCTAGAAAGCGTGCTGCTTAGACGCACCAAGGACATGCGCGATACGGACGGTAAGATGATTGTTGAGCTCCCTCCGAAAGAGGTATGACGTGTTATATGATTCACAAATAGCCACACTCAGCATTCGTTGTTTAGGTCGTTATAGACAGCCTAGAATTTTCACCTCTCGAAAGACGTATCTATGACTCCCTATATACAGACGCCAAGAAGGATTTCGAGCGTTTGAATGAGAAAGGTCTTGTGAGCAGAAATTACACTCACATTCTTGCGATGCTCATGAGGTAAGCCGTTGACGTTGGGTTGAGATCATTTTCAAACCTTACGTAGGTTACGGCGAGCCGTGTTGCATCCTAGTCTGGTGCTCTCAAGCGAAGAGGAGCCCAGGAGCAAGAATGCAGGCGACGGTGTCGTAGATGTGAACACGTTGATCAGACAGTTTGGTGAAGTCGGCGATAATCCTGCAGCTGATACCAAGGTATTTGCAGAGGGGGTACTTGCCAATCTTGGCGGAAAAGAAGAGCGTGAATGTCCGATCTGCCTTGACGTGATGGAGTCGCCTACTATCCTACCTAACTGTATGCATCAGTGGTACGTGCCCTTCAGACGCATATACTCCTCGTTTTCGACGTATCGTTGCAGCTGCAAGGACTGTATTGTCGCGTTTATCGATGCCTGCAAAGAGAAAGGGGAACATGGCAGGTGCCCCACATGCAGTAAAGGGCCAGTCGAAGTTGGTTCAACGTGGCCCTTGGGTGTAATAGAACGTGCTAATATTTTGTTAGGAGAGCGAGCTTCTCGAGATTATGCACACTGAACAGGACACCAACAGCCGGACTAGCGAGGCAAACAACTCGCGACCTGCTGTAACACTGCGCCGCAATGATTTCCGTTCATCCACGAAGCTGGAGGCACTTTTGCAGCATCTTAGTGCGTCGAACTTACTTGAGGAGAATTACTTGTTGACGTCTGTCGTATAGAGCGATTGAAAGCTCAAGACCCCAGCTTCCGAGCAGTTGTATTTTCTCAGTTTACGAGCTTCCTAGACCTAATTCAGGTTGTCCTTGAACGAGAGCGTATGGAGTGGTTCAGGTTTGACGGCTCCATGGACGTCAAAAAGAGAAGAGAAGCAATATCTGAGTTTAAGACACCGTCGCAGGAGCCTAAGGTCTTAATTATCAGTTTAAAGGCTGGTGGAGTTGGCTTGAATGTGGGTGTCCCAAAATATTCCTCGCCGCTTACGTCTCACATCCTCATATAGCTCACGAACGCCAACTATGTCTTTATGGTAGGTCTCTGCTTGTAACCTTTGGGCCGCCGCTCATCCACGACAGATGGACTGCTGGTGGAACGCAGCTACAGAAAATCAAGGTTGGCGACTTTTTCCTGTTGAAGTGGAAGTGAAGGGCCTTATTTGTTTGCAGCTATTGACCGTGTGCATAGAATCGGGCAAGAGAAGCCTGTATACGTTCGGCATTTCATTGTACGTCGTTCCCTTCCGCGGACCAACATGTTTCTTACCTTCAGTAGGTTTCCGGCACAATTGAAGGGCGCATTCTGCAGATCCAAAAGAGGAAGACGGCAATTGTGAAGGAGGCATTCCGGGGTAAGGGAGAGGGGGATCCAGAGAGTTTGGAGAACCTCCAAATCATGTTTGGTGATGAATAGAATATTGACAACGCGTTGGAGAGACGGAGATGGTATATAGGTAGAGTCCTGATACGTATGTATATATACGTATTTATGCGCCAAAATCCACATGGTGAGATGGCCGAGCGGTCTAAGGCGCCAGACTAAGGAGCTTACGTAATCTGGTCCGAAAGGGCGTGGGTTCGAATCCCACTCTCATCACGTGATTGTTTTGCATGATTACTTATCTGATGATTTTTGCAAGCGAATAACTAAGAATTTGTGCTTGGTAAGTAGCCTGTCGACTTCTGGTTTCGGTAAGTAAATGGCTAATCAGGCCTCGTTACATAAACAATACAGAATGTCAAAACTCAATCGTCGCAACGTTAAGTAATGCCCAACAGACCGGTGGCGCTGTCTCCGAATCGATTTAAGCAATGTCTGTGTTGCCGACACGATCGTGGGTGGAGCATGCAGGGAGTTGTATGCGTCTGTGCAATAGCTGCGTCCGTTCTAGAGCTCAAGCTATTTTCTCCTGGGGCCATACGCGCGTATAGGTAGCTTGAATTGGACAAACGTGTCGGGCACCGGGCAGGACGACGGGCTAGAGCAGCGACGAATACAAGTCAATGTAATGGGAACCGGCCAAACACGACACATGCGTTACAAAGCAAGAGGTACGAAAACAACGTGCGAGTGACAGAGATACAGATACGAGACTGCTGTAAAGTACAATACAAGACCTACACCATCGGCTCTCCGATGGAAAAATGGACCTGGTCGCCCTCGGCGAGGGTGAGCCTCACGGGGAGACGGGGGTCGATGCGGACGGGGGCACTGCTGCCGACGAAGAAATCACCACGAGTGAAGTTGCGTGTGATCGCAGCGGCCTCCTCTTCTGTGAGATTTCGTGGTCGCTTGTTTGGCCGGAACGTAGAGGTGGAAGCCCCCGCGAAAGTGTTGTTGTATTCATAGTAGTGGGGGGGCTGGCCGAGGTTGTGCATCGCCGGTGGAGGGTACATGGGAGGAGGCGCAAAGGGAACTTGCGCTGCGGGACCGTGTGAGCGCATGGGGCATGACGACGAAGGGGAGGAGAGTAGGGATCACCTGGAGGTTGAGGTTGATTTTGAGTGTGGTCTGCCTCCGGGTCGGGGTAGGCACACTGTGCCCCGAGGCCTCGCTTCAAACAGCTCTGCGATGCCGTTGAGTATCAGCTCTGGGCAGGGTGTAAGCGAGGGAAAACGGCTATACTTGACAAGGGAGGACTTCGCTACATCTGGTCTTTCCCGCATGGCAGGCAGTGCAGGCCCGGCGGACAGACGGCGCCTTTGCTGGGGTCTAACGGCTGAGCGACGGCGAGAGAGACGGGGAGGACGGGGGACTCACGCTTTCTGCCATTGTCGCTAACAGGGGCGGAGACGGAGCCGTTCTGGAGAGCCTGCTGGTGGTGGAGGTCGGGGTGGAGCGGGCCCTGGTGGAGGTGCTGGGTGTCGATGGACGGAGGGGCGGCGTCCTGGGCCGGCGTCGAGGCCTCAGAGAGGGCCGACATGGGGGTGATGGGCGGGCTTCGGAGCGGACTGGCTCGCCAGCGCGGCCTTGCGGTTTATGACCAGCCCGCCCTTTGCCGGCCTCGCCGGGCCTCCCCGGCCTTGCGGTCCTCCCTCGGCCTCGGCCCTCGCCGGGTTCCTTCCGGACGCTCTCAGCATGGACTCGCACCCTGTCCCCCCGCCCGGCGCATTCGACGACTCCCAGTTCTTCAACCCCGCCTTCCAACACTCCCTCTTTCCCTCCCCGCCGCCTCTCCCCGCCTCCGCAGACCTCTTCTCCCCCTCAGAGACGACTGACTTTCTCGGTTTCCTCGACAACTTCAACTGGGAGCTGGACTTTGATTCCCACAATGCACCCTATCCCACTCCCTTCTCCCATCTAGGGCCTCTCGCTGAGGATGGCCATCCAAATCCGCAGCCCTCGGCGCACCAACAGCTGGACCCCAGGCTGAGTGCTCCCTCCGCCTCGCCATCAGGTTCCTCGTCGTCCGCACAAGCCCCTCCGGATCCCGCATCAGCAGTGCCTCCAGGGCTGCGTCCGAAACCGCTGTTGTCCACGCCCCAGAAACGGCTGAATCACATCATGTCCGAACAGAAACGGAGGAATGCCATCCGTGATGGCTATTTGCAGCTGACCACCCTCCTGGCTCCCGCGGGTGCGCCACCCGGGTCTGGGATGCCCACGAGGGGGCGTCCGAAGGGGAGCGGGGGGCAGAGCAGGGGTAACAAGGGGAAGAGCGGGATCCTTTTCAAGGCGCGAGAGTACATCCGGTTTCTCGAGGAGGGAAACGATGCTCTGCAGCAGGAGCTGATGAAGGTCGAGGCCGCGGCGGAGGCCCAGCATTGACGGACTCGCTTTCAGTACTCGGGGCTCGTTGTATTTTCTAGTTGATGTAGTACTAGTAGCATTAAGTACGGCTGAGCGCATACAGCCACTATTTCATGGGGATTTCACGAGCTTGAACCGATCACAAGGAGATCGAGATACGCCAGGCTCGCGGCACCCAAAACAGGTAGCTGTCGTAGTACAGCGGCGCTCAGGCTGCTGGTCACGTTCGCTGGGACGCCTCTCAACGCTGCCAGTGACGGTCTACAATGCCACCACTTTCGCATCCAGATGAACTTGACCCCCCAGGTCCCGACAACTCCTATGCACCCGTCTATCTGTCTATTCCGCGCTCGACATGGCTCATACCTAATCTCGTGCTCAAGGTCGACCAGGTCACCCATCCCGGCGCACGGACACTGTTCCAGAATGTGGATCTTTCCCAGGCGCTGAGAGATGCAGTGATCACAGTGTACAGCTGGCTGTATACACTGCAAGACGCCCCTTTGCAGTGAGTATGCTTGCATCCATTCTGGCTTTCATTTTGGTAGGCGTAGAGACCGTATCTAGGGCATCCTACTATCTTCAGCCATCATCCCGTAGCTGATGCACTAGCGGTCAAATGATTTATCTTGAGGCCTGGTTCCTCACTGTATTATATCTAATCGATTTCAGACGCGAGCACCGACCGTTTTCTGTTGTCAGCGTTTACAGCGTCTCTGTGATCTTCCGGCCCATGGCGGGAGTAGCGTATTCCACCGGCTCACACCACCACAAGGAGATCCACTTCTCTCTGGATCACATCCAGAATACCGCCGCACGTGCGCGGGACGAGATCACCGGCGTATTAACGCACGAGATGGTGCACTGCTATCAGTACGACGCCAAGGGAACATGCCCGGGCGGTCTCATCGAGGGCATCGCTGGTAGGTGTTCTCGTCTCTGACCGCAACGCACCGCCCTCATGCATCCACGTCGTATCTCCCAGACTGGGTACGTTTGCACGCAGGCCTTGCACCGCCGCATTGGAAAGAGGGACACGGCAACAAATGGGACGCGGGATACGAGCACACAGCGTTTTTCCTCGATTGGATCGAGCGGCAGTGCGGAAAGGGGACTATTCACAGGCTGAATGCCGGGATGAAAGATAGAAAATACAGCGACGCCATATTTATAGATATCACCGGCAGCAGCGTAGACGACCTATGGGAGCTGTATAGACTGGACTTGAAGGAGCGGCGGGCAGACGGCTCCCTGGTGGTGCAGCCGTGAGTTTGAGCGGCGGCCCATCCAGTGTTTCTATATTACTCGAGAAAGGATACGAAATGTACATAAAAACTACACTTAATCGCTACAGGGGATGTATAATGGAGTACTAAGTTAAGTTAGTTAACGATCAGCTACATGCAGTGGAGCCAGCACGGGTGCAAGAGAAGACATTGCAGAGCGTCATGCGTCATAACTCGTCGTGCAGTTCGTTACTATCCCCATTCCTCCTCCAACTCCCGAGCTAAGAAATCGTCTTCGTCATCCATAGGCGCGTCCTCGTCGTCCTCATCGTCGGATTCATCACTGTCATTATCGTCAGCCCGCGGAGGCGTAGCCGGCTTCGCAACCTCGTCCTCCACCTCTCTGGGGGCGTGACCACCGACCAGATCTTCGGCAGTGATGGCTTCTTTCAGCTTTGAGTTGCCTGTACGGTCCGCAGCGATCTTCTTGCGCTTAGCGAGACGGGATCGGAGGATGTCAGAGTCGACGTTTCCATTGAGGCCCCCGATCTCCGAAGGCGTCAGACTACGTAACCGCTTCCGTTTAAGCCTCGGAGAAGACGTTGTGCTGCTGCAGCGCAACCGCGACGTCAGCAACGCCTCTACGCGCGGATGACAAGACCGACCACCGACCTGACGGCACTATTCGACTCGTCCGTGAACGTCTCGTCTTCCGAGACATTCCCGCTCCCACTCTTCTCGCTCGCGCCCTCGTCGTCGCTCTCGTTCATCGCCGCCTCGACCTCGTTGTTGATTTCGTCCCAGTCGACTTCGTCAAGCGCAAACTCGTCGCCGCGGGCGGCAGCACGCTCCTGGTCCCAGTCATCTGCGTCTGGCTCAGGATCAGAAGAAATCTGATGAGGATCCGAAGGAGGACTCGCAGCGCTCGCTTGGGGCGGGGGGTCCGGATCCATCAGGTATGGTGTTTCGTCCTGCCGCTTCCAGAGAGCGACCGAGTCCGTGAACCAGGACAGCCACACGATTTTAATCCCACCGCTGCGTCGCGCGGCATCCACCTTCTGTGTTCCGCGCTAGAGGATGGCAGTCAGTAAGAGTTGGTTAAGTGCGACATATGAAGGGGAGCACCTTCGCAGCGACAACGTGTGTGACACGATTGGAGAGTTCGGTATAGCATTTTGCACCAAAGGCATGTGCCGTCCTCCATATCTCCGTAGCCTCGGGACGGGTATCAAGGGGTATAACACTAGAGAATACAATGTGCACTCCGGCTAGCGTATCCATTCGCATGCGGGGGATTATGATCTTTATTACGTCAGGATGGGAACGCAGAGTCATTCGAGCAGAGAGTGAGACTTACTCTGACATCGTACGTAACTGGGTTTGTGGCCTTGTGTATCCTGCGTTTCGTGCTCTTCGCGTCCAGTGGCCGAGCATCATATTCGTCAAAATATCTTAGATGCACCTCATCGAGCAACTACGGGTGTCATTGAGCCACGGAAAAAATTCAGCATAGGTGTGCGGCCATACCTTTCCGATACGTTCAAGCTCAGAGTCATCGTTCTTGAGCAGAGCCTTTCGCACTGGCTTTGGCTTTGGCTCATCTGCGTTCTCTGTCGGGGCCCCATTTGTGCCACCTTGAGCAGGCGCATCACTTGGCGTGGAACCAGAAGCTTCCTGCAATTCCTCCTGCTTCTTTGCCAGTGGCCGCTCTTCGACTTGAGCCTCCAACGCCATCGTGTTTTGCTTTAGAATCTCATTCTTGGCGATCGCCTCAGCGGATACGGTGTCGCCTGTAGTGCTGGCTGAGATGGAGGATACGGAAGGGGAGGATGGCGGCGTGTCAGGGGGCGAAAGAGCCAGCGACTTCTCACTCGAGCTTGATGAACTATCAGCTGAGGGATCTGGGGAGGAGAGGGCCGACGGGCCACTGGAAAGTGCAGGGGTCATGGCATCAAGTTTGGGCAGGAAGGCGGAATTGATATCGCCAATTCCGACGAAAAAGTCATCTAAGCACGCATTTCCAGTACATGAAATGCAAAAGGCAGAAATACGGGCGTACATGGTATGACTTTGACCAAGTTCGGGCTCCATTCCCAGACATCGGCGCGATCATCAATGATGACTACCATGGACTGATCGGTGGGGAATAACCGCTGCAGACTTTTCTGCGTCAGGCCTAATCAAGCATACTCCTAAGCGCTGCACGACGGACACCAGTGAAAGATACATACTACCACTCTCATCGCGACTAAGTAGCCGACCACCAAAAAACTTGCCCTCTGGGTCGATGGCGGCGCATACCTCTTCGGCATATGCACGCGTACCCATCGTGTAAACATGCATCTCATACTTTGAGACCATA